AAAACTACCTACCTGCCTACCTCTCTATCCCTACAGGCCACTCTGCCTAAAATTCAGGAGAGAAGGACAAGAAGAGAAGAACCAAAGAGAAGAGAAGAACCAAAGAGAAGAGAAGAACCAAAGAGAAGAGAAGAGAAGAGAAGAGAAGGACAAGGACGAGGACAGGACAGGACAGGATAGGACAGGATAGGACAGGACAGGATAGAACAGGACAGGACAGGACAGGACAGGACAGGACAGGACAGGACGAGGACAAGGACGAGGACGAGGACGAGGACAAGGACGAGGAGATAGAGATAGAGATAGAGATAGAGATAGAGATAGAGATAGAGGTAGACATAGACATGCGCGCGCTGTGCGCGCGCGAAAATTGAGATTGGTACCTCCTATACATTCCGTACTACTAACGGGCAGGCCTATAGGACATATTAAGGTACAATAAATCTACTTTCTTAATCCTTACTAGGTATCCTATTATAGAGCTATAGGTAGACTCTATTTCTGTCTAGCTATAGACCCTATTCTAGTAATTTATTAGTACGGAACGACCTCTAAACATTCCGAAGCGTAGCGTAGGTTAGGTATAGGGAGAAGTAGAGTACTAATCAATCTAGCTTAGACGCTCTTAGTTAGAAAAAATCCTCGAAGGCGTATACTCTAATTAGCGCGATCTTTAGCGGTAGGGCGCGCTAAATCTACTAGACCTAATACGTTACTACCTTAAAAAATTGCCTACCTAGCTACCTACCTACCTACCTCTCTATCCCTATAGGCTACTCTGCCTAAAATTTAGTAAAGTAGAACAAAGAGAAGAGAAGGAGAAGGAGAAGGAGAAGGAAGCTACGAAAGAAGAGGAGGCCGAGAAAGAAGAGGAAGCCGAGAAAGAAGAGAAAGCTAAGAAAGAAGAGAAAGCCGAGAAAGAAGAGAAAGCCGAGAAAGAAGAGAAAGCCGAGAAAGAAGAGAAAGCCGAGAAAGAAGAGAAAGCCGAGAAAGAAGAGAAAGCCGAGAAAGAAGAGGAAGCCGAGAAAGAAGAAGAAGAGGCCTAGAAAGAAGAAGAAGAGGCCTAGAAAGAAGAAGAAGAGGCAGAGAGAAGAGACGAGAGACGAGAGATACATATGCGCGTATACGCGTATATAAGAATTAAGATTAGTACGTACTCTATACTACTAACAGGCAGGCCTATAGGACATATTTAGTATATCCTTTATCTTAGGGCGCGCTAAATCTACTAGGCCTAATACGTTACTACCTTAAAAAAGGCCTACTATAGGTAATATATCCTATAGGCCTGTCCGTTAGTAGTACGGTATCGGCCAATTTTCTATATATACGCGCGCGTATGCGCGTACGTATATCTGTCGTCTCTTCTCTCTGTCTCTTCTCTCTATCTCTTCTCTCTATCTCTTTTCTCTATCTCTTCTCTTTGTCTCTTCTTTCTATCTCTTCTTCCTTCTTCTTCTCCTTCTCCCTATCCTTGTCCTTGTCCTTGTCCTTCTCTTCTCTATATTCTTCTTTACTAAATTTTAGACAGAGTAGCCTATAGGGATAGAGAGGTATAGGTAGCCTACCTATAGCGGGCTTTTTTTTAAGGTAGTAATATATTAGGCCTAGTAAATTTAGCGTACCCTACCGCTAAAGATCGTACTAATTAGAGCATATACTTTCGAGCTAACTTTTCTACCTTAATGTACTTTTCCTAGATTGATTAGCCTCTACTCCCCTCTACGCCTAACCTACGCTACGCTTCGGAAGGCTAGGAGGTCGTTCTATACTAATAAAGTAAGAGATACCTACCTATATACCTACCTATCTGTCTCTATAGGCTACCTTACCTAAAATTTAGAAGAGAAGAACTAAAGAGAAGAGAAGAACTAACGAGAAGAGAAGGATAAGGATAAGGATAAGGATAAGGACAAGGAGATAGAGATAGAGATAGAGAGATACGCGCTAGGTATCTCTAAGGTATTTAGTATCTCTAAGGTATCTAGCATTTAGTAGAAAGAGAAGTCCTAGAAGGGAGGTTATAGGTATAGAAAGTAAAGGAGATATATAGTTTTTTAGAGGATAGGGTTATAGTAGAAGGGTATATAATTACCGAATAACTTAGAATAGGGTCTATAGCTAGATAGAAATAGGGTCTGCCTATACCCGGCCCTATAGCCCCGCCGGTATTCTGTACCTAGAAGCCGGAAACTTATCTCTTTCGAGTAAGTTCAGGGTATAGATAGACTATCGATCGACTATAGGAGGTAGGAGGTAACTGTACATTCAGATCTTGAGTTTAGACTTCGCGCTACCTCCTAGTGCAGAGACCCTGCAGCAGCTCCTGCCCGTTTCGCGGCGGGAAGGTGCCACTTACCTCGCCCTGGCCGTTGCCCCTCAGCACAACACATCTAGGTGGTAGTCAACTACCTATCACACCCAACGCTTTGTGGTCGATTTGCCTCTGCCAATTGTGTTTTGCGCTCATCTCACATGCACCGCCGCCAATACAGTAGTTGTAAACCAACATATCGACCGACAGACAACCGATAGAAAACCGACAGACGACCGACAGACGACCGACAGACAATCACATTGATCTGGTGCCGCTACGACAATTGTTTCTGCCGCACTCTGATTGTACACACACGACATCACCACGACGAGCGAAAACGTCCTTGTAGCGCCCATGAGGGTCGTCGTCGGTGCTGGCCAGACTCGCTAGGAGTAAGGAGTCCATGGACGCCGCAGGCGATGCTCGACACCGCAGGAACCAGTCGACCAGCAATGCCATTCCACTGCAGGAACTCGACCGACGTGGCGGAGGAGAAGGCGCGGTACAGGGGCAGGGAGGCGGAGGCGGAGGCGGAGGCGGAGGAGAAGGAGGTGGTCTCAGACGCACTGGCGGCCTTGCGCGGGAGGAGTTGCATCGGCGGACTCTCAGTGATCGCGGTCGAAACCTATTCACGCGGCGCGACGTACACAGAAACAACCACGCCGGAGGCAGCAGTGGTGGTAGGAGCAACGTACAGTACACTGCGATTGACGCGCCGGTGACGCCCGTGGCATTCGTGACCACTCCATCAGGAGAGCACGAGCGGATCCATGACGGCGACAACGATGAACAGCACGGGTCGCCCATCGCGGATCGTGGTGCATTTCAGGCGGCCATTGGCTTCGCAGGCCTGTCTTTTGCGCCGCGCAACCGCGACTCCAGCGACTCGGACGTGGACAGTGAGGATCAGGACCACGTCACACCAATGCCTCAGCGCGCGTCCAGAGCCACTTTTGACTCTCTGCCCCCACTGCAGACCCCGAGCCGCAACAGTAGCATGGAGCGCATGGTGTCTGTCGAGCTAAACGACGGACCAGCGTTCCTCTCGCCTGGCGGTGCGGATGACAACGATGACACTCTCCCACTCACCGAGCCTGCTCGTCTGCAGCCGTCTCCTGATGCTCCGCAGAGCACTCCACAGCAGTCCCGACGGCGGGCAGCTTCTGCACTGAGCGTAGGCGGTCTGGGCGTCCGCTTCTCGCCGGGCTCGCGCAGCAGTCGATCGCGTAGCAGCAGCACACGCTTAGGTGATGACCTGGCCACTGCAGAGCTGGGCGCGCGGGCGTCAGGTCTTGAGCGTAACGCGTCGTCGACATCCTTCTCGCCCAGCGTGGAATCGTCTCTGGCACGAACCGGTACTATGCTTCGGAAGATGTCGCAGCGAGTGGTCAATCTAAGCAACGAAGCCGAGCGTGGTCAGTCCATGCCTCGACAACACTCCATAATCCGGCCACGTATCGAACAAGATGTTAGCACCTCCCAGGAAGGAAATCTAGATGGCAGTGCAGCCCCTAGATCACCCTCTAGTGAGAAGGCACCCCGTCTGGTAGCGGAGCCTGATTCGCCTGTTCTGCCGCCCATCGAGCGCAATCCACTCAAAGGCAAGTCTCTGGGGATATTTTCATCGCAGAGCAGACTGAGGCGCTGGCTGCTGAACTTCTTGGTACATCCATTCGTAGAACCTTTGATACTCGTCCTGATTGTTGTTCAGACGATCATCCTGGCTGTGGACGCGGCCCCAAACGCATTCACAGACACTCGTCCGACCAACTGGGGCACCAATTGGACAGACTGGCTACTCTTTGGCATTTTCATCGTGTACACGCTGGAGATTGTCGTCAAAGTTGTGGTCTCCGGCTTCATCTTCAATCCGGTAGAGTACAGCACCATCGATCGCAGTGTTGGCGTGAGAAGAGCGCTCAAAATGAAGGCCGATGCTCTGTTTGCGCTGCACAGGAGTCCCTCGAAGACTGGCTTTCGATCCAATACTGTAGATGCGCATCACGCGCCCGCGCCTGATTCGCTACTGCGCTCATTCACAACCCAAACATTCGACGATGTGCCCGGTGGCTCAAGGCAGGCGCAAAAGTTGCGTCTGGCTCATCGAGCTTTCTTGCGACACTCTTTCAATCGTCTGGATTTTGTGGCCGTTTTGTCCTTCTGGATCAGTTTTGTGTTGGGATCCGCAGGTGTTGAGCATCAGTATCACATCTACGTGTTCCGCATGATGAGTTGCCTGCGCATCCTACGACTGCTCGGCATCACCAGCGGAACTTCGGTCATTCTCCGCAGCTTGAAAAGAGCCATGCCCACCCTGTTGAACGTTGCCTTCTTGATAGGCTTCTTTTGGCTGTTGTTCTCCATTGTTGGGGTCCAGAGTTTCAAATCCAGCCTGCGCAGAACATGTGTATTTGAAGGTCCCGACGGGAACAATACGCAAAACCAACCGCCCCCAGCGGGAAATTTCCAATTTTGTGGTGGCTGGCTCGCAGACAACGGAACTGCCATGCCTTGGCTCAAAGCAGATGGCGTGCCAGGCACCGCCGACCACAAGGGCTTTCTGTGTCCGAAAGGGTCGTATTGCGTGGAGGGCGGCAATCCTTACAATGGCACCATCAGTTTCGACAACATCCTCAACTCAGCGGAATTGGTTTTTGTGATCATGACCTCAAATACGTTTACTGACACCATGTACTATCTGACCGACTCAGACTATCTCGCCGCAGCGCTCTTCTTCGCGTTCGGGATCATCTTCCTGACGTTCTGGCTGATATCGCTGTTGATCGCGGTCATCACGTCCTCCTTCCAGGTCATCCGAGAGGAGAGTAAAACCAGCGCTTTCATGAACGCTGCGGACCCTGCTGAGGAGTCTGTCGAAGACGGAGACACTTTCTCACCCGATCGTCAGAGCAGCACGGCGCACACCGCAGGCCTGAGACGAGCGTACGCGAAGACCTACTGGTTTTGGATTTTGGTCATTGTGTTCGATTTGGTCGTTCAGAGTTTGCGGACTGATACGATGGGACCCTTCATCAAAGACCTCATTGGCAACACTGAGCTTGCCGTCACGTTGCTGCTGCTCGTCGAGATTGCCTTTCGCTTCGTTTCTGACTGGAGAGATTTCCACCACCATCGTCGGAATTGGTTCGATCTGTTCCTTGCCATTATGACAGGCATCATTCAGCTCCCACCGATCAAGCATTCGGGCGATCCATACGCCTGGCTCACGGTCTTCCAAATTCTGCGCATCTACCGAGTGGTTCTGGCCGTGCAGCTTACGCGGGACCTCATTCTACTTGTGCTGAGGCACGTTTCCGGTGTTCTCAACCTCATCTTGTTTGTATTCCTTCTCACCTTCCTGGCCGCCATATTTGCATCTCAGCTGTTTCGTGGACAGCTACCGATGCTCGACGGCCAAGGAAACTATGTTCAGGTGACGTTTGCGACAATTTTCAACTCTTTCCTGGGAATGTATCAAGTACTTTCCTCTGAAAACTGGACACAGGTCATGTATAACGTTGCTAGATTTAGCAAGCAATATGGGACAGCCTGGATTGCAGCGTTGTTCTTCATCATCTGGTTCTGCCTGGCCAACTTCGTCGTTCTCAACATGTTTATTGCGGTCATTCAGGAGAATTTTGATGTGTCTGAGGATCAGAAACGAATGCAGCAAGTCAGGATGTTTCTGCAGCGCAAAGAACTGGGGGGTGACAGTGGAGGAACGCTGTCTCTGGCCACCATCTTCAAGTTTGGTCAAGTCAAACGTCAGGACCCTCTGGACTTTGGATCTGCCGCCACGGAGATGCTGCTCAAGGATGCCGTCGTGAAAGACTTCTTGGACGAGATTCAGCAGGAGGAAGCAGATTTGCGACGCGCTCCTACTGCTGGGCTGAAATCTGCATCGACTCTCAATCTGATTCAGCAGCCATCCGGCTGGGCCACCAAGTGTCGAGCATGGCTGAACAAGCATCTCCGGAACAGGCAGCCGAACCCATTCTACGCTCGACTCCAGTTGACGAAGCCTCACGAAGAGCTTAATCCTCGCCAGCTGGCCGAGGAAGTGGTTGCAGCGGCCGAGCAGCGCAAAATCTCACAGCGCGAGTACCTGCGACAGCACCCAAACTACAACACCACGCTCTATCTTTTCACGCCGGAAAATCCGATTCGCAAATTCTGCATGCGCATCGTCGGTCCCGGCCGGGGTCAGCGTATACAAGGCGTGCAACCCAACCCCACCATCTGGTACTCTTTCTCAGCCTTCATATACGCTGCAATTGTTGGTATGGTTCTCTTGGCTTGCATTACAACACCGTTGTACCAGCTGGAGTACTTCGACAAACGCTACGCTGGCATCAGTGACCGGTACAACTGGTTCATCTGGACTGATATTGGGTTTGCCGCGCTGTTCACCGCAGAAGCCAGCATCAAGGTCATCGCCGACGGCTTTTTCTGGAGTCCCAATGCTTACTTCCGTAGTTCATGGGGATTCATCGATGGAGTGGTGCTTATCACGCTCTGGATCAACATATTCACGTCTCTGTACGACCCTGGAAGCGGATCGCGCGCTGTCGGTGCATTCAAGGCTCTCAGAGCGCTCCGGCTGCTCAACGTCAGCGACAGCGCTCGGGACACGTTTCATTCTGTCATTGTGTTGGGAGGCTGGAAAGTATTGAGCGCCGCCTTCGTCTCGCTCAGCTTGCTCATCCCGTTTGCCATCTACGGACTCAACTTGTTCGCTGGCAAGATGACATGGTGCAACGACTGGCAGCAATACGACATCCACAACCTGACCGACTGTGTGGGTGAATCGGTATTCTCACCTATTGGCTACGACATGCTCATGCCCCGACGCGCGGCTCCGGTCAACTTTGCCTACAATTTTGACTCCTTCGGCGACGCACTGTTCATCCTCTTTCAAGTCGTGTCGCAAGAAGGCTGGGTAGACCTCATGTGGAGCGCGCAGTCCATCACAGGAGTCTTTACACAGCCGGCCTGGTTCTCGCAACAGGGCAATGCCGTCTATTTTGTCCTGTTCAATCTGCTTGGCGCTGTTTTCGTGCTCACGCTGTTTGTGTCAGTCTTCATGCGCAATTATACCGAGCAGACCGGTGTGGCCTTTTTGACCGCCGAGCAGCGATCGTGGCTGGAGCTGCGAAAGCTGCTGCGACAAGTCGCTCCATCAAAGCGACCGAATCGACAGCGACGACGGCAAAGCTGGCAAGAATGGTGCTATAGACAAGCCATCATGAAAAAGGGCCGCTGGCAGCGCACTGTCACCGGCGTCCTTGTTGCCCATCTCATTCTCCTCTGTATGGAATGGTACCCTGAACCTTGGGCGTGGACACTCACGCGACTGCTCATTTTCTTCGCCTGCACGCTATTCTACATGGCCAACATCTTCATACGTCTCATGGGCCTTTCCTGGGCGAGATTCCGCAAGAGTGCGTGGGACATGTACTCCCTAGTGGTCGTTTCTGCAGCGTTCATCACTGCGATCTTGGTCTTCCGAGACGTGCACAGCAACATCGCCTCGCAGATTCATAAGTTGTGTCTGGTTGCCGTTGCTCTGCTCCTCATTCCCCGCAACAATCAGCTGGACCAGTTGTTCAAGACGGCGGCTGCGAGCTTCAGTGCCATTGCAAACCTGCTGGCTACGTGGTTTGTGCTGTTCCTCGTGTATGCGATTGCATTCACGCAAACATTTGGGCTAACCCGCTTCGGGGCGAATGAGTCTGACAACATCAACTTCCGGACCGTACCAAAGGCCCTGATACTGCTGTTTCGCATGAGCGTCGGCGAGGGCTGGAATCAGCTGATGATGGATTTTGCCAATATTGAGCCACCATATTGCACATTAGCTGATGAGTACTACGACACTGACTGCGGCAGCAAGCAATGGGCCTATACGCTCTTCATTTCCTGGAACATCATCAGCATGTACATCTTTGTCAACTTGTTCATCTCCCTGATTTACGAGAGTTTCTCATATGTATATCAGCGGAGTACTGGGCTGTCGATCATCAGTCGCGAGGAGATTCGGCGCTTCAAGCAGGCTTGGGCGGAGTACGACCCTGACGGAAGTGGATATATCACGAAAGAACAGTTCCCTCGGTTCCTCGGCGAGCTTTCGGGAATATTCGAAATGCGCATATACGATGGAGACTTCACGGTTAAGTCGCTGATAGCAGACTGTCGATTGGGCGCCGGACGCAACCCACATTTGTCGCTGGATGGCCAGTCACTGCATCAGGGCGTTGAACTTGATATCGCCAAATTGAGTCGGAGATTGGCCGACTTGCCTGTGCAGGAGATTCGAAACCGCAGGAGGAGAATGAACACATTCTACGAGGAAGTGCTAGTGTCGGCCGATCCTGACAAAGGCATCGCGTTTAATGCACTGCTCATGATATTGGCGCACTACAAGGTCATCAGCGACAGCAAGAGTCTTAAACTCGAAGAGTTTCTACGGCGCAGAGCACGATTGCAGCGTGTGGAAGAGGCTGTCAGCCGCCATATTGTGGTTGGCTTTTTCGACACGCTGTATTGGTCTCGCAAGTTTCGGCGAAGGATTGAGGCCAAAAAGGATGCGCGAATGACGGCAATACCCTCGTTTGGTGTGCCTGAAATCCTCGTTCAGGACGAGACAGATCACCAGGGCACACAGCTTGGGAAGCTCGACGTTCCGGCCCTGAGCATCACACGTGTGGACCCAGAGTCGGATGATACTGCTGGCACGTTCGGCACGTCACCACGGTCGGCCGGTGGGCTCACGAATGCATCCAGCCCCAGGTCGCGCGCCAACAGTGGCGGTGGTGGCATCGCGCTCAGAGATACGACACAGAGGCAGCGAAGTACATCGATTCAACTCACGCCCACCTCGTCCCCGACCCGCGAAGAGTTCCGTCTCAGTCCGCAACTCCGGCCCCAACACCAACCGACAGCCAGCAGTGGCAGTATCCAGCCCGATTGGCACTTTGCTGCCGCTCTCGAAGGCGCAGGTGGATCGGATTTACATTCTCCGCCCGCCAGTCCGGGGGGGCTAGGAGACGGCCGGAGTGGCGGCGGCGGCGGCGGCGGGGACAATAATGCACGCAGTCGCGCCAACAGTGCCGTGTCTGAGATTTTCCAAGACAGCGCATGGGGACAGAGCATGCGAAGAAGTGTGACGCAGAAGAAGAACTCGCAGACGGGACGGGGATCACGGAGCCCATCGCGAGACGGAGGAGATGGACTGCCTTTGAGTCGGGGGAGCAGCAGCAGGCGGAACGAAAGAAGTTGACGAGTGCCATGAAATGACCACATGCAGACCAGGTTATGCACATTGTTGGTGACTTAGTAGTAGTAGATGATGATACAGGTCAATAATCAGCAAAAACATGATGATGTTTCCTCTTTCTAGCCCGTTTGATGATGGGGCTCGTAAGGAACAGTAAGTACAGGTAAGGTAGGTAGGGTAGGTAAGGTAGGTATTGTGAGAGGTGCCTAGGAATAGGTAGCCGAGGTTCTCCAACGGGTCTGACACTATCTTTCTACTGTAGACACACCGACACCAGCGACATTAGGTGCCTCGTTCCCTCTCGGGCAGATACATGTACCTATTCTTCGGCCTCGTCACCGACACGTCTCCGCTGGGCCAGATAGATTCGTCCCGTTTCGTAGACACCGAGGTACAGGCCACTTCCGATCATGGTCCAGACGGCGCGCAGAGCGCCGCCACGAAACAATCCCTTGACGCCTTCTTGCTGCATCACTTCGCGGGCCACGGTGAGACTGGACTTCCGGCCGGGTGCAGCAGAGGTAGCGCCTTTCCATGCCTCCCAGGGGTTCTGGCGTGCGGCTGCAATGGTGTGGGCGGTGGCATCCACGACGGCATCCTTGGCCTGTTTGACCGACTGGCGAGCAGCAGCAGCAGCAGTGCTGGCGGCGGCGGCAGCGGTGGTGGTGGTGGTGGTCTCGGCCGTGTGCAGCGAGTGCGGTTGGTGGTCAATGGCCGACAGCATGAGCCTCGTCTTGACCACGTCGACGGGGGTGGTGGCGACGGCAGCAACACTGCCGCCGGCGCCGGCGCTCACGGCGGTAATGATGGCGCTCTCGAGCAGCGTGTTGGTGCGGGTGCCGCGGTCGTCTCGATGGCGGCGAATGCTGGTTTTGATGTGCTCGAACAGGGGGAATTGCATGGCGGTAAAGGGCAGATTGCGGCCGGCCAATGCAGCATAGCCGCGCCACAGAGCGAGAGGGTTGGAGCGGAAGCGTTGCAGAGTGTGCAGCGTGGCATTCTTGGAAGGATTCTTCGCATTCTTCGCATTCTTCAAAGTAGTATTCACATTGTCATGGTTGACCATCTGCGCATTCTGTTTCAAGACCTCGGCGGGCGTGAGAATGGCACACGACACCAGCTCAGCGATGCCTGAGGCAGCAGCCGCATTCACGACGGCATTTCCATTATCGCCGAAGAGGGTTTTGATGCCCTCATATGTGCTGAAAAAGGCGCCCGAGGAGGGGAGAGTGGCGATGATTACGCTCCCGACGCCCTGATACAGTCCGCGATACAGGGCCGGGGTAAAGGCAGTGTTGGAGGCATTGCGGTAGAGGGTGCGGTAGGCGGGAGACTGCAATCGCGTGTTGACCGTGTCCAGCGGGTATACGATCAGGTCGACGGTGAAGGCGGCCAAGGCCCCAGCGAGCCAAATGTCCGCATTGGTGTTGGTATTTGACGAGGCCATTCAAGACTTCCAGGTTATATCAAGTTATACCTGATGTACCTGGTAAAGGCGACTTAGGTACCTAGGTCGGCCGTACCTGATATGTCCGTCATTCATGGTATTGGTGGCATAGGTACCTTACATGTACCTGACATGAACATAATTGATATCGACGTCGTCATCACCATTGCCAGTGCCACTACAGTTTACCACATGATCCACATCGCCCTCGGAGGTACCTAGGAGGTAGTGTATTACCGCATGTTACACTGCCCGAAATAGCCGAGAGTTCGCCGCGATATGGCCGCGCGGGAGTGTCTTCACCTCCGCGGAGGACTGACTGACTGACTGACTGACTGCTCCTGCTGGAGGTACCTGACACTTCCAGTTGACCTCCTTCCTTACCTAGGTTCCTTCTACCTTCCTTCTTCCTTCCTCCTCCCTTGCTCCTTCCGCCAGCCCCAGACAGGTGATGGTGGTATCGGCGCTGGCCACATTTATGCGCTGCCCCATCCGTCACGTGTCCATCGATCCAGCTGCTGCAACTCACATCGCCGCCGCCATCACCGCCACCACCACCACCACCTCCACCTCCACCTCCACCTCCACCTCCCTTCCCACCTCTCCCGCGCGGGCACGTCGAGCCTACAGCCACCAGCGCAGCCCATCATCCTACACCCATCGTGCCTACACATTCAAGCGCTTTAGTCCACATGGCCGCGTCGTGGGCACTGGCCGTAAGCGCCAGCGCGTTGTCTCAGCAGACCTGCAGCGCAAGTCGCTCGATCAGCCTGCCAGCGTGATTGTGTTCCACGATATCCACGAACCCGCTTCCCCGCCCGGCGCTGTTCCCAGACGATCGGAGCTCCAGGAAGACGACGACGACGACTTATCCCATGGCCCCCAGTCATCGTTGAGCGCTCAGGACATTGAACATGCCATCACGGGTCGTCAACGCCCCCCGGAAGAAGCTGAGATCAACACATCCATTCATGACACGCGGCCCCAGACGACCCTTCTGGACCAAGCAGCGTTTGAGCAACTTCGACAACAGCTCGTGCGAAGTTACACACTGCCCCAGTTGTCGCACTATCTGCGAGCTTCCCTGCGTCCGCCTTCTGCAGATCAGGCGAGTGCCGCCGAGCCAAAGCAGACGAGGAAGGCGCTGCGCATTTCGCCGTGGCAACCCCTGCAAACTCCTCTGGACGTGCGCCGGCCCATGGTGGTCCAACCCACTGCATTGAGCCGCAAGCTGCGAACTGCCGAACGTATCATCCGTCTCGCCTGGAGTGTCACGGTGGATGCCGAGGAGCAAGCAGTAGGCGAGTTGGAATTGATGCTACAACCGTGGCAGCTGTCGATGCTCTTTGATCTGTGTCCCAGTGGACAGCCTTATTACAAAAGCCTCGTCACTCCGCGGCTCTTACTGGAATCGACCACTGTGCAGAACTACCGGCGAGATGGCGTGGCCAGGGTGACAGGTCGCCGACGTGATGCGGAACAGGTTGCCTACCAGTTGGAGCGTGCCCTCATGAGCGTGCAACATCTCGATATGGATCTGGCCCGTCTTGTGAGCAAAGTGTCGACGATCAAAGACTCCGCAACGCCACGCCCGGGACGGTGCACGGACAAGGATTTGTCTCTGGTGTCCAAATTAACGACTTCTGTGATATGCAGTCGAGGTCCGAGTACTATCACCATTTACAACAGAACCTCCGCGGGGGTGAACCATGCGTGTCGTCTTATCCTCTCCTTGTTGGACCTATCTTCCGTCTCTGGCACGACATACGAACTCTCCTCTGCGCTGGGCTCACAATCAGGACCGAGTGGTATCCTTGAGATGGCACCAGTGGATGCCTCCATCTCTGGTCTGCATGCTCGCTGGAAGGGGTACGATCTGGTCCGTCGGGTCAAGGCGGCGTCACAAATTCCATCTATCCCGGTCATCTCTCCGGACGAATCAGGCGAAATTGCCAGAGACATTACGTCTCATTTGCGCAGCCTCGAGTGGAAGCACCGACCTGTTCCATCTCGTGAAGTATTATTAGGCCACGGATATTGGCAAAACGGCGCGCTTCTATCGGGCGAATGGGACGCAGATGTTGTCAAACTGCTTCAAGTCCGCTCTGCTTCAGCATCCGATGCTGAACCACAGCATCGTTTGCATGCTGAGAAAGACGCTGCTTCAGCGCAGAGCATAGCCCAACGGCACTTGCCCGCGGTGGACATTGCTCTCTCCTACTTTGACACTTATCACTCACCAAAGATTGTTCCCGGCAAAGATGCACGAGGTGCATCAACCTCTTCGAGTCAACAAATCCCGCACTTGATTGCGTATCTTGTGCCAGCGCCTCACAGCAAAGGTGGTGGTGGACACACTCCTCCACGCGCCGAACTGCACTTTGAGTTTGCCACATGGCAACGCGAGCTCAACTTGACCAGCTTGCGAGTCGTGCTCGAGACCCAAACTCTCAACGTCTCTCTTCCGACCCGTGCAGTGGACTTGGCCTTTGCGCGCTCTCACGCCATGGTCGCCGACATCGGCTCTGCCAGGCTGGACCCTCATATCTCTGCATTCTTTGAAGAGTTGAAACATTCGGTGCAGGCCACAGATGGCGCCATAGCTGCACCACCGGAGCTGATTATTCGCCTGCCCGCGTGGCTTATCAGCGGCTCCCATAAGCAGAGGAGTTCCGTACAAGACATTCCCATCACATATCTCCTCGAACGGTTCGAGCAGAGACAGAAGAAGATGTTTGTTGCACAAGACGACTCGAGCCATGCACCACAGCGAGAGTCGGTTGTCCAACTGGCTATAGACAACCTGGGGACAAGTCTTCACCTCGAGTACCAAGAAGTGGACGGTGGCGCCATCTATGGGTCAAGTAGCACTCTATCAGTGAAAAAATGTACGGGAACACAGGATCGTTGCCAGGAAAACACCCAACCTGCAAAAGAGGCTAGCAAGGTAGGGTTAGATGATCGTGGCGACTCGATTGCCCAGGTCGTCTCTGCTGCGGTGACTGTCGCGGATTTGATGACGCACGCCGCAGAGGGCTCCCTGCGCGTGGCACATTCGATGCAATGAACAACGTCCCAAAACGGGAAGCGCGAGTGACCATTCACTTGTTATCTAAGTAGGTAAGACGTCCAGCCTCGTGCACGCCTTTCTCTCTTCTCTCTCTTGAGGACTTTCTTTTTTGTCTCAACTCATGGCTTTTGCCGAGCTCTCGCGGGAGTGCACGGCACTGAGCGCTCTGTGTGGAGCGGGCAACATACACGGCATCGGGCTCGTCGTTTTGCATTGACGCTTCCATCCGCAGTGCTGGACAGCTTTGAGGCGAGTAGGTCACAAACTGCATGTCTGAAAAGAGCTTTCACTTGTGAGCTAACAAAGGTCAGCATATATGGCCGGTCCATCAAACATGGCTCCCCGGGGTAGTCACGTACTAACGCCTTCCACTGGCACAGGCTCGACGCCTGTAACCTCAGCTGCTTTGGGCTTTGGTGCCTGAATCTCATCCTTCTACGGTGGAAATTAGCGTTGAAAAGCGACAAATGCAGTGCCATGTGTAGCTCACCATGAATGGGAATGTCAGGACTTCCTTGATGCTGTAGTGGTTCGTCAGGAACATGACCATGCGGTCAATACCCATTCCCCAGCCTCCCGTTGGTGGCAAACCATATTCAAGAGCGTTCAAGAAGCCCTCGTCAAGCGGTTGCGCTTCATCATCACCTTGTGCTTTCTGGTTGGCCTGCTCCTCGAAACGCAGACGCTGGTCGAAGGGATCGTTCAGCTCGGTGTATGCATTGACAATTTCCTTCTTGCACACGAAAGCCTCGAAACGTTCGCAAATACCTGGCTGCGAACGATGATACTTGGCCAACGGACTCATGACTTGAGGATGGCCAGTGATAAAGGTCGGGTTGATGCACTTCTCTTCGATGAACTCGCCCACAAGTTTATCAATGATGCGTGAGTTGGTCAGCGGCGGTGAACACTCAATGCCAGTCTTCTTCAGCATGCGCTTCAAAAATTCATTGGTTTCAGCTGTATGAAGTTGGTCTCCAGGAGGGAATTTCTCGCCACAGGCCTCTTCGAGCGCGGGAATCATCTCGACGCGCTTCCAAGGCTTGGCCCAGTTGACGTCGTATTCTTCACCATCGACGGTGGTGAACTTGGTCTGGAGGCCACCCGTGACATACTTGACCATGCCCTCAACCAGCTCTTCTGTGCGTTCCATGACGTCGTAGACATCAGTGAAGGCTTCGTAATATTCGCAAGTTGTGAATTCAGGGTTGTGCGTGAGATCGATGCCTTCGTTTCTGAATTGCCGGCCCAGCTCATACACCTTGTGAATTCCGCCTATGACGAGTTCCTTCAGGGGAAGTTCAGTGGCAATACGCAAGGCAAGAGTCATGTTTAGGTCGTTGTGATGGGTATTGAAGGGCTTGGCTGTAGCGCCACCCGCAGACTTGAGCAGAATCGGCGTCTCCAGCTCATAGAAGCCATTGTTATCAAAGTAGTTCCTGACATAGCGAACGATCTTGGAGCGCGCTATGAACGTGTTGACGGTGCTCTTATTCATAATCATGTCCAAGTGGCGGTTGCGGTAGCGGGACTCCTGGTCACGGAAACCGTAGTGCTCCGAAGGGATCTGATGCAGACAGGGCGAGAGCAGCGTGACCTCCTGGGCAAAGATAGACAGCTCGCCAGGGTTGTCCTCACGCTTTGGGCTGGTGCGTCCGGGATATCCCTTGACGCCAATGATGTCGCCACGACGCAGGATGTCGTGCTGGGCGGCAAAGGGCGTCGCGCTGGTGCTCTCGAGGTTTTGAGCCATGATCTGGATCTCGGCGCCGTTGACAGCCACCTCGTAGAAGCGCAAGTTCTCACCCGAGGTGCGGATGTTGTAGATGCGCACGCCCACGCTGATGATCTTGTCCTTGACCACGTCGCCCTTCTTGAGGTGGCCAAAGTCCTTCTGGAAGTCGCGCAAATCGTAGGTGACGTGGTACTTGTGCGGGTACGGATTGGGACTGCTGGTCTCCTTCATGCGCTTGACGGCACGCGAGCGAATCTCAAAGTACTGGTTGGGGTTGAGTTGTGCCTCGTCGTCCTGCTCGCCGCTGCTGCCCGCCGCCTTCTTCTTGCCGGCGGGCGGCGCCTGCTTCGGTGGAGCGGCCGTCTTCTTGGCCTCCTTCTCGCGAGCCTTGATGCGCTTCTTCAGCTCCGACTTGGACACCATCTCGCCCGTAACCTCGTCTTTCTGCAGGTTTGTCTGCGTGCCCCCACTGGCAGCATTGGCACCACCACCACCACCACTGCTACCGTCCATCGTCAACGCCGACACCTGCTCAGCGGCGTTGCTGACGGCGTCGGCGACCGCGTCTGCTGCTTGCTGTGCTGCCATGTCGTTGTTGCGAAGCTCCGGTCCGTCAGACAGCTTCAATTTGAACTTTTCTCAGGTCAGGTAGGTACCTTGGTCCTTAGCTAGGTAGGTATGAATAATCTTCGTCACTCACGCACACTCGCCGCTGAGTCACACCCGCCCGGCCTTGGCGTTCGCGGGGTACTCAGCCCCCCACGAAGGCTCCAAGGCTGGTGAGGTAATTGCTTAATCAGCAGATATGTAAAAGATTGAGTTATCGATTCGCCCGACGCCCGTAGACGGTAGGAGGTACGAGAAGTGATTCAAGTGAATTAATTACCTTTAGGCTGGTTACAGCTATGACTGTGGCCCGTGGGGCATGAGGTGCAATTGAATATAAATGACTTCCAGGTTGTGGAGCTCACTACTTGACACTCTACTGCTGCGTGCGTGCATCGACACGAGGTCCCAGCTAATTACCTGTACTCATGTTCAATTGTTCATGTACAGTAAGTAGGTAGTCGATAACCTGCCTGCCTGCCTTGATCATCGGATTGCCTTGCTGCGAACAGTGTATCCAGCCCTGTTCCACCATGCCATGCCGTGCCCACTTTGGCCTCCCTCGTCGAACTTCTCCCTCCAATTGCACAGTACACCGTCTTAAGAGAAGTATTGTTGGAGCCAAGGCTACTGGCTGCTGGCGTACAATCTCTGTGTCAAAGCGTCAAACTGAGTCTGAGTCTCGGGATACTGCAGTAGGATCGCACGCAAGTTCTGAAGCTGATCTGTAGAGATGGAGGGCGCCGAACTCAGAATTGTCTGAGCACTCGATGCGTACTGCAAGTCGCCCAGGATGTGACTCACTTGCGGGTCCGGATGAGGCTGTCGCGGTGGCGCGACGGGAAGGACAGGTGGCTGTGGAGGCTGGGCCTGCGGTCCGTACGGGTTAGGAGGAAAAGCGACTGGAGGGCCGTAGCCTGGCTGTTGCGGCGGCACGCTGTTGGAAGGCGAGAATGTGGCGTGCTGAGGGTTCAATGGCGAGCCTGCAGGACCACCGATGCTCTGACGAACGTGCTGTGGCAGATGGCCGTTGGCAGGCGATTGCTGCGGAGCAGCACTCTTCGATGGGCTGTCTGGAGCTCGCGCGACTATGATGGTGGCGAGCAAGACTCGCTCTTGTACTGGTTTCTGTAGTGTGCAATGCTCAAGCATCTCCACGTGGCCTGGAAGCGTTTCGCCGACCTCGACCGGAATGATGTACAAGTCTTTAATCATTACAGGCTTGTTCTCCGCCACCACCGCGTAGCGCTTCCTAGTATGAAAGTAGTCGAAAATCGCGTTGAACGCTTCGGCATTGTCGTCCGGTGTAAGCTGCAAGACCGAGACATCACTGCTCGAGCTCCATCGCAAGCCGCACAAGTAATCCTCTGCTTTCGAGATTGCCAGTCTGCCGTCAATAGAAAGTGCGGGTGGTAAGATATGTTGCCATGAAGTACCGGCTTGCAAATCACGTCCGGCCACAAAACGTCCATTTACGACTGGAGCGCCTTCCTCGCTGGTCTGTATCAGCTTGCCACGCCATATTACGGATTCACCGCTTCCTTCTGCTTGTGGATATGTATCGTCGTGATCCTCCAGCATGCGATCAATGTCCGGATCGTCTTTGGCGCCGTTTGTCGGGGCTTGTGGGCGATGCACGGAGCTGCGACGTCGGTTTGCTACCTGCGTAGGTCGGATAGCTGCATCTTGCGGTCCAGTGGGCAAGGTTGGAGAGTTAGCTGTCTTTTCCCATATTCCTTTCATATCAAACTGCTGGCTTGATGAGCGACTTCCGATTCCAGAACGCTGCATAGTATCAACAGCTGGAGGGAGCTGTGACGCTCGCGGTGGAGATACACTCTTGTTAGGACTACCATCCATAGCCTGTCCTATGGTGGTGCCATCACGACGTGCCGGGGTCTCAGATTCAACCAGGTGGTAGCCTTTGTGGTCTTGAGCGTACTTTGGTCCTTCGGGCTGGTCAACAGTTGCCTGACGGTCCAGTACTTCCTTCATCTCAGCGCGTTGACGTTGCAAATCCTCACTTGCCATGTCACTACTGCTCATGGTCGAAATCTCGTCTGATGTAAGTGACCCGTTGAGCAGCCGCTCTACCAGAACATGATTCTTCTTGAAATTTGCGAGCAGCGCTCTGAACTGTATGCTGTAACCCTGCTGATTGCCGCCATAGTTCATGTGAAGAGCGTACTCGATCCTCGCCGCATGCAGATCGCCGAGGGCAGTTGCATTTTGACCTTTTGCAGTCTTGTGTCCAGATCGGACGCGCTCTTCAACAGTAGACGTGATAGCGGACGCTAAGGCGCGTGCCGCCCTCTGGCGATCTTGAGGCAACTGATCGATTCTGAGGAGCGCAGTGTCCGCATCAGATGAGATCGTAGTGCCAGTATCTGCCTCTGCCTTGCTCGGTGCGGTGGACGACTTGCGACGCTTCTCCTGCCGGCTCGAGCGAGTCATTTTCTCATCTACCGCAGACTTGGCGTCTTCCGGCTCTTCCTTGGCTTCGCTTCTCTTGCGTTTGTTGCCAGTCTCCGTGGTGTCCGCTGCTCCGTTGGCAGGTGCTGACGTCTCTTGAGAGGCTGCCATAATGGATGTCTGCGGCTTCGGCTGCGGCTCATTTTCCGCTACAGTCTCCTGGACAGCCTCCTCTGGCTCCGGGGCCACATCCTTCTTGAGCCAACCAGGTCTGTAGGGCTCGCCAGTCTTGGTCCTGCTCTTACGACTCTTGCTCATCTTCTTCTCGTTCTGAAATATCCTGTTACGTGTCTCCCATATCTTCTCGCCCCGACGGATGGCTTGTATGGTCTCTGGGTGCTCCTCTGGGCGGCACTCTTCGCAAAAGTAGTGCTCAGGCACGTCGTCCTCATCGTCGTGAACGCCCATGCACACATTGTGCTGCCACACAGTGCATGCATCACAGCCAATAAAGGCGCGCTTGTCCTTGGGATCAGTGTTGCCGCAGATGCAGCGGATCAGCTCTTCCTCTTCCTCGTCCTCGTCATCTTCTGGCGGGACTGGCTCTTGGCCGCCCGGCTTCTTACTTATGCTGCTGCCGCTGCCGCTGCCGCTGCTCTTGGCCTTGACGCTCTTCGCGACCGGCTTTGCGCTGGGTGCTGGAGATGTAGACGCATTCTTCTTGTGCTGACCTTTGCCCGATCGGTCTGAGCGACGTGGTTTTTCTGCGCACGAATTAGCCAACAGTGTCTTGCAAGTTCTGGATCGCGATTGTGGGTGTGGCTGCGCTCGCTGTCGCCGTCGTGGTCGTGACGGTGCTAGTTCTGGCACCGCATGACAAGCCGACGACCGTCTACACCGCTGAATGAGGGAATTGGATGGCTCACCTGCCATGTTTCGTGGCATCGCAAGGCAACGCAGGCGCGCGCGCGCGGCGTGATAGAGTAAGTGGCTGGGTGAGGGTGTGGTCACTCGGCACGCTTCAGTTTGACACGATATCTAGCTAATACGTAGAGAAGTGAACCCGTCCGCAGGCTCGACGCCGCTTCCCCAACACCTTTGCGCCCTCTCGCAGTGACCACTGAGCGTTTCGCGCGCCTTCGCAGACAGACACTGCTGCTTGAGGTGTCCGGGGTAATTGTTGCGCCGCGACCAGTGCCTCTGACACAATCCTCCAGGCAAAAAAGCGGACTACACGGTAGCGTGCGCGAGATCTGCTACTTCAAGATGCAGCGACAGCGGTGGGCGTGGTCCGTTATTTCTGTGATGGCGGATGAGAGGAGAGGAGCCGATGGTGAAGTCACCCGAGGCTTTCTTGGTGAATCACGCGACTTGCAGGGCGCGCGCAACGGTGATACAGGCTTGTCGCAATCCAGTGCACAAAATTCGGCGCACACGATCCGACAGCGCAGGCGAGGTGGTGGTGGTGGAGGCGGCGGCGGTGGTGGTGGTGGTGGTGGTGGTGGTGGTGGTGGTGGTGGTGGGAATGGCAATGGAGAGAGACGATGAGGGTGAAGGGTGGAGGGTGGTGCAAGCGAAGGTGGCGATGTTGTGGTGGTGGTGGTCCAATGGGAAGGGAAGACAAGCTACTGCAGCTGCTGCTGATGATGAGAGAAGAGGAGTTGAGTTGAGTTCAGGGCCAGTCCGCCAAGCGGCTGCCAAAGCCTGAGCGCGAGCGGCGAGCCTGAGCCTGAGCCATGTGGATCGGCAAGCTTCGTGAGGTTTCTCTCACTGTCTACTCCTGTGGGACCTGTGCAATGTGACGGTACGGTCCGCTTGTCCGCTTCGGCTTCGCGGTTCGCGCAACAATCTGCCCTGGTCATGCTCATGCTTCCATGTCCTGTCCTGTCCTGCCCTGTTCAACCTGTTACCCCCTACTCCTAGGAGGTAGACCCCTTCTCTCTACCCACGACAATACCTCTACCGCCCACCCTGCATCGATGGCCGACGTCCGATCACTTCTCAAGGAGGCGAATGCGGCCAGGAACAGTTCCACTGGCGCTGAAGGCGCTGGCAAGAAACGCAAGGCCGCTATAGCGTTGTCGCAAAGCCCTGGCAGGAAGAAAGCCAAGTCTGGTCCCATCACGCCTGCAGCTATGGACATTGTTGAGCGGCAAGCAGACGAGCAGCCTCTTGTGTCCACTGTGAGACAGGCAGGAGAAGTCCACGACCATGGGGTGGAGAGCAGCGACCCACGACACGAGGAAGAATTGGCTGCACTGGACCGCGATCTCGCGATGATGGCTGCTGCCCATGCCACATCTCACAACATCGAGGCTGCACCAGCCGTCTCCGCTCCCCCTATGCGGGTTGAAGACATTGCTGCTCAAGCTCGCATAGAGCAGAGTGCACATCCAGGCAGGAAAGAAGTCGAGATTGAGGCCGAGCGTGAGGACGCCGCGAAAGCTCTCGAGGACGAATTCGAGGCCATGGTCGGCCTTGAAGAGCGAGCCAGACGATTGCGGGAAAGGCGCGAGGCGTTGCGTAATACGCATTCAACTGAACAAGGGGGCGACAGTGAAGCAGCCACTGCTTTGCCGGCCTCATCGACACATTCACCGGGCGGGGCAAATCAACCAAGACCACGTTCCGCTGTCGAAAGGGATGATGCTGAGGTTAATGATGACGAAGACGACGACGAAGACGACGACGAAGACGACGACGAAGATGACTTTGCGGATTGGAATTTTGGCGTCAAGGCTTAGGTAGGTCTTGCAAACTCGAGGGCAATGGTCATATCCGATACATTGTGTGTACAAGCTACTTGGGCTCACTACACAAATGAGGTCGTCGGTGCTGTGCTAGCTACCAATGAGAGGATGCTCTCGGTAAGCCACTGCAGGTTGTGATAGTATGTTTCTGGCTCTGGCTCGTAGCGCAGTCGTGATTGTGATTCTCCATTCGTAAGACGGTCGATACACGATGATATGGAGGCCAATCAGACAGAGTAAGTCATAACCTAGGTACCTTACCTTACCGGAGTCTGCAGAACAGCTGTTAGTATGTCGCTATAGTATCTCTGATCAAAATAAGAAGAGATAGGATCACTAGGCACATCTTGTACGAGACAAACGGGCAGCAGCGACCAAAAAAAATACTCAAAACAACAGAAAACACATAAAGAATACTTGACATGTGTTAGTCTCTGACGTTTGAGAAGTAGGTACCTCAGGTAGCTAGACGATGGAATGTCAAGATTGCCCGAATTCGGAATGGCACCTCGTGTCACTGTCCACAACACAACATTAATGTACCTTTGAGTACAAGAAGCAAGTCGCGTAACAGTTGACGATGACGACCGAGTACAAGGGCCATAACAGACGTGTGGTTGAGCATCAGGGATCCATTACAGCAGGGAAAAAAGTCACTGAAAAGAGACATGCTCCTCGTAATAGTTCACCGCCTTCACATTCATGACACATCTAGGAAAAGCGTAGGTAGAGTCTCATCACACTCAGGTATGCATAGGTCCGTCAATCACTTCTTCCATATGCTCATCGACCTTCGCTCCCGTTAGCTGGTGGATTCACAATAATGTGCGAGCACAGGGAGCTTCATACCGCGGCTTGTGGAAATACAGCATCAATATGCCAGCAGCAACGCGATACAAGAATCCAATGAGGAACAACATCCTGCACACGTGTCATCAGAAGGCGCCCTCGATCATGAGCCATGGTGGTTGCTACTGACCCGACGTCCATTCCATAACGTCTGAGCTTGAAACCGAAGTATTGGGCCGCAGCGTCCACATCATACAAGTAGTCGAAGGGGACCAAGTTCTGTGTCCAATAAGCAAGGTAAACGATCCAGTCAGTGGCAGCGTCTTCCACACACCTCGCTGAATATGGCTTCTGTGAAGTAAAGCCCAGGGCACGAGCGCCACAGCCATAGCATGTGCCACTCCTCTGCTGTGCGGAGTCGAGGAGCCACCCCTCCGAACAGAGCAGTGGCAAGAGAGGCCAGCACGGCGCTGAGAGGCCCATTTTCGCGACGCGCGAACACGGAAACCAAGCTTGCCAGCCCATACTGTCCCCAAGGTCAGCATATCTCATTCATACTTCGAGTCCGGCATGTAATGTGTGCTCACAATGCACCAGAAGTACAACAAGACCACAAGATAAAGCTTCGAGAAGCTGATCATTGGTGTCGCAAGTACTATAAGGAGGGCAGCAAAGTGGAGGCTGCTGAGAACCATGCGGACGATAGTCGATGCGACTTTGCCGATGTAGTATGCTGATCTAGAGTGACCAGAAGCAGCCTCTCTGAAATATACCAATCGTTCTTCGCCAAAGATCCAGAAGCCGGGTGCTGATGCAACCAGTCCAATGGCCATTGCGGATAGTAGTGCTAGCTGCGGCGTGCTCAAGTAGTCGATTCTGGTGCTGAGAAGGGTGAATGGAGGATGAAAGAGGCCTACGAAAAGGCTGCCATTTGATGGATAGGTAGATAGACCAATGAAACCTCCAGCACACGCAGCAGTACCAAGCTCCATGATGAAGCATGATTTTTGACGCGTTTGCTGAACAGATGCTCTCTCGAAGCAGTACCATACTTGGATCGGCCATGCTGCACCTCTTTTACATATCGTGCGCTGCAAGCCGGTCTCAAGCTCACGCTCACTATGTTCGTCAACGTGCTCAGACTTGTGAATACCTATTACTTCTTTGGAATAAGCCGGAGGATACTGCTGCACTTCATGGTGGCCCATGGTCTGCCAGGCTTCAATCAAAGCTGGCATGCTCGTGGAGGTACCCGTGCCGGCGGCATACACGGCGCCATCTCCTGTAACGATGTCGAGCACTGTGTCGGATGCGTTCACATTGCCAGGAAACGCATAGCCTTTGCGCTCAAAATAAGGCTGGACTTGTTCTGTAGGACCGCAGTATACTGTCTGTCCTTGAGCCAACAGTAATATATGGTCGAATAAGTAGAAGATTTGCTCCCGTGGCTGATGTACAATCACGATCGTTGTAATACCAATCCTGCTGATTCTGTGCAATAGTCGCATGATTGAAGCTGCAGTTTGTGAGTCCAATCCTACGAGACAATGCGTTGAAGTCAGCAAGCGTCTTCTCCAGCCCACCAACGACTCGCGGGCATGTTACCGGAAGTCGGTTCGTCCAGAAAAAGGGCCATGGGCGCAGACGCCAGCTCGATTCCAATATTGACACGCTTTCGCTGACCGCCAGAGATGAGAGGGTGGCTAGGGTCTCCAACGCGACAATGTTGGACGTGGCTGAGCTGCAAACAGTCGAGAAGGGCGTTGACATGGTTGTCAATCGCCTTCCGCGTCCACTCAGCGGGCAATCTGATCTTGGCCGCGTGCATGATGTTCTCTCTCACTGTAAGCTCTGGTAGCAGGGTGTCATCCTGCGGAACATAGCCATATATTTTCTTGTAGCGACTCAGATCATCTTCGCGACCATTGATCCTGATACTGCCCGTCGTTCCGCGCAGTTGTCCCATCAGCACGTTCATGAGTGTGGACTTGCCTGCTCCACTGCCGCCCATGATTCCAAACAGGGTGCCTCTATCGATGTTGCCTGTAACTCCCTGCAAGATCGTCTTGCTGCCTGTAAGAGTCAGGGTGAGATTCTCGAAGCTGAAGCTGAGGCCCACAAACGAGGTGGTGACAGCCGTCGTGATCGAGTGTATGAGGTTCTGCATGGCAGGACTACTGGTAACGTCTTGTTCTGGAGCGGGGCTATCCTCATCCACACAACCATCGTAGTTGTCTGCTCGCATGTGGGCCCTACGATTCGGCCATGTTTGAGCAGGCTGATTCCTTGCTCCAGCTTTGGCAGATTGCGATGTGTTCTACATTTCGCGATCCGCCTGTACCCATGTCGCCTCGTCGGTCGGGGAAGGGGGCATGGCACGATTTCGTCGCTGCTTTTGACGCCTGTTGATCCAGTGCGTAATGCCGATCGCTAGCAGTATCGATAGGTCGATTGCGAGAACTAGGTAGATGGGTGCAAGTTGGACTTCACGCATGCTCCCTGGAGGGCAATATGCCCAAAAATGGCCTGTTCGATCAGTATAATCAGCATTTCGGGGCGAAAGTGTGCGGAGGCGACTGACATGGCCGTGGTTCGAAGCTTCCAGTAGGGCAGAAGTGGCCGGCTGGGCATATAGTCTGGACTCTGCCATTGTCTTTCCTGTCACAGAAATGTCCATACTTGCAGACAACTGGTTCGAGTATGCCTTGAGCGTCGCAAACTGAACCCGAGAGGCGGCTAATCTGGCAAGCGCTGCTGGGAGGACAATACTGGGGAGGGAAGGTCGCATTCGAGTTGGGGCCTGGAGCTGTGAGCCTACGCATCCGTGTCTGTTTGCATGCGCCGTGGAAAGGCGTAGTAGACTCACAGTAGAAGCCGCTCAGACAGGTATCGTTCTGTCCAAGCGGGAAGGGAGACGCACTCGGCTCGTTGCAACTGGCTTCGAGAAATCGGGTTATTGGACTCGCGCCAGACGGCGCTTCCACATTCCTCGCGTGCGGTTTAGGGATGGTAACGATAGTTTCGGGGGTAGAAGCTCGATTAGATGGACGGACTGCCGAAACGAACGTGGATATGCTCTGTGCTGCCATGACTGATCATAATGCGTGATTGCGTGCCTTGAACTATATGTACCTTGATAATGTGAATCGGCGTCTCCCTGGCCAGCAAGCGCGAACATAATTCAAGGTAGTGATTCCAGACTCGCCAACGTCGCAACTGCGCTTGGGTGACATCGTCGTTACTTCCGGGCAGGGGCAAATTGCAGGCCAGCCGCTGAAAAGCTGGCCAAGCACATGCAGCTGCTGATACAAACGTCCAATAGATATCTCGCGAGTCCTCGCACTATCACTACAGTTCTATCTTGCTTCTCCAACTCGCATGCCGCTCCGACAGGCACGCGTAGGCATACATTCGACTCTTGGTTTCTACTCTTTCATGATGTCGCTGGTGGTCCCTAATGTCGACGCTCAAAATCCGGTGCTGGGACTGGATCTCCCGGAACGCCCGGCTAAAACTGGCGCAAGTATACAAATGGCAACGTTATTGTGGGGGCGTTTCTGTTCTCATACTCCACTATGAGGCGGAGCACCAGATTCCGTATCGACCTGTGTGGGCGCGATTCGCCGCCTCTTCTCCCGACCTTGATCTTCTGATTCAGAAGGGTGACTACTGGCGTTGCTCTCTCTTTTGATACCAGATACCATAGCAGGCACATGGGGCATGGAGCTACTGTTCGCTGCAGATTGTCCTGGCGTTTGCGGCGGTGTAAAGAGTGGCATACTCGGGTTGCCCAGACCTGATCCGGCTGCCGCAATCGATGGTAGCGGTGTCAGCGACGGTGTTGGATTATTCATGATTGGTGGTGCATTTTGATCTGGTACACGCGCAAAACTGGCGTCTGTCGCTATACTCGATTGAGACATGCTTCTCGCTGGGCTGGCTGGACGGCCTCCCATCTGGCCAGTAATAGCAGTACATGGTGAAGGCGAAGGGCGTGAGGCCTTTGCTGTCGTACTCGAAATACCGTTGCTCGTAGATACTGGGGCTGTGCCTGTGGATGCTGTCGTAGTAGCGAGACCAGTCGATGTTGCCAGCGGCGTCGATGCCGCAGAACCTGCCTTTGCCATTTGGAAGGGTGCCGGTGAAGGTTTGGCACTGGTAGTATTCGCTGACTGCTGATAAATGACGCCGAGCTCGCCAGGAGCGAAGGTCAGCGCCGAGCAAAAGCCGTCTGAGGATGTCATTAAAAGCGTTTGGCCATCACCCGTCCTACATTGAAAAAAGTCAATACTGCCGTAGCTCACTACCGCGAGGCAATACTTACCAGCTCAAGTCGGTAAATGTGGCATAGTGAAGATTGCTCACAACGCACAGCGGCTTCTGCTGCTGCGTGTCGTACAGATGCACAGCATCTTGCGTGGCCACAGCATAAACTATGCGATATGGCAGACCAAATGCAGGTACGGGTCCTGGAGGGGGTAGAGGTGTTGTCGAAGTCGATTCCGAGTCTGCTCTCGTCCGTGGCGACGGCATTGTACCTGCACTGGGCGCAGGCGAAGGTGCACCTGCGAGTGGCGGAGGCTCCATTGCCGCATGAGACGTTGGCGCTCTGGTTGGCATGACCGGCTCTGGTAGAGCGGGGAGATCATCTTCAGTCCTGGTATCGATGGTGATTTCCTTGGTCTCTACATGCGAAGAGCGGATCTGGTAGAGTATCGGCGAGCATTTGACAGCGATCGAGGGCTTGTTGTGGCCCGGAAGATATGCTACCGGAGGCTTGTTGAGCCCAGCTCTGGTGTAGATGTACACGGTATTGATGATTTCGTCTGTACTTTTGCCTCCATCGAGCGCTGGATGACTCGTCTTGAACTGGCCTGCAGGTGTAAGGAGAAGGCTGCCATCTGGCGTGAAAGTCAATCGCCGGAAGAAAGACGTGAATGTCTCATTGGCGTAAATGTTGGTGTTCCGGATGCCCGTGGCGAGACCTAATCCAATGCTACCCGACAAGCTCGGCGACGCTGAAGGCATGACCGCAGGGAGCGGCATCGACGGACTAGGCGAAACGGATCTCCGCACGGACTGAGAACCAAAGGACGACCGTCGGCTGTGCGACGTCGGCGGCGGATTCATTGGCAGAGCCAACGACTGTGGTGTTCCCGGCGCAGATGGTCTCGGCGATCCTGCCGCTTCCGAGGCCAGATCCTGCACAAAAGAAGCTCGATGACCGCCGAGGGCAAAGTCTGGAGGTGCAGGGCTGTTGGATGATATGCGACGTCCAGGCAAGTCCATTTTCGTGACTTTGTTGTGTTGGCTGAGTGAGGGCTGGCCATCTTTCGTCTTGAGCGTGTAGATGTGAACGGAGCGATCCGAGGACTGTGTTGCAACATACTCATTGAGCGGATCCCAGGCAACACCTTGGACGTAGTGATTGTGTTCTGCAATCTGGCGCACCGTTTGTCCTGTATACTGTATCAGCTTGTGTTCGTCGGGTCACAGAACCTTTGGTGTCCTCAACGGTCGTACCAGTTGAAGCGTTGTATATCCGCGCTACGTTATCCATACTGCCAGTGATGAAGAATAAGCCGTCGGGTGACCATGCCAGATCGTATATCTCGGAACCCGTATTTGACCTGCACATTGTCTTGACTCTCCAATGCTCCACATCTTCTTGTCCATCGTCGCCAAAGGCCGAGGTATAGGCTGGGTTATCAGAAGGAGTCCACAGCAAGACGTTTCCATCATCTCCCGCAGAGGCCAGCAATTCGCCTACAACATATTAGGATGACAAATGTAGCTGGAGGATGCGAGAAGCACATACCGCGAGGGCACCACCGCACCACATTGACAGCTTGTGTGTGCTTCTTGAGCGTCGACAGGTACTTCACCTTCCGCTCGTCTCCGTGGCTCTCGACGCTCCATATCTAACGCTCCCGTTAGCCATTCAATGATCCCAATGCTGATGTATTGTGCTTTCTGCTACCCACCCTCACGTTGCCGTCGCCGCCTGCAGTTGCCAAGCGCCCTTTGCCCTGCAGTTCAAAGTGGGCAGAATAGATGGGGCTGTTTTCGTCGTGCCAGGCAACAAGCAGTGGTGTGGCTTTCATCGCGTCACAAGAGCTGGCTCACGGCCAGGGACGGGATTGTATGCACAAAACAAAGTATTCGGGCGGTATGGGTTGCGGAGGTGGTCGATGGGATGATGGAGGGCTTGTGGAGGGCGTGAGCCAGCAGGTAGGCGCGTGGCGGAAGGTCGGCGAGGTAAATGGATAGGTAGGTAGGTAGAGAGCTGGAGAGGCAGGGAGGTAGGTAGTAGGCCGATATCACGACGTCCAAGCGCACTTTAGAGGTGAGGTGAGGTGCGTGAGGTGAAGGTGCGTGAGGTGAGGTGAGGTGAGGTGAGGTGTGTAAGGCGGAGCTGGTGGGGTTCGCGGAGGTTGGTTGGCAGAGGGTGATGGTGAGATGAAGAGTGAGATGGAGAGGATTATTGAGAGAGATATAGAGAGAAAGAGGTCGAGAGAGAGAGAGAGAGAGAGAGAGAGAGAGAGGTAGAGGCAGAAGCCGAAGCCGAAGCAGAGCAAAGCAGTGGTGCTCGTTCGTTACACAACAATGTACGCTCTCCCGCGATGCTTAGGTTGCGGTGGAGCTACTCCTAGTACAGCGTGGTCACTGGTGGTAGGTAGGAAACGAAAGCTTGGGTATGAAAGAGTCAAAGACTGAAAGTATGTCTGTACCTCGCGCGTAGCTCAGGTACATAGACCTCCTAAGGTAGTTCCCTAGCTCACTGCCTCCGTAGTATGGAGACGAATGGTTCATGCGCTGCCAAGACACTCATCCGCGACGCGTGCAATTCTGACCGCGTGACCGTGACCGTGACCGTGAGTCCGTGACTGGGAGACACGCCATTCTGCCTCCGTTGTCCAGCGGCCTGCTCTGTGCACAGTTGATGATCATAACGACCACGTCGACCGCCAGTTTCGCGCAGTGTCTACAGGAGAAACTCCCCTGTGGCAATAGGAGGTAATGAGAAGGACATTTTGCTCCTTAAACGAGTATACCAATCCGCCAAGCCTGACAGATGGATTGCTATCAACACTCCAGAAACACTTAGGTAGCTACAACCACAGTCTTTGGGATTTGTCTTCTTGCAGGTCATTTATAAACGCATATGCATTTACTACTTATATGTAAGGCATACCTGTAATCATTCTCTTGATCGACACTGTTGCGACTACATGTACTATAGGTGGAAACACAAAGTCATTCCACCTAGTATAGCTAGGTCTGTTGCCTCCCTAAGGTTGCTACGTCCTAGGCTTAGTGTTGAACGTAAACACTCGCCAGCTCGGAGCTTCGCTTTGTTGGTCGTGATGCTGGATATATTGCTTTGGCTGCCGACTCTGCTCATTGTCGAACTAAATACAATCATCGGCTACTGTTGCTCTGGGACGCACACATCAACTATCAGTCGCATTGTTAGACCGGCGGCCTCGTGTCGCGAGTGCCCATGCAGTTCTTTTACGGAGTGAGGTGCCGAGCCAGCACAGAATACAGACTGACTACATGTGCCTAGTAAGGTACGGTAGTTATAGTTTACTATATGGACAGCATTATCACGGTTCTAAACACTGTCGCGAGTCTAGTGTTGTTATCAAATGTATGTTGCAGTCCAAGTACCTCAGTCCATCTGTCTCTTAGTATATAGTTCTAGTGTGATTGAGTAAATCTGTGAATCTGTTCCTAGAACCCGGTTCATGCCTTGACCAGGGCATAAGGCAGCACTATACCGTCTCGACGCCGCTGCGTGCCATGTCGTCCCACTCTCCGGACGCAACTGCGACTACTTCTTCTCCAGCGATGAAATTCACAACGCCTCTTGCCATCCTTGGCCGGGTCGGCAGCTCTGAGAAGAGGCTTCCAGTTGGACATGCCTTTGCCCGATTATTGAAGCTTCTTCCTTCAGAGTTCTTCGATAGTTCCTGAGACTTACCTCCTACAAGGGTGTAGGTGGAACGTAAGCCGTACAGCAAAGCACAGCTCAGGCACCTAAGGTACATATGCATATGATAGCGTATCAGACTTCTTCCGACTCTTGTTCACAGTGAAAGCATCTACACAGGCACGTAGGCTCCAAAGCGCGCCGTTCGGCCAGCTGGAGTCTTTATGCCACGTGGCGCTTACAACTCTCGTGCATGCACTCAGGTGAGTATGTACTCTGACAAGGTGCCGCACTAGAAGAGTTGCGGGTACCTCCTACATATATCTTGCACTTGGGCAGGTCTTTCTTGGACAGAGCGGTAGTGCGAGAAGACAGCTATTGGACGTGGCAAGCCCACAAATCTACATCATACACGTAGTGCAACTGTGGTTGCATGGATATCCCCGGGGTTGCACAAAACTTGGAATGAACCTACAGTATGTGAGCCTCAGTGAGGTACCTCCTACCTCCTAGGCTCCTACTGCCGTCGGCGCTTGGAAGGATCTCGGACCGAAGACCAAGAAGAGATCAGGTACTGTATACATATGCGAGCTGATGACCTGATGCGACGGAACCGGGACAACGGTGCCTGTGGGGAGATTACTGCGAACAGGACAACGCCCTCGTGTAACCAATTGGCGAGGACGCAACACGTGGATTATTATTATTGAAGAGAGTACCTCCTATGCCTTGAAGGCTTGAACGTTGATACCTTACCTCCTATGGTATATGTCCACGAGAACGAATCTGACGGGAACGATAGACTTTCCGGGGTCATGACCGCAACTCAAAAGTTGGACAGCTCCTCGGAAGCTGATAACTCAATTCCGCCCATGAGTCAGGACAGGACTCTTCAAAATGGATATACATGTATGTGCCTGTGTGATTGCTGCATCCGTCCGGCGCACCGCTGTTGACGCTGCTGTGGGTTTGACGCGAATAATTGCTTGGTCAATGAATCGGCGGGTTTCGGTAGTTCAGGTACCTTAGTGTAGGATATTGGTAGGTGGGAGACTGGTAGTACAAGCTCGGTGCGGTGGTGAATAATTTCTTGGTTGGCAGTTGACTAGATCCCTGTAATAATCCCATCCGGTGCTTAGTAAGGCGAGATGCCCTGATCTGATACGACGACCTGCTCTCGCTCGTTCCTTCCTGCTTGCTGACACCAGACTCATCCTCGCACCTCACCTCCATTTACCTCGCTGCACCTCACCGGCATCACCGCACCGCACCGCACCTCACCTCCCCTCCACTCACTTCACCTCACCATCGCTCACCTTTTCAGTCGCTTCCGAAGTGGAGAAGAGCACAGCCACGCCAAGCACAGCAAAGCACAGCAAAGCGCATGTTCGAAGAGAGACAATGATTCCAGCCGCCGCGCTTCACTGAGTTGCGTGCAGTCCGACTAGATCAGACCAGCAAAGTCCAACGACAAGCTCTCTGCCCCACCGAATCGATCCCGAACTATTCACGAATGCTCGTCCTGCACCTCCTACATACATCGACCGCCGCCGAAACTCCCTCGAAATAGGTCGGCCTGTTATCAGCACGGAATTCTGCACATTCTTATCGTCGAGAGCACTTCCTCAGACTGCTCGCAATCACGCCCATCTGGCGTTGTACGCCACCAACACAACAACACCACCCTCTATACGCATAGCCCGCTCACACAATGATCACTCGGACATGGACGAGCCTGCTGCTGGGCTTGCTGATGTCGTGTCTATGTCAGCCAGTAATCGGCGCTGATCGCTGGTTCAACTACCAAACAGACGATGGCACGACCGTAGTGCTCAATGACAACCGTCAGCCCGCTTTGTATACCAAGGACTTTGGTGACTGCTTGGGCGGCAGCACCATCAATGTCACCCGCTTTGATGTGGCCTACTACAAGGACAACATGACGATTCTGTGGCACATGGCAGGAGAGACTGGCGTTATTGGCGACAGTGTCATGATGAGCATTGGAGTCTACGCCTATGGCGAGAATAGATACGAGCTCATCTTCAATCCTTGTGCTGCCAATATTCGGAGTCTGTGTCCGCTCAACGCGAGTGTACCGATAGTGGCCACCACTATCATTCCCGTCAGTGCATCCGATGTGGCTGCCATCATCCCGCTGGCCTTGACCATTCCGGACTTCGAGGGAGAGGCTATATTGCGCATCTTCTCCAACACTACACAATCGGAGATTGCCTGCTATTCTGCCGTCGTGACGAATGGTGCCTCGTTCAGCCACCCTGCCGCTGTGGGGACTGTGTTAGGGCTATTCACGCTGGTAGCTGTGATTGCTTCTTTCGCAACCGCCATCTATGGAGAAGTCGTCCCAACAATGAGATTGCACTACGCGCACTCCCTCTCAGTCGGCGTGGTCTTTGCCGTCTGGCAGCACATCTTTTTCTCCGGGGCTCTCTCAGTCAACTGGGCATCAGTACTGCCGGCATGGTGGAGCAACTTTGCGTGGGCAAGCGGCATGATTTACACCCAGAGCATGCAGGCCAACCTAAACGACTTCATTGGAAACGACTTGGGTAACACCTCTCAGGTGGGAGCTGCTCAGTCTGGTTCTTCGAATGCTGGCGTTGGTGGCGGCTTTGACATTAGCTCGATTTACAGGAGAAGTCTCTCCAGCGTCAAGCGAACTGCAGACCACCCTGTGTACCACGATCTTGCTGCAAAGATCTACGGTCGGCAGGCAGCTGCCACGGAGTCTACAGCGTCGAGCTCGGGCTTCTCAAGCAGGAGCCAAGGCTACCAATGGTATGGCGATCCAGTTCCCAACGGCCTGCCACTGCCAGGAAATTATTCTGGCTTCGCGGGAACTCTTGGGGCGGAGAGCATATCCGCGAGCACAGCTTTCCTGACCAGCTTTCTCTGGTTCCTGATCATCCTTGTGATTCTGGTCGCAGCAGTCATGGCATTCAAGTGGCTTGTAGAAGGGCTGATTCGCGTGAAGTGGATCAAGCAGGATCGATTGAAGTTCTTCCGCGATCATTGGCTGGGCTACAGTGCTGTTGTCGCACTCCGCATCTGCTATATCGGCTTCTTCGCTATGATGTTCTTGTCGATCTTCCAGTTCACTTACCTCTCTAGCAGCGGGGCTCAAGGCATTGCTGCGATTGTATTCATCATCTTCTTCATCGGCATGCCACTCGCAGCTGCATATGCTGTCTGGTACAAGAAGGCCATCACTGGTACGACATCTGGCCGAGTCTTCGAGCATAAGACGCTCATGGGCAGGATTCCCTTCCCCAAAGGATTTGGCAGCAAGACGCCAAATACCACCTCTGTGGAACTTCAACCGCCCACTCAGCCAAATCACGCGCATGCCGAGAGCAAGTCTAGCACTGTGCCCCTCTGGAAGCGCAAGGCCTCAGCTGATAAGGTGCCCACAACCGCTGGTAACGTGCACAGCGTCCATGATGATGATGACTACATCAAGAAGTTTGGATGGTTAGGAGCTCGCTTCAGGCGAACACGTTGGTGGTTCTTCAGCGCTTGGCTCTTTTACGAGTTCATTCGTGCCGTCTTCTATGGCGGCGCCTCTGGCTACTCCCAAGCACAAGTTTTTGGTCTTCTGGTAATCGAGATTATTGCCTTCGGTCTCATCATCTGGATGAGGCCATATGAGGGCCAGCGACTCAACGTGCTTGTGGTGTACTGCCTTGGCTTCAGCAAGGTCGCAACTGTTGCGCTGTCCGCTGCATTCGATGTGCGCTACAACCTGGCACGTATTCCCACCACAGTCATCGGCATCGTCATCATCGTCATCCAAGGCATACTCACCATCATCACCATGATTGCGATCGTGGTGGGCGCCATCAGCTCATACATGTCGGTGATGCGTAACGCGGAAGACTTCCGACCTCGTCGCTGGTATAAGATGCGCGAGAGGTACTTCGACCACCTTGACCGCACTGTTAACGACCTTCCGCGACCACCCAAGGTGAAGAAGTCCAAGCAGCTGCCGGCTGAGCCCGAAGAGGCGAAGGTTGGTTTCGAGATGAGAAATGTGAAGCGGGTCGCAAAGATCGAAGACGAAGATAAGAACTTCCAAAGCGAGATTGCCACCGGTCCGAACCAGACCTTGGTTAGCACCGAAGATCTGTCATCGACAGCCTATGGTAAGAGAGCGATGACGCCCACTGGTGTGAGCCGGGCGAACAGCAGAGCAGCAAGTGTGGCAAGCATCAGCACGACGAATTTGCCATACGGTGCACGAACACATAGACCAAGCTGGAGCACTCGAGACTTTCAGCGAGCAGGTTTTGTGACGCAGGAAGAGGACGACACGAGCCTGACTGCCGTTGGCGACGATCCCGTCACTTCGGGAACACCTAATAAGCGGCATAGCGGGGTGCCTTCGTATAAGCAACCTTCGCTGCGCACAATGCCCAGCAATGCTTCTTTGCGAGTTGGCGCGGAAGTCAGCAGCACGGATGCCATCGGTGTTGTGCCTGTACCTACCGTTCGCCCCAGAGCAGGAACGATGGGGTCTATCCGGAGCTCACGTCGCATCTCCGGAGCCTCCTGGGGCATTCCCGAAGCTGCTCCGAGCCCAGACCATCTCACTTTCGAAGTACCGCCGATACCATCGCAGTACTCCTCCAAGAGAAATTCATGCATGTCCCAACACAACGACAATGGGGAGTCGAGCAGTAGGCCTACCACGAGCCATCAGCAACATCTTGCACATGCCAGGGGCATTCCGCTTACACCAGCGCTGGAGCACGAGGAGTGGGATCTGAAAATTACAAAGACCAACTCTAAGCCACAATAGCGCTGTGGCTCACCGGTTTGGGATATCTCTTTCGAAGACTATCCCGCGAGTCCATATTCTCGCGCCGGTACCTTCGATTGGATCTGATTTGGTGCAAGCGTGGAGAACAAGACGTGCTTGCTTTGGACATGATTGGAAGAGAGACGGGAAGAAGACAATATTGATTCCGCATGGCGAAAGGCGTAATGAGGCGATTGCGCAAGCAATGAAACGAAGATGGATGCGTTGAGCGTGCTTTGGCGCATAACGGCTCCCAAGAGCAGCGCCAAGGCTTTCTAATACCTTTTCTTACGAACATTCCTTGACATATTTCGACAGAAGATACCAGCTCTACCAAGGGCAACACCCCACATTAGCGGGAAATCAGATGATGCAGAGCTCTAGCAATCGCTCACGCCTGTCATAACCAGTATGATGGGATGATAGAAGGATGATGGGCACAATCACGGCTGGACCGAATAAAGCAAACATGTGTAGACAGACAGATGAAATCAACAGACGTACCAGTATCCCATGAATTAAAAGTCTCGAAGAACCGCATCATTGACACGCCACTTCCAGTCCTGGCATCATCATCATCATCATCATCATCATCATCATCATCATCATCATCAGCTTCAAATTCTCAATGAAAATGCTACATGGCAAGCAATCTGCACGTACGTGCTTTTTACCACCTAACTAGGTACACTACCGCGCAGTCCCATTCCCATCTCTGACAGACTGCGTAGCCGCCGCCTCCTTCGCCGTCCTCCCCTGCTCCTCCAACACCACCCTCTCCATCTCCCGAAACCCTTCCACCGCCTCTCCATACTGCTCAAACACACCCTTCGTATACCCCTCGGCAACCCTCTTCACAAACCCATCTTCATCCCATCGCTCCCCAATCAAATCCTCAAACGTCTGATAACCACCACCATCAGACTTCCTCTCACAGCCCCACACAGCTTTGTACGCTGCGCCCAAGGCGCACGCATTCCCTCCAATGTCTAATTTGAATACGCCTTCCACTCCGCCGAGGACTTGGCCGGCGATTTGCGCAATGGCCGGGTTGGCGGAGCCGCCGCCGACGAGGTAGACGCGGCGGGGTTGTGGAGGGAGGAGTTGGCCTGTTTGGGGGTCTTTGGCGGAGTGGACGAGTGGTTGGGAGCGCAGGCGGAGAGAGAGGAATTGGGATTCGATGATGGTGCGGGCATCGTCGGTGATGAAGTCGGAGGAGGAGGCTGTGGCGGTGAGGTTGTGGGAGTGTGGGTTGTAGGTGTATCGCCACTGGCCTGCAGGGAGATTGGGGACGATTTCTGGACGGGGAAAGTAGAGACCGAGTCGCTGGGGATCGGAGGGGGATTTTTGGGATAGAGGGGGTGTGGAAGTGGCGGCGGAGTTGAATTGGTCCCAGTCTTTTGATGAGGAGAGCTGGTCGCGGATTTGTTCTCGGGCGAGGCCGCCGTTCTTGTAGCAGAGCATGAACATGTATAAACCGGACGTGGTGGGATGGTTCATGAAATGGTACGCAGGGTCGGGCTTGTATTGGGGTGTGCTCATCAGGAACGTCGTGCTTGTGCCCAGTGATACCATCGCGTCGGAAGCTCGGAGAGGGAGCGCAAGAATGGTCGATGGGTTGTCACCGGTGGTAGGGATGATTTGACAGTCCTTCGGAAAGCCATATCTTCCAACGAAATAGTCACTGATGCAGCCAAAAGCTTTGCCGCCATCCTCTGGTACATCTCCCAGTTTCTTCTTCAACTCTTCCACACCATGCTTGCCACCTGCTGCAAGTGCCAACAGTCTCTCGTCCCAAGCCCCCTTCTTGATATTCCAGAGGTTCATACCAGTCACATCCGCAATATCAATCGGCGCAAACCCACCAAGAAACACCGACGCCAGGAAAGACGACACCAACGAGATCCTCTCGGTCGCTTCATAATGTTCGGGATACTTTTCCCGATATCTCAGAATCTGCGGCCCACTGAATCGATGATGCGCCTTACTCCCCGTCACCTCCGCCAAAGTCTCCGCATCTCCCAACTCCGCATCAAAAGCATCACACTGCTTCTGCGTGCTAGCATCCTGCCAATTCGGACTCATATCATGCGCAAACGCTCCAGTCTCCAGCTGTTCTTTCAACGACTTCCCAGAATCCAGATTCGAGAGAAGTGCACTCGCATCTCGGGACCAGAAGACCGTTCCATGTTGCATTCCCGCTCCAGAGAGACCTTTGACTCGGTTGAAATCCAGACCAGCTTCTCGGAGGCGGGAGAGAACAAGATCGATGGCATCTAGCCACATTGCAGGCGGCGCGAAGACTTCGCCTTCTGCAGGGTTGGTGAGGACGCCCTTTTCGATGCCATAGGTGGAGAGATCTGCATCAAAGTCGACTTTGGCTTCGTGGATCAGTTTGAGATTGGACTCGACGACAATTCCTGTTATGGTATCAGTCTTGGGCTCAGATTGTTCATGGTATACAGATGGTATATATACGTACCCTTGAGTTGTTGCGTGGACAGGTCGAAACCCTAGTTCGACAAAAGGTAAGCTGGTATACCTCGAGTTTCTGCTCTCCGCCTTCACTTGCCATGTATAACGGGCCGTGGGAGGCCATGATGCGATATCCTTTTGTGAGATGTGGTGATTCTGGTCACGTTTCATCAACACACTTGATGTGTGTCCTGTCACTCCTGTGGATCCGGAATGCAGGTACAGCTTGAAGCGCTGAGCTCATCATTAGATTATTCCCCCACATGCAGCTACATTTAGTTCTATAAGGTACCTATTTAGCCTGATATGCCCGCAACTTGCAAGCCCCGGGCGGAACAAGCAATTGAATGAAAAGCCGAACTGCGGAATAAATTGCTTCTGCTACCTTTAATAAAATAGTCTGGGCCTCTAGAACTAGCTGTCGTTGTGTGTCGTGATACCTCCGTACCATCCGATCGTCCTCGCCACATCCGGGAAGATACCGCCTCGTATCAAGGAGTTGTCGTCGCCGTGCTGCTGGACAGAGCCTCTGTGCTCTTGATGCTGGTTGATCTGCTACGTCCACATGCCTCGTCGATCTCTTTCAATGCTTCCCGGCCACCAAGAGCACCTAGTTTCTGCGCCATGAGTGTATTCTGGGTCTGTAAATCAGCCACCTGGTTTCTCAGCAACGAGTTCTCTCTGCGTAATAGATCTGCTTGACTCCGGAAGTCGTCTCGTTCGCGCGACACCAGGGAGAGCTTATACCGATCGTCCTTCTTCTTTCGCTTTTCTTCAGCTTTGCGCTCCTCTTTCGCCTTCTTGGCCTCTAGCTTCTCGACCTCTCTGCGATGCTTCTCTTCCGTCTTCTTAAGTTGTTGCTCGATCTTTTCCTGCGTCTTGCCACTTTCGCTGTTGTCTTTCTCCTGGGCCTCTTTGATTTTCTGCTGTTCTGCCAAGCGCTTCTTCGCCAGCTGTTGATCGAGCTTCTCACGCTTGCGGACAAGCTTCAGGACCTCCTTCTCGTGGTGGGACATGCCTTTAATATTCTTTGCCTCCTCCGAAACGTTGCCGCTCATGATACTGAGGTTGTCTGTTGATACATCAGGGGCTTGTACCTCTGGCGCCGTAGATACTCGTCTGAGCTCCTCGGCCGAAAGAAAGGATTCCATCGATGATGTGTCCGAAGAGTCATCGGATGATTCTGGCTCCGGATGTAAGTGCTGCAGCAGTACGCCAGACACTGATGCGGGCGCGTACGCCTCAATGCCGGCTTCGATTGCATTGGTGAAGCCGGATAAATAGCCTCCTTGCGAAGACTCATGTGTCGTGGTCGTTGTAGAATACGCGGCGGCAGGAGCAGGTTTTGTCCGCTCTGGTAATACTGGATTCGATGCTGTTGTTGGAGTCTCTGAGCTAACAGGCGCAGAACCATTCACCTCGGAAGGTGCTGAAGAGGTGCCCCCAGTCTTTGTCTTCTCTGCTTGCTCTCCTGGAACTCCTCTCTGCTCATCGAGGTCATCATCAGGGTGTGGTATCTCATCCAAAGCACATGCCCAATCAAAGAATTTCGTCAGGTCACCAAGCATGGCCTCTGGAGTCCCGCGCTCAACAAGAAATCGAGGTATACCACCTCCGGGATCTGATCTAGTCACCATTATCCATTCGACGGGATTCAGTTCCGGTTCATCTGAAGCATTCGCGTCCCTGCCCTGCGTGCCTTTCGATTGAGTGTCATTCGAATTCGTCCTGACCAGCTTGGTCGTCGACGTCGATTTCGCTGTAGACAATGGTATCTCGCGTATGACCTCGACAGATTCGTACTGACCTCGCACAAGCCCAGACCGAGAGGGAGCGTCGGGATGAGCGACGGGCTTCGATAGCACCATGAAGTGTCTGGGGACATGCGTGTTACCGCCAATATCGACAGCACTCTTGTCAGACAGAGTGCTGTCGCTGCTGATGACCAGAGCCACAAAGTCTCTCGGCGTGACCGGACCAGGGAATGCAGCACTCAACTCATACACTTCAAGCTTGCCTAGTCCAGGTATATCGATTCTTTCGAGCCGTCTGTCGGCTGCGATGCCTCGCACGGCACCTGCTCCGGGCTCACCTTGAACCGTCAAAGCCTGTGAGAACTCTCGCATCATCGCTCGCTTGAACCGATCATATCCAATACCCTCGTGAACCGAGCGCCTTGCGAACCATGCGCCATGTCGGTCATTACCGGCCATCTTGTAGAGCGCGACATTGTGTGGGTTCTGTTCTTTCTTGAACTTGTACGGCTTTCCCCAGCTCTTTTGCAATCTCACATGGTCTTCGTGAGGCGGATCCGATCGGGCTTCTGAAGCAGTCACTCCTTGGTGCGAAGTGGCCTGGTTGGGCTTACTTTGCGAGGCTTTGGAGGCATTGAACGGTGTACCATCAGGATTGGGCGGGACGGAATTAATGATGAGCTCGCCGGCCGTTAAGCAGGCCGATGCGAACTGCTTGAGATCGTCGGTGGGCACTTCATTCCAGTCCACTGGCCCCAGGTAAGTGAGCGCTTCGTGCAGCTCTTTCATGGTCGCTGTTTCGTGGACGACGACGAGTCGTGGTGTAGGAGTGAGGCGGTCGAGGAGAAGAAGGTGGTATGCACATGCCCGTATATCGAATGCTCCATTTCTCGCTTTGCTCCAGTCATGCAGCAAACATTGCAGCAAATGTAATAAGGTACCTAGTGTAAATGGCACTTACAGTAATCACAATTGGAAGCTGAGGTGAAAGTAGCTGTACACGCTTCGACGCGACGACATTATGTCACAGCGTTGTCGTATGATGATGATGATGCGCCAGGTTGAGCCAAGTTCCTTGGTTTTGTCCCACCTTATCTCCGTACGGATCACGAGTCCGCGGAGCTGTCTCCTGACCACTTGACCCAATAGGAGGTAGGACGTAACGTAGACCTAGGAGGTAAAACATGACCTCGGACGCCCAGGATCCGGGCTGATGATATGCGACATCCACCGCTGAAATAATGCAGTGACAAGTCAACGACCGTAGAATGGTTTGGGTGTACGTATAAGATGACTGTTCAGCGCAGTCAAAAGCAGCATCAGGAGCAGTAGTATGCAAAAACAAGAACGCAATATCAATCACAACGACAGTCTGGGATTCCTCCCATGCTTCTTTCCCGTTCACTCCCCTCAACATATTCTGTCTCCGTCCATCAGCCTGTCAGGAAACTCATTGCCGTACGCACTCCGTTTCGCCCTCCACAAGTGCCACGACGTACTCTTGGCACAGATGACCCGAGTAGTCGGTATATCCAGTCGATTTCCACCAGTACACGCAGAAATGAAAGCGCTGGGTGTTTCTCGACTACTTTTTTTTAGTCGGGATAGATGAAGCTTCGTCGACCAAGTCGTGTTAGAGAGTCTCTCATAGCAACTGCTCATGCAGTATTGCTTCGATCTCAGGTTGGGACCCACAACTTGCGTTGCTGACGGGGAGCCTCTGGGCGGGCGAAGCTGCCCGGGTCGATCTGTCCATGGGTAGTCACAGGCGTTGCGGCATTTTGCTGTTGTTTGTGGCTGTTATACTCAAATCCGCCGCGACCAGCGAAATTACCACGGCCTCGGACAGGAACGTTATTGGCGCGAAAGTTACCGCGCCCGCCACGGGCATTGCCACGCGGAGCAAAGGGCACGGCATGGTGATTTCGTGGCGATCCGCGTTGAGCAGGCACGTTGCCAATGCGTGGGGACTGAGGAGCCTTTGGCAGGTCCTGCTTAAGTGTTGGCTGTGGCTGACTTTGAGGCTGTGGACGACGGTCGAAGGCATTTGGATCGATGAGGTCGGGTTGCGGCTTGGGCAACATCGCCGCTGGCGCACGTGGCGGCCTGAACACAACTTCGTTGTCCTCGTCCTCGTCCTCGTCCTCGTCGTCTTCCTCGTCGACTGCGTCCTTGGGCGTGATCGGTCGATCGGCCTTCTTTACCTCCAACGGCTTCTCATTGTTATTCTGTCTAGCATCGATGCTCTGGTTCTCACGACTCAGCATGGCTTGCCGATTCTTAGAGTCGCGGTCCTCTCTGCCCACAGCCTCACGCAACTGCTCAAGTCTCTTCGTCTTGATGTCAAAACCTTTGGCAAAGCCGACCTTGCGAGTATCGTTGCACAGGAAGATGAAAGACTCGAGCGCTGCAACGGGATCCAGCTCCTGATGAATGCGCCAGATAATGTAGTTGAATAGAGGCTGTAAGCCAGCCGGGACACTAGCACTTGACGATTGTGGTCGACTGGCAGCTGCATTCAGGGAAGCAATGCTCTTTGCTGGCGGGCCGACTGCCTTCTGTGGAGTAGCCGGGAACGAGAGCGCGCTGGCACTTGAGCGTGGGCTGTGCAGGGACGAGGGCGACAACGAGCCACTAGCTTCCGTGGCACCTGAGCTAAAGGACGCCTTAGCATTCTCGTCGGAAACGAGAAGCTTGGCACGACTCTCATAGGAATTGTTGCTAGAATCGGCCAGTTCGAAATCATGATCGTAGTTGTCTTCCGAGAAGAGCGTGCGCGGCACGACGAAACGCTCGACCAAGGCCCATTTCTCGTAGGTGTCTTCAGGCCCTTGTACAGCGACCGAGTGAGGATGCTTGTCGGTAGCGTCGTCCAGCCACTGCAAAGTCTCGCGCACATCTTCCGCATGTTTGGTAGTTCCATTCTTTTGTCGGTTCAGCTCATCCAAAGCTGTCTTGTGTCAGTCCCGCGAAAGCTCCGTATATTATGCGTGCCCGTGCCACTCACCGTGCAGCGGGACAAAGAGGCGGATTTGCTCGTTCTTAACCCACTGCCGAATACCGTTTCTAGTGCTTCTCTTGACTCCCGCTACCAGTGCCGAGTCATCGACAATGCAGTTGAATATCTTGCGCGCTGGGCGGGTCGCTGGGGAGCGGGTCTGCGGCTTCGCGCCATGCTGCGAGACTGGGCGCTGTCGGGAGCGCATGGTTCCTTTTCCGCTCGATGCGGGCGGTGGTTTCTATGTGATCGCGGTATGAGATAGTGCAGGGAGGAAGAGGAAGAAGAAGAGAGAGACACAAGCAGCAAGCAAGTCGAAAGCTTGTGGGCGGCGCTTGTGACGAAAGTTCCGTGGGGGACGCGGCGGTCAGGTAGGAATGACAACAGCGCAGTGCCTCGAGTCAAAAGAAATGTAGGCGACACACCACTGAACCAGTAACCATCTTAAGCGAGTATGAGTTGGTGGTAGAGGTGAAGCGTTCATGTGCCGAGTACAGTCGCGGGCGGGAGCGCGCATATGGCAGTCAGGTAGGTAGACGGTAAGGTAGGTACCGGTAGTGTACTGTACGGTCGTAATGGCAGCTCGGCGAATGCGGTCGAGTCCTCTTCAGGGTTGGGCAGGCTCGGTTCCTGCGGCGGGAGTGGGAAGGGGCATGCTGTAGTAGCAGACGTCGGTTGTCGGTGTTGCAACTACCTGCGATTTATGCTTGTGTTGTGTGAAGGTCTGCGTCAAGTGATGAAGTGGAGCCTACAGTTATCGGCCTGCCAAGAACACATGCACATCCCAATCAGGACCGATGATGACCGCCAATCGCTCCCAGCCTCCCACCTCCATTATTCATTATTTATCATTTATTATTATTATTAGAACTACATGTAAGTTACTCACTGTTACTGCGTCCATTTCCGCGCAAACCTCAAACCTCGGCGCCATCTACACAATCTCATATGGGGTTCAGTCCGAAAAGTCTGCTCATCAACAACATCATTCACTCCTGGCGGCGACTTGTTCATCTGGCCTTCCTGTTGTTCTAGAAACCGGGCGAAAGCATGGAATTCACACGCAAGTACAGCAAGGTACCTTAAGTCGATCTGATCTGCTCTGTTCCTGGTCTTCACCTGGATCATCTCGAGCATGGCATAAAGACTCCCGTCGCGCCATAGCTCCGGTCATGAAACCATACCATCGCCTTCACTCCCCCCCTCTCACTATTGAAGTGGGCAAGGGAGTATGGTATCGGATTATTGGTAACAATCGATTCGGGACCGCGGTTCTTCTCAGAGTCAATATGTTTCCACGGTCTTACGAAAGGCGTACCCAACAGTACGATTTGTAACCCCTCAGATGTGCACAATACCATCGAGCGGTACCGTTGCATAGCCTATTGCTCGAGTCGGTCTCGCCTCATCGCACCAATGTAGACGTGAGCGACGATGCGTAAGCCTACACCGTCCGTCCCATGTGAAGCACGGAGAGTAAATAGAAGTGGAACTCTCGATTTTCTGCAGCGGCGCATTGGCACTGACCTACCAGTTTGAGTCCAGTACCCTTCGTCCGAGGCACCACGCATCTACGCGCCAATCTCCCTGTTCTGGTCCTCCTTTCCGCCGTATCCCTGCGCAACGCGATCTGCACCTCCACTGCTCTGCTCGCTCTGACCTTGCACACCACCATAACCACTTTGCTCTCCACCACTTCCTCCCTGCCCAGTGGTGAACCCGCTCATGCCGCCTTCCGAAATCGTCTGCCCATATCTGATGTTCTCTGCCGTCTTCTCGCCGCGCTCCTTTCGCTGCTGCTGAGCCTCTGACGTGGCTGATGGATCTTCAGTTGTTCTGTCTGAAGAGGAGCCAAACTGGCCCGTCGACTTCGAATTCGGAATCACATCTGAGTTCTCGCCCTCATACCTGCGAGGTATCAGTATGAGGGAAGTGGCAGATTTGTCAGAGCATTTACTGAGTCTGTTCGCCGCCCTTCTCTGTGTCCATTAAGCTGGAAGACATGTTGTTCCAGAGATGTGCTGTGTGTCAGATAGAATGTCCTGATTGTGTGCTTCAGTGTCCTCTCGACAGGAGTTTCAAAGTGATGAGGTAGGTATAGCTTGTGTGCAGCAGTTGAGATGTGCAAACGTTGTTGAGCTGCAACATCCTCAGAATGGAAGCATTCAATGGAACCTGAAGCTGGAGCTCATCGCAAGCATGACCTCATTGTGACCACCAAAAGACGCCGCGCTAAGTCTCATCAGGTGCATACTGGTACAGTGCATACAACGCGTGTATGAGGAATCATCCGCGCGTGACAGAGCTTTAATTTTAGTCGAAGAGGTCATCATCGAGGTCCATTCCCATGAAGTTCCTGTGGCTTGTCAGCATAGAGCTTCCCAATGTATAACATGGTTACTCACATCTCATATATCCGCATGAACTTGGTTACGAAGGCCTCCAAATGAAAGATGACCTTCGAGCCCATTCGAATGCGGTGCTCATAGAAGGCCGCCCACTTGACTACCTCAGGCTTCAGGCTGTCGTCCAGCTTCGGCATGAGCTTGAAAGTGAGAGTCTAACTCCCGTCAGCTCGTGTTTCGGTCGAGATCAGTTATAGAGATGTACACACCTTCAATATTGTCGTAGCGGGAATGCAATGTGTCAACAGATCATACAGCTTAGCCCGAACTTGCAAGATTCTTGCAGGACTCCGCTCCTCAATAATTTCCTTTGCAATGACTTCAATCAATGCTTCCCAATCAGGCGGCGGAATCGGCGTCTTTTCTGATATCTGCTCGTTTTGTGCATGAATGGCCTCGAACATGAGCAGTGCTCTCCTCAAATTTCGCTTCGACTCCTTCGCGATCTTCTTCTCTAGCGGCTCGCAGCTCGTATATCGCTCGTCCTTGCCAACCTTTGCGAGCACTTCGCAAATCTCCGCCTCCGTGGGTGCAGACACGCGCACAAGCAGGCACCGTGATCGAATAGGTGCGATAATGTTGGACGTGCTGTTCGCCAATAGAATCAGGCGAAGGTTGGGGCTGTACTTCTCCATCGTCCGACGCAATGCCGCTTGCGCATCTCGCGTCAATTGATCTGCTTCATTGATGACGACAACTTTGAAGCGCTGCTTCGCCGCAAGGTCGACTTGTTGTGTCTGCGCCACTTCCTTCAACAGGTCCTGCACGACCACTCTATCATAGTTGCCCACGTCGGAGGGCGTGATCTCCAGGTGATAGTTTGAGGAAACGATGTTGAATTCCAGCTTGCGATTGGAGGTAGTCTGAAAGACTCTGCTGTCTATCTTAATCTTCTCAACTCCCGGGCCATACAGAGCGCGCAATGTTGCTGTAATGCGTGTCTTCTTGCCTGCTCCTGATGGACCGTAGATGAGCAGATGTGGGAAATCGCCGCTGTTCGCGAGAGCGCGAAGTCGTTCAGACAGCTCGGGGTGGTAGGAGAGGGTTTCGAGAGTGCGCGGGCGATGTTTGTCTACGAGAAGGGCCATTCTTGCGGATGTTGGAGAGGTATCGCGGGTTTGATGGAGATGGGAGTGTTTGACTGTGGAATGGTGAATGAGTGGTGATGGTGATGATGATGCGTCTCGGAGAAACGCGTCGGACGCGAGATAGACGCGAAAATGGACAGCCGCTGATGCACTCGTTCCGAGGTCCCACGCATTCATTTAGAGCGCATGCCAAGACATAACGAGTGCAGGTCAAGGTACAAACGGTCTCTCGGCCGTTGAAAGCTCTTATATCCAAGGATACAGGTATACCTTTTTGCTCGTGCTCTCTGAAGCGCATCTTCCGTTATGCAGAATCCCACTCCCATCAAGTCCAGCCGCCCAAGAAGGCTTGGTCTGCCAGGTATGTACTTTCTCTTTGCAGCATCATTTCTATCGTCTACACCTGTTCCAACAGCAATAACGCTTCACATATACTGCTGTAAGACGTACGTGGAAGCGGCACCGAAATTATGTGCTCTGGATGGATCACATCACGACACAATTCTCCTCGTCTTTCTTTTGGTCTTTCCGGCTCAACTTGCCATTCTGCGGCATAGCTTTCTCCTTCTTCCCACCGTTTCTCTTCAGTTCTTCAAGCCGCTCGATCGCCTTGGGGAATTTATATGCTGCTCAGAAATCAGTAGCCGCACTTCGCGAAGCATACGCCCACGAGAGGGTCAAGGGCACTTACAAGCGGATCTCGAATACCACTTTCTCGCCTCCTCCATACTCTGCGGACATCCTATCCCATTCTCCGTAAAGTAACCCATGGCAAACATAGCCTTTGGGAGAGGAGGCTCCGAGCTAGCAGCTTTTCTCGCCCAAAGATAAGCCTCGGTATCACTATTTTCGAGAATTCCCGGCGCACCAGTCAAATACCAGCCAGAAAGTGCCAATTCAGCCCCATGTTCACCTTGTGCTGCAGCCTTGGTATAGTATGCTATACTTGTACGGTTATCAATGCCGCAGCCCAACGATCCATATTCCCATGCTTGGCCAAGGCGAAATTGACTATGCTTGTAGCCCAAGCCGGCTGCTTTTTCGAAAAGTTGACGAGCATAAGAGTCGTCTGCGACGACTTTGCTCCGGATTTCGGGATTTGTGTTCTCACTCTCATAGATTTGGGCCAGTTCATGCAAGGCATGTGGGTTATCAGCATCCGCCTTTTCAGCGCCACGTTTCAGCCAAATGACAGCTTCGACGACGTTGCGTTGTTGGCCGAGTAGACCTTTCAGAAGAATAGCGCCGAGCTTGTACATGCCAGGACCATCACCAAGGGTAGCAGCACGACGATACCATTGTACAGCTTTGGCATAATCACGGCTGGTGCCGCCGCCTTCCTCGGCTCCCATTTCGCAACAAACGGCTGTTCTGTAAGCAGATTCGGCATGATTCTCTTTGGCAGCTGCTTGATATAGCTTGAAGGCTTCTTTGGGGTCAATTTCAAGACCAAGTGCCCCTGAACCGTAGCAATCTGCCAGGTAGAACTGTGCTTCTGGAAAGCCTCCACCCACGAGCCTCTTGAGACGCTTATGAGCTTCCATAACGAACTTTTCACGATTCTTGCTCGTCGTCCGAGGGTCAGCACGCCCGCCTTCAGTCGCAAGGACGTTAGACGCCTCGACTAACTTCTTGACAAGCACCAATGCCAAGTTCATGTTACTTGGAGCGTTGTCAACCGCAGCACGCAGGCGCTCGAGCTCAGCATGGGTGACTGGCTGCGCGAATGGATCTGTAGAAACCTGCCGCTGATGAGACGCATCACCGTTTGCCACCTGACCAGGAGGAGACGAGTGTGATCCATTATAGTTGCGATTAGGTGGCGGTTGAGACGGCGGGGGGTCACCGCCCCGGTCCAGCAGTCCTGGGCGAACCGGTACAGGATGAAAAGGAAGAGCATCTGGATTGTGAGGAGGAGGATTCCGATCGGGCGCAGATCGCTGCTGACTAAGTGGTGCTCCCATGCCATTGGGTGGTGGCCCTTGCGAAGGCGGGGCGCTTCCTGTCCTGCCCGGATCCGACCAAGTAGTACCTTGACGATCCAGATCAGGTCGGCCTGGAAAGCCTCTGCCCATTGGCATGCCGTTAGGCCCTCCTCGTGGATGCATTCCATTCGGCCCGCCTCGCATGCCATGCGGTGGGCCTCGTGGCGCCAACGGCCGTCCCTGTGCATCAAAACGTTGCGGAGGCGGAGGCCCATTCCTGTATGGTAGAGGTCTGCCGTCATCTAGAGACCGTCTGACCTGCGGCTCGTGCGCGAAAGGCGCTCGAGGGGGCTGCATATTGTTGGCAGGGCCTTGCCGTAGGCGAGGATCTTGCGCACCTGGAGGCGGTCGTTGCGCATAACCTTGAGGTGGAACTGAAGACGCCCCACCATGATAGCCATCATGCCTTGGTGGCCCCCTCTCCGCAGGTGGCAATCTTCGATCACTAGGCGGGTACGGCTGCGCCGACTGCTCATATCGCACGTCTGGCATTGAGGAAGATTGCGGCAAGCCCGGGTGACCTGCTGGTGTGACGGCTGGTGGTAGTGGCGACGTTGAGGGACCGTTCGCCGGCAAGAGCTTTCCCAGATGTGATGTCCGTGCTGGGGCCACATTGTCAAAGTCGGGCATATCCGCCTCGATCTCCTCTTCACGGTTCGTGGGCCTTCGCTGCAGAGGCTTGGGCGGAGGTGCAGGTTCAGCACCATAGTCATCATATATATCACCAAGGCTAGCAGGTCTGCTGTTCTCCACTCGTGCAAAGGGTTTCGATGGCAGACTTGCATAATCGTCATGAAGTGTCCCATTTTGCAGCTGTGCCAACGGCACTGTAGCTTGGTGTCCGCCTTGAGGGCGTGCGCCGTGAGACGTGGATGGACGTGGTGGTACATGCGCAGGACTGAGTGGCTGGTGGTTGTTATAGACTGGGTTCTGGTGATGCTGGGCTCGACTCGTGTCAATGGGCGGAACTGAGCCAGGTCCGCGTGACTGTGGCATTGCCCGCTGACCTGGTTCAGCTGGAGCATAACCTTGCTGGTTTGAGGATGGTTGCGGATAGTGATTCTGGTGGTAGCCATTTGCCTGACGTGGCGCGTCTTGTCCAAGGCCAAAGTCGAAGTGCTGATCGATGGGACTGCCTACCTGATTTGGTGGCGGGGCTTGGGGGTAAGCAGGCCTGCCCTGCTGGCTATGCTGCGGCGCAGACATCTCATGGCGTCCATTTTGGGGTGGCTCAGGATACACGTCACGGCGTTCCATGTCAGGCCTTGAAGCAGGATTCTGGTAGCCATTCTCTCCGGAGCCATATGATCGCTGACCTTCCAAAGCCATCGGCCTCCGCTCTTGATCTCGACTCCCTTGGCCATTTCTTCTTTCCGATTGCTTTGAGTCAGGTCTCTCGTCTTTCTTGTTGTCGCCGAATACTGGAAAGGCATTGTCGAATGGTAGAGTTTCGGGTGATCTTGCTTCAGCCTTCATTTTGGCCCTCTCTCTCGCCTTCCACTCTTCCATGGATGACCTACCGGGAGGTTGTGGTTGTTGTGGTTGTTGTGGTTGTTGACGTTTTTGTGTATTCGGGGCCTGCTGTGAAGGCGCATCATTGCTGTAGCCATTGGAGTAGCCACCCGGCAGCTGGGGGGCATACTGATCCTGTGCAGGGCGCTGGTCGTACTGCTCCCATTGAGGCTGCTGGCTTGTCGGATCTCCATGCATAGGTCTGCCATTGGGCGCAGGACCTCGCTGCTGTCCTGGTGGTGCTCTCTGCTGTTGCGCTCTTGGTTGATATCGAGCATCATACGACCTGTCCCCATTCCCATAGTCTTGCTGCTCGCCATAATGCTCTTGCCGGTATTGATTCTCGTGCTGCTGCTGCTGCGGCGGCGGCGGCGGCCTACTTCGTGCCTGCTCATAGCCACTACCGTAACCCTGGTCAATGCCGCGCTGATAGTGTTGGTTGTAGCCACCGTTCTGCAGCGGTTCCTGTGGGTAGCTGGTTTGATCGTATTGCGCTTGGCGCTGGTCGAAGGGTGTGCTTGCGTAGTCGCTATACTGGTTATAGCCATGCGATACAGGCGCTGGCGGAGGCTGTGGGCGAGCCTGGTAGGGTCTGCGCGGAGGCTCATAGGCCGAGTTCTGGTCGTAGGCCATGTTGTGCTGGCGTGCAGTGCTCCAAGCCGATGGGTACTATGCCATGTTCGCAGCGCAGATTGGTGGACCGCAATGTGTGGTGAAGGCTTTGCAGCAGAGACGTCGGGCTGTCTCAGGACTGACTGATGCGTGGTCAGTACCTCCTAGTGGGGGGAATGTTTTGTCGCAAAGCAGACTCGTTGCAAACAGCGACACGCGAGATCGCGGTCGCGTCGTCGGTGGTGGTCGTCGTCGCAGTGGAGCTAGAATGAGTAGGTATAGTTTGGGACTGGTGGTGGGTTGGTACCACAGTTGTATAGTGTGCACGCGCTCTGTCGTGGGCCAATGGATCGGGGGGGTGTTTCTGGAAGCGCGTTCGTTCAGATGGGTGGGTGGATCAAGGCTCAAGGTACAGTTAGTAGTGGAAGAGGTAGAACCAGACGGGACTTGAACCAGTGAACGGGAGACGGGGGGGGGGAGGTCCTTCAGCCACGGCTCAGGTACCACCCAGTCCAGTGCGCCAATGTCCCAGTGAGCAGTGACCAGTGAGCCAGCTAGAAACTAGGTACTTTACCAGTTACCACCTCGGACTTCCAGGTTTCATTCTGGAGTGTGGTGGCGTTGTCTTGTGATGTGATGATGGATTGCTACCTTGTACGTACATCACTGTACTACAAGTACTTCCAGTGTATACCATCTCTATTGGTACATGTATCTCCATCAGTAGTGATACAGTGTATTCAGGTTTCCAACTGATTGATTCTACCTGGAGCCTGGAGGTACTGCTGATCTGCAGACTGCTGGACTCGTGTCTCTGGAGTGCATAAGGTTATGTAGCGTTGCATAAGCCAAAATGAGCGAATGTACCTTAACTCTATATACAAAGCTACCAGTGACCACCGAGGAGGTACATGACTAGGTACATGTAGGTAGGAGGTAGACGGTAGACGGGACGCCAGCTACCTCCTAGACGCACATGTTATATAAGGTGAGTCTGCTTGTTCACTTGTGTTCTTCTGCATACCTTATCCAACGGTCGAGCTGCGGAAACACACCTACATACAGATACCGCCAGGAATACCTAGATGTTGGATACCTTATACATACATCCGGTAGAATAGATACGATGGCACGTGTCGCCAGCCGACTCGACCACCTCAGCCGGCGTAGATAAGACTACCTTACCCAGTCAAGTCGTATGGCACGGTCGGTGATGTGATACATGATTATGTCGGTACTAAAAATGTGTCAATACGGTAGCGGACCTACGGTATGCTTCACTTTATCATCTTTCATGTCTCATGTCTGGAAGAGTTATCATGAAATGGCTGCAGAGGTCGACAAGTCTGTGTCTGCTCCTTCTATACCATCATACCCCGCCAGCCCGCACCGAAGACCTGCAACAACAAGTCTTGGCCATTACCGAAAGCGAAACCGGCCCCCCACTCACAGCACTCAACTTCTCTTCGACCTCTCCCCTCATCTTCCACTCCACCTTCTCTCTGCTCCACCAATGGTCCAACACCTTCTATCCCAACGGCCATACTATCGCTACCGCCACAATCCCCCCGCATACCAACCTCTACCACGCACATGGCAATGGTAGCTTCCCGCCGAGTCCAGAATGGTTCGCCTTCGATGCCTCCATGGCATATGCCATCCTCGGAGGCCTTTCCGATAGCCACCTCCTGACCTTTAGAACCACCAGACCAGTCAACGTCGTCTACTTCGATGGCACGAGCGCTGCCTTGACCGACAATGGCTCCATGGACACTCAAATGCTGCTGCTGTACAACAATTCTGCCAATGTTCCCGATAACCCGATATGGCCACGCCCGCCTCCCAGGAGACCGAACGAGACAACTCCCTACCCGCCGCCCCGCTGGGGATATGGTCGACCTCCTCCAGGCTTCAATCCTCTGCAAGGAGAGTACGATCGCGCCGATGGACTGTGCAGGTTCATCAGGGAGTCGAGCCTTGGTGGGCCTGGATGGGGCTTCGAGGGCGTAGTGAGAATGAACGCTGCCTTCGAGCTGATTTGGTGTAATTTTACCTCACCTTCAGCCCAGCTCGTGTCATGGCTGAACGTGAGTGCGCCTTTCTTGGCAGGAGTGGCTCCTGGGCCCTACTGGAGGCATATGAACACTGCATTTAGGGGAAGAAGCGCATACGAATGGTTTCTTGCTGCTGCAAGGACATATGGCTTTACAAGAGGCATGCCTGGCATGGGCGAGTCTCGAGTGAAGATTGACAGTTGTGGACTGTTCAGCTTCTACGACGGCGCCATGGAGGACCAGAGCAGAATCAGGACCAAGGCGGAGCAAGCAAGACTGAACCTGACCACGAATGGCTCGTGGAAAATGCCAGCGCATACCGGAGACCGAGCTGCTGCTCTCCGCAAGCTCACTCATCGGCGACGCTACCTACGTGCAACGAACATTAGCATTTCGGATGGACTTTACATGCGCGCAGAGCTCGAAGAGCGCATGCGAGAGACCTTGGAGGCAAAGAGTACAGCATGCAGCGGAATTGACTGGGTAGCCTTGACACAACGCATCGTGACCGATTACAGTACGGAGCTTCTGGAGCTCAGAACACTTCTAGCCGGATCCACTCCTCGCACGAATGCCTCTGAAATACGCTCCTGGCTATCTGATATACGGACCTTGATACATGCTCTCTACATGCCATACTACGAATATCCCTCTCACACGCCCTCCACAATCGATCAAGCCTTCTCGACTGCGCATCCATCTTCACTTGCAGCCCTCGATCTCTGCAAGACACAGCACAACGTGCTCGATCTCAACCAACCACTATCGAAGAGCGAGAATGTGACTTACACATCAATCTTGGAAACATTAAACTCCATCTGCTCCGTACTATTACCATTATTCCTCTCCACCGAGCGTCTCTGGCTACAGCACTTCAACAACATCACCCGCCTTCCAAACCTGACGCCCGACTTACGTTCCACAATATCTTCCACAACGTTGAGCAACCTTCAAGCCTTGGAAGAGTTGATGGCTTGGCTAGGATGGGACGAGCAATATACGACTTGCAACCCAGGCTGTGAGCTGGGACAAGTTTGCGCAATTCCCATTTGGCCTGTAATGGGTACCGGGCATTTTTCGGGACCCAATGGCGAGGGCAGGAGACCAGGTAGGGATGGAGGCCAACGAGAAGGCTATGACGAGTATGATACGTGGTTGGAAGCGAAATGTGTCGAGTATGGAGCACGAAATTTCGGAATGTCCGATATGATGTTGGCCGAGGAACGTTGGTGATGACTACTACTTCTACTACTACTACTGCTACCTAAGATCCATACTATGAAATTGTCGTTAATGTTATAGATTTCCAGACCAAATAGAAGAAATCATGCATGGACTGGTTCAGCGCAATTCGAAAACCCCCAAAGGAAAAAGATAGGGTATATGTACCTGAGGTAGGTAGGCAAGGTAGCACCACTCTTATCATACAGCCTTGCTATTTTCTTTTTCTTTTTGTCTTTCTTTTTTCAATTCAAACAGAATAAAAAGAAGAAATCCTCCTCCCCTCCCCTCTCTTCGCTTCCCTCTTCCCTCCTCCCTCTTCCCTCCTCCCTCTTCCCTGTCACCTCCCCTCACCTCACTGTGCACAAACACCTACAATCCGGCACAGGACACGTGTCATGTTTCGCAAACCACCGCTTCGCATGATGCGCATGAAAGCCATGTTCACAATTCACGCAAAACGTCAAAAACTTGGCCATGACTTCCTCGTTCAATTTCGCCACTTCATTTTCCTTGGCGGCCCCTCCTCTGCTGTTGTTGCTGTTGCTGCTGCTGCTGCTGCGGTGCGGGTCCGGGGTTCCTAACCACATTTTGCAAATTCCACACCGAGGCATGTGTCGGCCGCATTTGGGACATGTGATGCCTGCGCTGGCGGAGGCGATGGCGGAATTACGGGAGGAAGCGGGGAGGGAAGGGGTGGTTGTAGTACCTCCGCCTGTTGTTGTTGTTGTCGTCGTTGCTGCGTTCTTGGTGAGGTCTGCTCCTCCCCCTCCTCCTCCGCTACGGCTACGGCTACCACCGCTACCACGTTTGTTGTCGTATTTGGCGAGAGAGAGTTGACAGTGGTTACAGCGCAAGGAGATTTGTCCCGTCGGAGAATCAGACGAGTTCCGTCGGTCTTCCGTGCCGGCCATCTGGCTGTGTTGCACCATGAATTGGCTGCGTTCGGTAAAGGCGCGCCAGCTCTGCATTTGCATGAAATACGTCTCTTTCCACATCTCCCATCGGACGTCGTCGATGAAGCGCGGATTCGTGTAGGCAGCGGCCAATACTGCGGTTTGCAGATCGTTGCTTTTGGTGATGTAGGTTTGGAGCAGATTCATCGACTGTTCGCCGAGTCCTGTCAGGAGAATTCCTTCCAAGTCGCCGTTCTTGATGGCTCTCGCCGTCTCGCTCTGGATGAATCCATACAATTCATTGTCGTCGAGATACTTGAGTCCGAGGGCAACACGGTATCCCAGATGTAAATAGTTGGTCTTCATCACATCTCGCCAGTCTCCAGTCGTCAGATATGCCAGCAAAGCCTTCAGGGCTGGGTCGTCAGTATCCGCTGCCATCCACATACACATTTCGCGCTGTTCTTCGTTGATCTTGTCCGAAGCTAGTAATGCCCCAAGTCCCGAATTGGGCACCGTCTTCGCCCTGATGAGGGACCTGAGCAGGTTGAGCGCGATGGGTTTGCACTGGTGAAGCACAGCTTGCACCACGGCTTGATAGTGCAAGCCCCGGTTGGAAAGATCTCGGCATTCCTGTTCCAGGTCATCCTGTCTGAACTTCCACCCGCACATTTCTAAGCATAACTGGCGAGTATGAGGGCACTGGGTACGTATTCCCTCGTATGGCGGTAGACCTCGGGAGGCCGCTAGGTCGACCACTGCATCTTCCATTTTACCCGTTCTGAACGACAGCTTGCGGTTCGGATTTGTGCCAATTTTCTCGGCACAGATTGCGGCAATGCCAATGTAAGAGAGGTCGAGATTTTGACGCTCTGCAACCATTCCATCTCGATTGGCTTGCTGCCGGAAGCGGTTGATGATCTCCCAAAGCCTCTCTAGCTGCCAGTTGCCAGACACAAGCTCTGTATTTCGGGCGCAATTCCACAGGTAGCCTCGCCGGCACCGCTCTCGCTGGAGAGTTGGACAGGCCAGCATACTAGCCAGCTGCGGAGAATCGACTGTGCATGCCAACCTTTCATCTTGCGCATCACTGTGCATCGATTCGCCTTCATAGTCCGAGGGGCCGAAATCCTCGGCCGTTCGCGCCTGCTTGTATGGCTGAGCAGAGGCTGGTTCTACTGGCGCCTTCGGCTCTAATATGGAGATATCTTCAAACGCCATGCTCATATCGTATCGGGCACTAACGCAAGCTTGAGACACTGTACGAGGCACTCGTAAGATGTCAATCTTCCGATTTGGCCGTAGAGCGAGCACATCCTGCTCGACTGCTTGGGGATTCGCGGGAATCCAGTCGAAGGCAATTAGTTTCGTATTTAAGCCTGCCTCTGGATGTTCGTCGAGAGGCCGTTCGACGGACCTCGTCTGGGAGACGTAACTGTTGTGTATCCACGGCTGTCCGCCGTGAGAGTTCACTGGCAGGTATTCCATATCATGAAGCAGTGAATTACGTCCTTCTACCATGTCAATGACCTTCAATTCACCGCGACTAGAGCACATTGCTAGACGGCCCCGTTGCTGACCAGAATATCTCAGACTCCATATCGTGGCAGTGGTCGTGTTGTCAACAGCGGGCTGAAAGTCGAACACGGCGCCCCCTGTCCCGGTACCAGAGCCATTTTGGGAGATCCAGCGCTTATCCCACACTGTCACGGATGGATCATTCGTCGAGCCAGCGGAAGCGAAGTAGTTTTCATCGAGCGGGTCAACAGCAATATTATGGACATTTTTAGTAGTTACTTGAATACCGCTTTTGCTGGCAAAATAGTCATCTGTAAGCTGCATTAGCCAGAGATGCCGTGCTACAGGTTTCCTGCTGCATACCTCTGAGATCGTACAGCCTGATCAGCGACCGCTGCGCCGCGACTATAAGCTCCTCTGGATGGTTGGGTACGAATCTAACACTCGAAACAACTTCTGCTGGGCACAGACGTCGTATTGGCTCGGCACTGTTACCCTGGCCACTGGCGTCGAAGATGTTGAGACACGCGTCCGAACGCGTCCGGTCAAGAGCCACGGCCAGCCAATTTTCCGTGCTAATAGCGATTGAATTACACTTTCTCTGCTGTCTCAATTTGAACGTGGCGATAGTTTCTGATGCACGTTCATTTTCGTTCAGCTTAACCAGACATGCGCTTCCAGACACCAGGCCAAGGGCCACGACCGACTCGTCCGTCTTGGACCAGTCAAAAGCACCAAAGTTGGGGAGTCGACCATATCGTGCCACTTGTCTAAAGATGGCATCTTTCCGTCGCCTGTTAATGATGTGATTGAGGGTCAAGCTCTGGTCGATGACATCCACAACGAGGAATTTCTCCCTATTGCCAGAAGAGAACGGTGACCATCGCACAGCGGCCTCCATGAGCTCGCTGGGTAGCGTCGCTCTCGGACTTCATTGCCGGACGACGCGATGGCAGCGAGGAACGACGCTCGTGCTTAGAAATGAAGTTGATGGGGTGAATGTCGCCGAGACTGAGAGGTGTAGTTTACTGCCTCCTAGGTGGTCGTTGTAGGAGGTACCTAGGAGGAACAGTCAATGGTGGATTTGGATAGGACTACGCGACGTCGCGACCCGAAGCGAGGACGGCTCTGGCCGCGCCGTGCCGTGGTTCTACCGCAACTTTGTACGGTGGCCTACAACGACATGGAGGTCCATCGGAGGATCCGAGGATGCTTACCAATTCCAGATCACAGGCCGGATACCGTATACACCTTAGACTAGAAGGTATCTCCCATGGCCCATATAGGTGCTAAAATGCTCTATCACGAGCGACAGCCAACAAAGTAGGTGAACAACATATCGATATGGATGGTGCAACCACAAGAACAGCTCCTCCTCTGCCTCCACGACGGCCATCAACTGCCGTCTCACACATGGACGAACCGCCACCATACGAGGCTGTTGCTCACCAGCAAAAGGCTTTCGAAAAGGCTAGTGCCTTAGCTGGCCTCGCACAGAACGATCCTCGATCCTCAAGCCAAGACTCTTTAGTTCCGGAAGAAGGGACTCAGCAGCAACGAAGAAAGCTGCTCTTGGTCTACATCCATGGCTTCATGGGCGCCGAGACGAGCTTTCGCAGCTTTCCAGCCCATGTGCACAATCTACTCACAGTCCTTCTGTCAGAGACCCACGTGGTGCATACCAAGGTATATCCTCGATATGCCTCCAGAGGCAAGATAAGCATTGCCAGGGATGACTTTGGCAAATGGATCGAGCCTCATCAAGACGCCACTACGGACCTTGTACTTCTCGGACACAGTATGGGGGGTCTTCTATCTGCGGAAGTTGTACTTGCGCCTGCGATACGATCGGGAAGCGGACCGTTCAGACATCGCATATTGGGCACGATCAATTTTGATGTTCCTTTTCTGGGCTTGCATCCTGGGGTCGTCAAGAGTGGCCTTGCCAGTATCTTCAAGCCTGCCGAAGAGCCACGAGACCAAGATATCGGAGGTGGATCCCATACATCGTCGAGCGAGGGAAGTCAGGTAGAATCCCGACCACAGATACCTAGTCCCACCCCTTCAGCACAGCGTGTAGATACTCTATGGGCTCCCGGTAAACAGGATCCAAACTATAACCCGTCGTTTGCTAATGACGTTGTGTTGCCTGTTCGAAAGGGCTGGCGTAATGCATGGCACTTCATTAACAAGCATTCCGACGACCTTACACAAGCGACCAAGAAACTTGTTTCGTCGCACCTCGAATTTGGCGGCGCAATGGCCAATTATGGCGAGTTGAAGTCGCGATATGCTAGAGTGAGAGCTTTGGAAGAAGTAGATGGGAGAGTCCGTCAATCCGTCGTGGAAGGAGGAGTGCCCCCTCGGGTGCGATTCGTGAATTACTATACGGCTAGTACGGGACGGTTCAAGAAGCCCAAATCGCCACCTCGCGAGTCATCCAGAAGTCAGCATGGATCACGATCACTTTCTCCAGCAGATCACCCTCCAGATCTGCATGCCCGAACGAGCACCGACTCTGTAGCGACTCGCAGATCTGACGAGGAGCAGTGGGAGGAAGCTATGGAGAGCATGACTGTAGGCGACGCTGCAGAAGCAGAAGGTGTTCTCGAAAATAATACTGCAAAGAAAGCAGACCAGGCTAGTATGACCTTACCAGACTTACCGGTCAAGCCTCCAGCACAGGTAGACTTCAGCTATATTCAAGACCCAGAAATCAAGAAACTAGTGCAAAGAGAGCACGACAAAGCAGTGAAAGCGTACGAGGAGGCTATCGTAGAGCGCGAAAGACTTTTATCAGGGAGGGCAGCATACAAGGGCAAGCAGCGGCAGTTGGAGGATCCTGTACATCAGTCAAGGAGCGAGGAGCCTCGGGGGAGACCAGCTGTGTCCCACGAGCGAGCCAAGAAACCAGAGTCCGAAATGACACACTCGGAGCGCGAACATCTGCGGCTCGAGAAGGAGCAGCATCGCATGGAACGCGAAGGGCGCAGAATGCGTGGCGAGCGCAGTCCTGAACCGGGTCAAAGTAGCAATCCGGATACGATCCCAATGGTGGTGACTCCCCCTAGAGAATCGAGCCCGCGGCCCTCGACTACTGCATCGACAGTTGATACGTCTTTCACGTACGACCAGAGCTCACTTGCCCCAGCAGCCAAAAGCATGACATCGGTGAATAGCAAAGAAGAATCGCACAAGCCCAGGAAGGACCGCATGTTCTGCACCTTACCGCCCAAGGATGCGAATGGCGAGCGAGATCCAAGGTGGGTCCGAGTATTCATGGAGAACGTAGATGAGGTGGGGGCTCATTGCGGGTTGTTCTTCGTGGACGAGAGATATGAACGCCTGGTCGGAGACGTGGCATCGAGGATTGAGGGCTGGGTCAATGACGAAACTGGCGACGCCATATCTAAACCGCCCTCGCAGCCGCAAAAGTGGTGAGACGCAGCAGGTGCCGGGCCTTTCGATATGTACGCTGATGTTCATGCCATCAAGGCTAGAAGTGCTATCGTTATGTGCTTGGGTATCATAAATTGAGACGAAGCAAATACCAACCGCTCCTCTCTTCACTTACTCGAAAAAGCCTCCGCCACTCTCATTATCGCTTTCCATTTCTCCATCCTTTTGCTCATCCTGCGAAAGTTGTGGTGCCTTAACAGTCTGCTCCGTCTTTTTCCCTTCTGTAGTGATCTTCTGCTTAACAGTCCTCTGCTCCTCTTCTCCCTCTCCATCGCCACTGCTAGCCCGCCTCAACCTGCCCTCTCTCAAATCTTTCAGTCTCCCTTCGCTCGCGCACTTTTTCACCAGCTGCCACATATCATCATCGCCCTGTCTCACCACTTCCCCAGTGCCAGTCTCACGAGGTCTCCCTTTCTCCTCCTCCTTCTCCTCCTCCTTCTCCTCCTCCTCGGATTTTCCCTTCCTCTTTGTAGGAAACAGCGGTACATAATCCATATCGAGCGGAAAGTAAATTGCATAATTGACCTCATTCTCTCCATCCTCTACCTTCCTCCTCAACTCCTCTAGCTCCCCTCCTTCGGCTTCAGCATTCTTCAGCGCTTTCTTACTCTTCTTTAGTCTTCGTTCCGCCTTCTGCCGATCGAAAAATCGAACCTTGTGCCACCGTCCAATGCACTGGTCTCTCTTGATTGCATCTTCCTCCCTCTTCAGATCTTGCTCTGCGGTCTGCAGGGCCCTTTCCTTTTCGGAGCGAACCGTAGCGGGCAGCTTAGATGAGTTGGGACCGTTGAGAAGACGTCTGAGGGATCGGATGGAGGATTTGAGGTCGTTGACCGAGTGAGCTTTTTTGAAAGACTTGTTTCCGAGGTTGGCAGGGAGAGGTTTATGTGGTTGGGCAGTGTTGATGCGGTGACGTTTGTTGTAGGGGCGCGAAGAAGACTTCTTGTCGTCGTCGAAGGATGAAGGAGCAGAGCGCTTGGTGGCCATCCTGAATGGTGGTGGTGGTGGTGGTGGTGGTGAACGTGGGACCTTGGTATGAAAAGTGAGAACGAAGAAGTGAGTGGTAGAAATAAAATCCCGAACGGAAGGTGGAGAGAGCAGCCGATCCTCAAGCTTCAATTGAGTCCTCCCCGACACCTTGTACCAGAAATAAAGTGCAGTAGGTAATCCAGGGTGTTCACAATAATGCCACGACGAGTATGTCCGTCTTTTGTGCAAGTCGGATACTGAGGGCATCCACCACAGCACATGAACCACACCTAGCCACATTCCGCGACTTGGCCAGCAGGAAGACGAGTTGGTCCGACACGCTCGCGTTGCCCAGATCGCCATTTCCAGCGCGTCCATCGCCGGAACAGCTGGAGCTCTACCGCTCGCGATGCGCCGATGACCTGTATGCCTGGCAGCGGGAGCACCGACCCAAGACTGCCACCATCAAAGACGCATCGGGAAGCAGACAAGTCGACAACGAGTTCGTGCTGCACGATGGCCCGCCATATGCCAATGGCGCAGTCCATGTCGGACATGCGCTGAACAAAATTCTCAAGGACTTGATGTTGCGCACCGAGCTGGCGCGTGGGAGAAGAGTCCACTATCGACCAGGCTGGGATTGCCATGGCCTGCCTATCGAGCTCAAGGCTCTCCAGCAGCCCAGATCGTCGAAAGATCGAGTGAAGCCCAGTAGGGATGCGCCGAAGAAGGAGGCACAGGCTGCTGCCGAAGCTGCGAACCAGATGACTGCGTCTGATATTCGACAGGCTGCGTCGAAGCTTGCCACCGAGACCATCGAATCGCAGAAGAAGAGCTTCAAAAGCTGGGGTGTCATGGGCGACTGGGATGCGCCGTACACGACGATGAGCAAGGACTTTGAGATCAGGCAGCTGGAAGTCTTCAGGGAGATGGTGCGGAAGGGTACGGTCAGCATGCGTCGACATGAGTCTGGAAGGCATGCATACTAACGGCAACGGACAGGCCTCATCTCAAGACATCACAGGCCAGTACACTGGTCGCCCTCGTCGCGAACGGCTCTAGCTGAAGCCGAATTGGAATATGATGACAATCACAAGACTACTGCGGCCTTCATTTTGATGCCAATAGTCCGTCTCCCTTCCATTCTCTTGCGGGACAAGGACATCCAACCAAGCAAATTAAGTGCTTTGATCTGGACCACAACCCCATGGACTCTGCCTGCAAACAAAGCTATTGCTGTGAATGGCGACATCGAGTATTGCCTAGTGAACACCAAAAGCGACCAATTCCTCGTCGCAAAGGATCGCTTAGAACACTTGCAATCATTCTTGCCAGATGACCAGTTTGTCGTCACGCCCAAATCATTCAGCGGATCTGAGCTCGCAGATGGTCAAGCCACGTGCTTTAACATCTTTACCGGCCAAGAGTCTCCGATCTTACAAGCAGACTTCGTGACTGCAACGTCTGGTACTGGCCTTGTGCACATAGCGCCTGGTCATGGCATGGACGACTACGTACTTTGCCAGCAAAATGGGATAGGGCCTGCATTTGCGCCGGTGAACGATGGAGGAATGTTCACTTCTGATGTGTGGCCTACTGCAAAGGACAGCGACCTAGATTTGCTCCATGGGCAATTTGCGCCCACCAAAGGGACAAATGCCGTGCTTAATATCATGCGTGGATGCAGTAAGTATCTGCCAGCAGACAGGGATGTTCTCAGTAGTGATCTTGTGCTCGCGGCGCACAGCTTCGCACACAAGAATCCCATCGACTGGCGCACAAAGCAGCCTGTCATCACACGTGCAACTGCGCAATGGTTCGCGGATGCATCTGCAATCAAAGATCGCGCTCTTGCTGCTCTCGATGACGTGAACTTCATACCTGAAAGTGGGAAAAGCAGACTGCGCAGCTTTGTCGAAGGCCGCAGCCAATGGTGTATATCTCGACAGCGCGTATGGGGTGTTCCCATTCCAGCGCTATACCACGCCGACACTGGTGAGGCTTGCATCACTGACGAGAGCATCGCCCATATCATCAGCACGCTTGAACAGCGAGGATCTGATGCCTGGTTTTCCGATGCGAAAGACGACCCTGCATGGTTACACTCGTCGCTAGAGCCTGGCAAGTGGCACCGCGGCAGAGATACCATGGATGTCTGGTTTGACTCTGGGAGCAGCTGGACTTCCCTCAGCGCCAGAGAGGCTGGCATGCCCTTGAGCGACGTGTACAGCGAGGGCACTGACCAACACCGAGGTTGGTTCCAAAGCAGTCTGCTTACAGCGGTGGCTATGCAGGATCCTCACGCAAAGCCTGTTGCACCATTCAAGATGCTAGCTACACATGGCTTCACGCTCGACGGGGATGGGAAGAAGATGAGTAAGAGCCTTGGCAACGTTGTCTCACCTGAAGGAATCATTTCAGGCGCCTTGGTACAGACACAGCGGGGAACGAAAAATGGTAAGCGACAGCAGCAGGAGCCGCCGCCAAACAGCCAAAAGACTTCGCTCGGTCCAGACGTCCTACGGCTGTGGGTTGCGTCGTCGGACTTTACCCGAGATGTTTCCATCTCCCAGACAGTGATACAGAGTGTTCAACAGGCTCTGCAGAAGTACCGCGTAACCTTCAAGTTTTTACTGGGAGTACTACACGACTACTCTTTGCTAACACCCAACAAGGGTCCCAAGTTGCAACTTGATTTGCCAGATCGAGTCATGCTCTACCGGCTACAGGAGACGAACAAGTCTGTAAAGCGAGCATATAGCGAGTACAGGTTCTATGTCGGCATTAATGAGAGCAACAAGTTCATCAACAATGACTTGAGCGCCTTTTATCTCGAACTTGCGAAGGACAGACTATATGCTGGATCCACGGAAAGTCGCCAGCGTACACAAATGATACTGTTGCACATTTTACAGAATATGATTAGGTGGCTTGGGCCTGTCACGCCTCATCTTATCGAGGAAGTGGAGGCGTTTCTACCACCTGGAATACAACCTCAAGAGCCATATCTTCAGCAGATCTGGGAGGATGGCTCTGATGGTCTCATTGAAGATTATCCGGACGAAGTGGAGCAACAACGAGACCACAACAACACCATGCAGGCATGGCATGCCTTTCAAGCCATCAGCACAGCTGTGAAGGTGGCTCAGGAACGGGCAAGAGCTGCGAAAGTGCTTGGTAATGGACTCGCTTGTCGGGTTGAGATTCATACACCTTCGCCAGTCTCGCCGACTTCTTCACACCTTCAGTTCGTGGAAGAATTGGAGAGAGAGTTGCCTGCCATGCTTGTTGTCAGCGGAGTTTGTTGGATACAGCATGACGTTGTGGAAGGAGTTCCTATATCTATCAATACTGAGAGTGCGGAGCTGGGCGATGCATGGCGGTTTGAGCAGCCGGTAGAGATCAAGTGTGAAGGGAAGACGTTGACGGGCAAAGTGGTGGTGCTGCCCCCTGCACATGAGAAGTGCGTGAGGTGCTGGAAGTATGTGGCCGAGGAGAAGGCTGTGCCGTGTGCGGCGTGTCGGAAGGTACTGGTGGAGGAGCATGCGGATCTGTTACGATAGGGGGGATGGAGTGATATGCGTAGCTGTGTAGCTGTGTTTGCGGTCGTGGTGGGAGTGGGAGGGGCAGCAGAGCAGAAGTGATGGAGTGTAGGTATAGTGTATAGGTAAGGTATATGTATCCAATACCACTCCGCTCAGCAGAAGTACTACTGGCCACCCAATGTCCGTCAGTGCGCTGTTCCGTTCCCCTGTAGTGGGGGATAGGTGGGGGACCGAGCAGGTGAAGTGAGGGAGTGCCCGCACTGTAGTCTGTTGTTGCGATGACAAGGATGTGAGATACTGAGATTATTGCTGGTCCGCTGGAGTTATCAACAAGTGACAACAACCACCTAGGTACCGTCTGTCTAGGTAACCGGTAACCCGACGACGTTGTTAACTTGTTGGTAGGAGGTACCTTACCTACCTTACCCGGCCGTGCATCCGCACTCACTGCATCACTCACCCGACTCACTTACTCACCTGCCTCGCTCTACCGCCCGCCCGCACACCACCCTTAGGTACCCGCCCCGTACCCGACCTGATTACTTGCAACTCGTACTATCCATTATTCCACCGGCAATCCTCTATCGATATCGGCCGGGCACGTGCGCACTTCCGAAACATGCTCGAATATTCCACGGAACCTTGTTGATCCCACCTCGCAAGAGCTGCAAGACGGGGCGGCAGCGTCCCGTTCAATCTTTTGCGCTGTGCGTGCTGCCACTAACCGCTACACACCTTTTTTCTGTGGTACATTCCCGTGTGCCGCGCTGATTCCCCCGATGGTAACGCTTTTCCTACTCTCTTGATATCAAGGAGCCTCGTTTGTGCTGAGACCTTCCTCCTACAGCGATCATTATTTGGAAACAGCAAGAAACCCTCGTCGACACCACCTCGAACCCCGCCCATATCCTCTCCCGACAAGGACAAGGACAAAGAGAAGCGCACCAGCTACTTTGGAAAAGAGAAGGATAAGGATAGGGACAAGCTCAAGCGCTCCAGCAAGTCGTTCCCTTCGCGGAGTGGCAACAGGCGAGGCTCGGACGAGCACCCGCTGAACTTGCCGCCCGACGAGTTGCGGCGCCTCAGCGCTCTCTCTGCCCGGAAGATGAGTAGCACCAACAGTCCGCGACACTCGCGGGAGGGAGGAGTGCCCGTGCCTCCTGACGCAATGGAGACGACGCCTGCCCCAGAGACCCCAGGTTCTTTTCCAACAACCAATGGCACGAACGGGATCAGTGAGAGTGCCGAAGAAGGCGAGCATCCTGCGCCCGCTCCACCACCACATAAATCACAGCCAACTTCGCCCCCGCCGCCTGAGACACGTCCTGAAGATGCGGAGAAATTCAAGGCCGAGGGCAACAAGTACTACAAGGTGGGCAAGTATGCGGCGGCAATCGATGAGTATGGCAAAGGTACGGGATGAACTTGTGGTCATGATATGATGAATCTGCGCTAATGAAATTTGTGAGTCTGCAGCCATTGAAGCCAATCCGACATCGTCTACCTATCTGTCCAATCGAGCGGCAGCGTACATGGCAGCAGGAAAGTACATAGAGGCATTGGAAGATTGCAAGCGAGCAGATGAATTGGACCCGGGAAATGCCAAGATCCTTCATCGCCAGGCCAAGATCTACACTGCTCTCGGACAACCGCAAGAAGCGCTCGATGTATACGATCGGATACAGCCTCCCGCCACTGCAAAGGATAAGCAGCCAGCTTTGGACATGCAGAAGCATCTCTCGGGGGCGCAGGACAGTCTGAAGAACAGCTCTAGTGGATCAATGGTGCTATTTGCACTTGATCAAGCCGAGAAAGGACTTGCTTCGACAGTACAACCGCCCAGGAAGTGGAGACTGATGCGAGGAGAGGCGTACCTGAAGATGAGCACAATAAACAGCCTGGGAGATGCGCAGAATGTTGCAATGTCATTGCTCAGGCAAAACAGCGCTGATCCAGAGGCGCTGGTGCTGCGAGGGCGTGCGCTGTATGGACAAGGAGAAAACGAAAAGGCAATACAGCATTTCCGGCAGGCCATCTCATGCGACCCAGACTTCAAGGATGCCGTGAAGTGGCTCCGATTAGTGCAAAAGCTGGACAAAACCAAGGCTGAGGGCAACGACCACTTCAAGTATGGACGATATCCTCAAGCCGTAGAGGTGTACACGTCCGCGCTGGAAATCGATCCAACAAACAAGGGCACCAATTCGAAGCTTCTCAACAATCGAGCCATGTGCTATACGAAACTGAAGAAATGGCAAGATGCCATCAACGATTGCGACGCCGCCCTGAAGCTCGACCCCAGCTACGTCAAAGCCTCCAAGACACGAGCGAAAGCTCTCGGTGCCAGTGGCGACTGGGAAGAAGCCGTTCGAGCATTCAAGAGCATCGCCGAACAGAACCCCGAAGAACCTGGGATCGCAAAGGAAGTGCGTGACGCAGAACTCGAACTGAAGAAGAGCAAGCGGAAAGACTACTACAAGATTCTCGGCGTCGATAAGGAGTGCGGAGACACAGAAATCAAAAAGGCATATCGAAAACTTGCAGTGATACATCACCCAGACAAGAATCCAGATGACCCTGAGGCTGAGAATCGTTTCAAGGAGATTCAAGAGGCGCATGAGACGCTGATTGATCCGCAGAAGAGACAGAGGTACGATAGCGGAGTGGATCTGATGGAAGATGGAGGTATGGGTGGAGGTGGGTTCCCTGGTGGGATGGGCGGCATGGGCGGCATGGGAGGTGGTGTTCAGATTGATCCCGAAATGCTGTTCAATATGATGGGCGGAGGCATGGGCGGCGGAGGCGGAGGTGGAGGCTTCCGATTCTCAGGAGGCGGAGGAGGGCAACGAGGCTTCCCAGGCGGTGGGCAGGGTTTCTCGCCATTTGGATGACGACGGGAGCGTATGCCAGTAATGATGACATGCATGCATCGAATGCATAGACCCTTTTGCTACCACATTTGCTGTGGTGCGCGCGAGCATCCATGGATGTCGGTAATGGGTATTTAGGCTGGATGTTGGCTGCCAAGCGGTATCTATGGCATGACTGTGCTGACTGGCTGCTGCTGCTGCTGATAATCAAGATAGATGTATAGCTAGAGAGCCTTTCAACGCACTGCCTCTTGTGAGTCGTATCGAGAAGAAGACATCCCTGCCAGCGTTGCGCGTGCACCCTGGTGACCCTGCGAGCTGAGAACTAGCACAGCATGCCAGCAGAACCACCCATGCAAAATAGGGGTTCCCTGGTGAGGCTTGGCCGTCATCGCTACTCGCTAGGGAACCACTGGATCAGACTGACCAGTGGTATCACGGGTATGGGCCTGAAACGCCTAGGATGATCATGCCACGTTGGCGACGGAGGCTGGCAGACTGGCATCATAATAATTAAGGTATGTCACTAATGAGGCTCGCCTGTGAGACCGGTGCCTTCATCAAGGCCCGCGTGCTCTCGTCAGGTACGTTGAGTGAGATGCAACCGCTTCACCCGACTCTCGTTTTCTTCTATTTCGACGATCGTTTTCAAGCCTCATACAAGACTACTCGCTCGCTGATCACTTGTCTATTTTCCGCCGAGACTTGCCTGCGCCGAGCAGCAAGCAGCTCTCATCCGTGCATCCGCCCAGGACCGGGAGAAGAATAGAGATGAGATGAAGCTATTTCAGACGCTTGTGCTTGCGACTTTCTTGGGCTATGGTGTTGTTGCGATAGAGAAGAGAAGTGTCTGTCCCAAGGGCACCTTCGATGGCGTACCCATCCCGTGCTATGATGCTGGGAACACCTCCACGTGGCAAGGCGTGGCCTCCACGGGTCTTGGTCCTCGACCAATCGTCCAAACAATGATTTCCCAGGCGTCGCTGCTCGGACCAGGACGACGAACGACAACCACACCAGCACACCCGCAGCCAACGCCGAATGTCGTGTGCAAATGCGTGGAGCAGGCCATAATCTTCGACATGCAGGATTCTTACAATGCCCATTCTCCATCCGGCAACCAGGTGGCTCCCATCGTTGGCAAGATGCAAACCCAAGTTTCCCTCCGCCACCCAACCGGCTGTACGACGACTTGCATGACCGCATACCAAACCTATGAGTCGCCTCGGATCGAACGTACATACAGCGGCCCCGTTGAGCTCCTCATGCCACATGTGGAAACGACGGATGCGGCTCTAAAGGGAATGCACAGCAGTCGGACAACACCACCACCGGGCCCGCCGCCGCCAATGATAACTCCTCCACCGGCATTCCCCCGTCCAGTCGCCACGGCAGAAGCATTAATCACTGCTCCTCCTCATCTTCCTCCTCCAGCACAAGTCCCCAAACCAAACCAGGTCGCCAATCAACCACAACCACAAGCTCCACCCCAACCAAACCCGGTCGCCAATCAACCACAGCCACAAGCTCCACCCCAACCAAATCAACTCCCCAATCAACCACAACCACAAGCACCACCAGCCAAACCAGGCCAACTCCCCAATCAACCACAACCACAACCACAACCACAACCACAACCACAACCACAACCAGCACCAGCCAAACCAAACCAACTCCTGAATCAACCCAAATCAACCTTCACACCACAATACATCATCCATGCAATTGCAACGCTCGTCCCAGGTGGTTCCCCTGCTGTGGTCCACGGTACGACTTATTCCATCCCTCAAATTGCTAGCCCTGCAGAACCGACGGTGCCACCGCCGCCCGCGGTCGTGTATGTGAATGGTAAGCCGAAACCTGTTGATCAGGTCCCTGGAGTGCAGATTGGGAGTGGGATTTCTGGTTATATTAATCAGGGAATTGGAGGGGGGAATGCTGGTAGCGGCAGCGGTGGTAGTGGCAGTAGTGGTAGTGGCAGTGGTGGTAGTGGCAGTGGTAGTAGTGGCAGTGGTGGTAGTGATGGCAGTGGTGGCAGTGGCAGCGGTGGTAGTGGCAGTGGTGGCAGTGGCAGCGGTGGTAGTGGCAGCGGTGGTAGTGGCAGCGGCGGCAGTGGCAGCGGTGGTAGTGGCAGCGGTGGTAGTGGCAGCGGCGGCAGTGGCAGCGGTGGTAGTGGCAGCGGCGGCAGTGGTAGCGGTGGTAGTGGCAGCGGTGGTAGTGGCAGCGGCGGCAGTGGCAGCGGTGGTGTTGGTAACGGCGGCAGCGGTGGCGGTGGTAACGGCGGCAGCGGCTACGTTGGTGGTGGAGGAGCAGAAGGAAATGGCTATGTCACGCTCACGGAGAGTGTGGCATATACCACCGTTGGAGGAACACCGTATTACAGTCCGAGACTGCATATCTCGCAGACACAATTGATTGTGCCGCAGAAGCCCACTGGACTTGGGAACAGTAGTACTCTGGCAACTACGACTGCAAAGGCGAGCACGACTAGCACGAGCAGGACTACGAGTACTGGCACGGAGAGTGGCAATGGCGCTCAGGGAACGAGTTCGGGTGGCACGGGCCAGCAGACTGGCAGCGCCGCTGGGAGAATGACAGTATCAGCAGTTTGTCTGGTTGCTGTGGTGTTCGCCACGCTGATGCTGTAATATAATGTCTACTCATGACGGCAAGGCCGTGATGATATGAAAAGCGTTGGAAACTTTTAGGTTAGAGTCAAGTAAGGTACAGAAGGGAATTTTGTGGCGTTTTCTTTTTTTGCTGTCTTTGGATAAAGTACATAGCTATTTGTCCTGGGGCTTGTCCTGTCTGAAATCTAGCAGATGGTCTCATACAGAGACCTCATGTGTACGGTCTGTCGACGTCAAAGGACTTTCTTCTGATAGGTACCTCTCAATTTCCAGAGCTTGAACATTCTGCTCAGGACACTGTCCATGACCCATCGTGGTAAAAAGGTGGACGCCCACCAGACCAGCCTGTCAACGCAATCAGCCGAAGGTAAGCAAATATTTCCCAAGAGACGGGAGCCGACAAGTTTCAACTATGTTTGAGCCATTTCGCCTTAGCAGGCCTGAGCTCGGGGATATCACGGGCATTCAGGGAGGAATTCAAACTGCTAGAACCTACCATGCTTTGCCACCTTCCCAAAAGTGGTCTTTGTTGGGCTTGTTCAGGACGGCATGAACCACTCGTCTGCTATAATCTTCATTGGGCACACCTTGCGCTTGGCTGTGCGTGAGACGTTCCTTGTACTCCGTCTCGACTGGGAAGTAATACGAATCCTGTGATAGTGTCCGTGTCGTTCTCGCGATATTGGATTTGACGCCTCCTGTCACGATGGTGACAACTCGTACATCAAACGGTTCCAGTTCGACCCTCAGGGTGTTCGAGTAGGAGTGCAACGCGGCCTTGCTAGCGTTGTAGACACTGCCAAACACGTATGGTATAATTCCAGCGACCGATCCAATCTGCACGATTGTGCCCTTTGCATTGATCAGGAGCGGCGCGAAGGTCTGACACATGCGCATGACGGCAAAGAGATTCGTTTCAAAGGTCAATCTGATCTCTTCCATCTCCACATCCAATGCTGGGACCGTATAGTTTCGGCCGGCATTATTCACGAGGTAGTCGAGACGTCCACCGGTCCGGCTTTCGACTTCCGCCTTGAGCGCGTTGATGGAGTCTTGTTCGGTGACTTCTAATGACAGCGTTTCAATTCCTTGTTGAGCGAGGTCAGAGATGCTGTCGGCATTGCGAGCCGTTGCAAAGACGCGCAGACCATTCTTCTTGAATTCGCGGGCGAGAGAGTGGCCAATGCCGCCCTTGGAGCAGCCGGTGATGAGAACGGATTTGGACATTATGTCGGAGTTTTGTTTGTTGGTATGGCTTTTAGCAGTGTAGTGGCCGAGGCTGACGTTTTCCCAAAGTGGCGGACGGTAAAGCCAAGTTTAAGGTAAGCCATAGTGAAAAATGGACATTATTAAAGTTACGGTAGACCGTAGAGCCATAGTGGCATAGAGGGGTGACTGCCCTGCCAAGCCAAGCGAAGCGTGTTTACCTGCGTGTTCCATCTTCCAACAGGCACCACTCGTCGCTTTACCCACATCAACAACAACAGCAGCGACAGCAGCAACAACAGCAACACACACGCCCACACCACCCACACCCACACAACTCCCATCTACATTGCCACCGGCCTTCTTCATCGCCTTGCTCGCACCAACACCGCTCCATACGCACGCACGCACGCACATACCTCTCCGGCGACACCTCCCCGGTCATGGGCGAATCAAGGTTAGACAGAGTACGACGACGGCATTGTATACCGTTCAGCTCGCTAACAGATGGCTCAGACAGGAGCTGCTCGCGTGGCTCAATGGCCTCCTGCAGCTGAACCTCACCAAGGTGGAACAGTGCGGTACTGGGTACGCCGCTTGCTGATCCAACCTTCGACTCCTCCCTCACCTACTGACTGTTCTCAGCGCTGCGCTGTGCCAGATCTACGACTCGATCTACCTCGATGTCCCGATGAGCAGGGTCAAGTTCAATGTAAACGCCGAATACGCCTACCTGGAGAACTTCAAAATTCTCAGCAACACCTTCCGCAAGCACCACATCGATCGCCCCCTACCCACCGAACAGCTGGTCAAGTGCAAGATGCAGGATAACCTGGAGTTTCTGCAGTGGACGAAGAAATACTGGGACCAGTACTACCCTGGTGGCGACTACGATGCGGTCGGCAGAAGAAAGGGTGTCGCAGCAGGAGGCGCTCCTGCGCTGCCGCCAAGTGCCTCACGGACATCGGGCGCCGCGAGTGGTGCACGAAAGCCCGCAGGAGGTGCTCCGAGAGCAAACAGTCGGCAAGCTGGCGTCGGCGGGGCTGCATCTGCGGTGTTGCAACAGAAGAACGCCGAGCTGATGGAGACCGTACAAGGACTAGAGCGTGAGCGCGACTTCTACTTCAGCAAGCTTCGCGACATCGAATTGCTCATCCAACAAGCAATGGAGGCCGACGCAACGCTAGAGGAGGACGAGAACGGTCTGCTCAAGCAGATTCAAACGATTCTCTACTCGACGGAGGTGAGTGCGCTCACGACAATCTGACAGCGTGAAACATCATGCTAACTCATCTATCACAGGAGGGCTTCGAGATCCCCGCGGAAGCCGACGGCGCCGAGGTTGGTGGTGACGAAGAGACGTTCTAGAAGAAACAGTCTCTCCCGGTTACGCAATCCCCGAAGAAAGAGCATGACATACCATAAATGATACCACTGCAGCGTTTGACGAGAAACGAGAGAGGGACGAGGCTTCGGTGAAAGCTTCGATGAGCACTTGACGGATTGATGCTGCCTGATTGGGCAGCCGTATGGCAATTTCGGTTCTTGAAAACAGGACGCCGAATGAGTGCGAATGCAAAGACAAGTTCGCGGCCAGTTGTTGGACATCTCAGTGGCGCTCCCAACTAACTCGAACCGGCCGTTCATTGCTCGCCGGCTTGATGCACAAGTCTGTATCAGGTCCAACCAAGTTCAGCTGAGCTGATGCTGCTCTCTTCCGAAAGTGATGATCGCGTCTCAAATGTAAATACAGGACAGAGATACAACTGACTACTAGCGAGCGTAACACCGAATAATGGCAACTTTTCGACAACGTCCCGAGAGCTATACCTGTCATTCCGGGGTGTCCCTAGGCGATGAGATGGTCATCACAGTGATCACACGCAGGCGAGCCCTACTCCAGCGTTTAGGGCTTTTGGTTCATAGGAGACGTAGGGCCATCTTCACAGCTGCAGGGGCGTGTGGCAGGTATTACATGTCAGCAGCAAGTGAGAGTATGTTCCCGTGGTGTGATGTTGCGCACTTCCGATGGCGTACTTGGCATGGTGCGACAAGGTAAGCGTATCACCTTGCCACGCTGTAAAAGGGTTTTTTTTACATATAGACATTACTTTCCAGTACAGATCAGCAGTCCCTGACGATGGATTCGGCCCATTCAAGACATCAAGATGGATGCTCGAGGAATGCCAATGTTCGCTTCAGGCTTTCTCGTCCTGCATGTGCCCATTCTCTTCGGGCAAGCAGTCGTGATCATCCATCGCAAACTTGCTCTTCTGCCGCAGACTCTGGCCCTGTGTCAAGAACAGAAACGGCGTGAAGGCAAACACGGACGCCACGGCTGCCAAGATGCTGGCAGCAATGTTTGTTCCCAGACCTGAGAACATCTGATATGCAAAGAGAGGAAAGACTGCAGCGGCGATGGTCCGAGTGGCGCTGACCGCTGACACTGCAGATGCGGCATGGTCGCCGTAGCTATCAGTCACGTAGCCGAATAGAACGTATGAAAAATCGGTCGTCGCGAAGCCGACACATATGAGACCGATCATGGAGATGGGCCAAGGAACAGTCGTCACTCTGGGAGGTACGGTCCACGCAAAGATCCAGAGTCCAATGGCAAGAGCAGGACATGCTATCGCAAAGGACCTGATTTTGGTCTCGGGCACGATGCGGAGGTGCTGCGTCTGGCACCTGCGAAGCAAATGGTAGTCGTAGAAGCGCGGCAGCACGTCCAGAAGAACTCCTATGAGGATAGCGATGAATGAGAGCGACGAGGAGACGTCGGAAAACGTCTTGTCGAATGGTGGATCGGTGTATGCCACCGTCAACCCGGCTGTCAGACCGTACAGCAACCCAAAGGCAATCCCGCACAGTGCAGCACAGAAGATCACAATGGGCTCGGTGAACAAATACTTCAATGGCCGAAGTAGTGAGTCTCGTGCGAAGGCGTTGAAATTGAAGCCCTCGGAAGATGTGGATTCCGCCTGCAAGTCATCTCGCCCCGTCGCTTCTCTGATGGCCCGGACCTTTCTCTCCAACAGTTGATCCGCCTTACTCTCCTTGACTCCAAAGGCGAGAGCAGCCGACACGGCAGAAGCAATGGCCGAGATGTAAAACACCCATCTCCATCCACACGTCGCCGTGATATAACTGGCATACACGGGCCCCAACGAGAGTCCCACAAATCCCGCCATGGTATACGCATATACAATCCCGATCCTCGTGCGCGCGGCATACATGTCGTTGAAATTCCCAAACGCTACCGTCGCGGGTATCGCTGCGGCTACGCCTTGGAAAAATCTTCCGATGTATACTCCGGCGACGGAGGGTACGGCTGCTGTGATGATGGAGAAGATGCAGAAGAGGAAACTGCCGACGATGTAGAGGGTGCGACGGCCAAAGGTTTCTGATACGGGAGCCAGGACGATTCCGCCAATGGTTTGGCCTAGGAGATAGATGGTGACAAAGGCGAAGTAGGCGAGTGTGCGGCTGATGTGGTATTCGAAACGTGCAGTGTCTGCTGCGCCTGTCTATTGATTTTTTTGGATTTTTCCATCGATTGTTAGCTGGATATGATTTTCTTTTCGTAGGGAAAGGTAAGGAAGAAGGAAGAAGTCTGTCTCTCTCACACTTACGCCCGCGGAGCTGATTCCAGTCATATATAGCTCTAACCAACAGATGATTGTGGTCGTGTACGCCTTCATCGAAGGACTCCAGTTTCGGGGATGATCTGGGGCATCGCTATTCCAGCATACCCGCTGGTCATCATCATCGCCATCCAAGTGAACTCCATATTGCTCGAAGATGTCGTTGTTGTGTTGGTGGTGGTGGTGGTTGTTATTGTTGTTCTTGTCGCTCAATTTCTCTGCAGATGACGTTGGCGATGATGATGATGAATCGACGGAGCTCATTGAGTTCCTGGAAAGGAAGAGTGAGAGGGAGGGAGGGAGGGTCTACTACAGTCGGGGCAGATAAGATAAGAAGAATTGTAAGATGTAGATAGGTAGGTAGGTAGATAGGTACAGTAGTAGTATACGAAACGACCAACTACCTACCTTACTACCTTACTCACGCCTCCCTCATGACCGAACTACTTTTTTTTTGTTTCTCGGGGGTTGAGAACCTGGAACGATGACGACGATGATGAGTGGTAGAAGGCTTGACAAAGAGTGAGTTAGTAGGAGGAGGTAGTGACAAACTCGTATATCGAGAAATGGAGATTAACTTTCCACAAATCTGAATGCACATCCTGTCCCTGTCCCTGTCCCTTTCCTACGAGTTGGCCATCGACCTACTGCATATAGTAGCGCAGCTATATATTTGTGGCTAGAGCCTAGAGTTAGTTTTGGCAAAAAGGGGAATAAAAAAAAAATAAAAAGTCTCACTCACTCACACTCATCTTGTTGCACAATCAACGGATTTCTCTTCTCTGAAACATTTTATTATCCTAAACTCCTAGAAGGTGACTAGTGCTAAACAATCTCCATGCATAGGACTAGCAGATCTGTAGCAGATCGATCTGTATGTATATAGCACGTGGTGTATCAATGGTGCGCAATGCATGACGCTTATATATATAGAATCGAAGATTGGTTCAACAGACTAGAACTTTAAAAATGTCATGAGAGTCAATATGGGACTTTTGCAGTGCAGAATGGAAAGTTGGAGTGAAAATGGATAGAAAGCAGCACGAGCTGTGGTCGTGTATCATTTCGGCTTTCTATGTGAAGCTTTCGAGATATTGTCTGGGGGTCTTTTCAATCCAACTACCAAAGGAGACTTGTTGTATCTTTACATGTCGAGGCTCTATATCTGCAGCAGTCTGCGATCGCCAGTGAATCCTTCGATCGACCTCTTCGGCCCTTGCGGCCCGAGCATCTTCACGCCACAACCATGCAGAATGGCCTCTGGAAGCCAGTCGGGATGTCACTGCACGTCGACTCAAGTTGTCACGTGTGCCGCTTGAGTATGTCTTGCAAAACCACCCCGGCACTTCTCGTTAGAAATCAACCAGTAATGCGGTACTGGATCGGCTTGAAACTACCGCCGTTCGATTGCAGTGCACTACATGCAGTCATCGCGACGATGAGATCCATTTTCGCCACGAAATCGATGTGATCTCCAGCCTTTGAGGTCGGTGGCAGAACCTTCAATTCTCCAGTCTGGGAATCGATCGGCACGTTCATGAAGCAGTTGAATGCGCAAGGAATTTGGTCTTCCGATATGCCATACTGCTTGATGGCATTGGCAATGTTGCCGAAGCACCCTTGATGTGGTTCCTTGTCGCCATAGATGATACGGAAAGTGTCCTTGGAGCAAGGTGTCAAAAGGAAGTCATGTCGTCCACACGTGTCCTCTACAATCTCGAGCATGATGTTGCTGCGGTTCGAGTATATGGGATCGCCCGTGGTGAGGTAGATCCGGCTCGCGTAGTCCAGAGTTCTGCCGTTGGAAATCACCTCATGGGGGTCGTGGCGGTTGAATGCGACAAGGTCAGATACCTGGACGCCTTTGGGATCAATGACGGTCAATCGTTGTCCTTTGTTGAGCGTGAAGGCAACGCCCGTCCGTGGTGCGATTTCTATGGCGTTCGACATTGGCAGCAGTGATCAACTAAGGCCTTCTGATCGTTGTTTCTCTCGAAGGTGTGTATTTCCGCAAATGCTCTTGACGAGAGGGCACCTCGAGCTCCCTAGTATGCATTACCCATCAGCCACGCCGCAGTAATCGTCTGGTCAAGGCGATTGTGGGGAAAAGCTTGTTCGCCGCCAGCCTGGAAGTGATTCGTACTCAATGTCGGTTTTAGAGTATCCAGATCGTGGCGTCGTTGAAGAGCGATCTGGTATGGGCCGGGGGGCCGAGGACATGGCAGAGAGGCTGCCTCTACCATTGGCTCAGCGGGAAGAATGTCACTACCCGATGCGGTTGCGTGTTTAGATGGCATTCAATCTTCCTCACTTGTCACTAACTTCAACTTCACTGTCATGCACGGCGTGTACGTCATGACTAGCTTCGTCTTCACTCCGCGTGTCCTTGCACGCTAGCGCCGCATTACCGCTGCTAGCAAAAGTAGGTAGTGTCGAGACACAGACTGGATGATACATTGCTTGCGTAGTAGCCTAGTAGCTGATGGTAAAATGACAACGATGGCGTCGGTTGCGGTGACTCGGACTTTGTTCGTGGCAACTGGGAGCTGCTGGCTTGACGTGGCTTCATCAAGTTTAAGGATGGGCGTGGCATATGCATACTGAGGGCATCTTGCCAAACTGTCCTCCCAACCTGGATGCAAAAGCGAAAAATATGCAGCTCGCCATCATCGTCGTCGTCTTCTTTATTGGTCTATACGTGCCTACATTGATAGCGTCACGACCCCGAAAAGCCCGGCAAGACCTCGCCAAGAACTTCGACCATCTCATTCAAGGCATAGTCAGCTTCCTACGAGGGCAACGGGTCCCCAGATATGATTCGCAACCGAGAGAAGAGGTCGATGTGCTCCAGGATGAGCCGAATGCTCTGATGACCAAAGAGCAGGTCGAATCGGACTTTAGCATGGACTCGTGGCAGCGACTTGCATACGAGGAGTTCCGTTCAACCATCCTCGCCAAAGGAAGTGGACTCAAGACCTTCCCCTGTGTCTATGCCACCATGGGATACCGAGAGGGGTCTCATCGGTACATTTTCCTCGAGAGCGACGATCCCAGCGAACCTCGAAACGTTCGAATCGTGGCTCCCGCGTTGCGAGCCTATCTGCGAATGTCGAAAACTCTGGGCAACAACACGAGCATGGTGATCATGGCAGCTCCAACAGAAGGTGACGTGAAGTCCGTGGAAGAGTACAACCTCAGGTTCTGGGAGATGCTGCGTGGACTCAGAATTTGGGACACGACACCTTGGCCAGAAGACTTCCCGCAAGATACGGAAAATGCGAATTGGGCGTATTGCTTTGATGGCACGCCTCTATTTCCAGTGGCTTTGACGCCAGCGCACCAGAAGCGTTGGTCTAGACATGCTCCCGTGCCTTTGATCGCACTGCAGCCCAAATGGGTGTTGGACAAGCTATTGGGGACACCCGAGAAGCGCGAAGCTGCGACCAGCAAGGTCAGGAAGTTGTTGAAGCAATACGATCAGACCGAAATCAGTCCTGATCTAACCACATACGGTGATGTCGGTACTAGTGAAGTCCATCAGTTGTGTCTTCTCGACGAGAACGAGACAGCGGATGTTCCATTCCATGACTTCGACAAAGGCGGCTCATCGGCCGCCTTTTCGCGCCACTCGTCCCGGGCTAGCTCGCGAGCTTCGATTGAAAGTACTCTCTAGCGTTTTGTGTTGTTCTTGAGCGCGACGCATATTTGTTTGGAGTGGTGTCAAATGAGCGATGCATCTTGTCATTAGCGTTATTCTTGTCGATGATTAGCCAATTCATTTGCAAAAGTTCTAACATCTCAACATATTCTTTGTCGCCTTGTTGCTTTTCCCATGTTCCCAGCTTCCCAGGCCGTATCGCATATCGCACAGCCTGAATATACCGTTCTTCCTGATCAATGACCTCCTACCTTCGGGGCTCTGGAACCGTCCTTCGCAGAGTCCGGTAGTCTCTACATTAGTTATGAATCTGTAATGGTTGAGGGAATGGGCACAGCAGGAAAAATACCCGTAAATACATATGTTTCGATAGGTATATATGCTTCTTGGTAGGAAGTAGCCCGCTCTTGGTAGATGGAAATGAACGCGTCGAAATTAGGTTGGGCATGTTTGACACGCGTGATGTTGACAATTTGACAAATGATGTCAATGGTTATTTTGGACAGATGAGGTAATCAATTACATAATATGGTATGGAAAGGTATAGATACCTATAGGTATACTATGTAGGTATAACCTACCTGAGTATTGTACATCAAGCGCTGCCCCAAACGGGAGAACTTCCTTCACTCTCATAGACATGCCCTCGAATCGTTCTTCCTCTCACATCGTTACAGTCGTCAATCATGATATATTTCTTCGCGGGCTGTTCCGGACCAACCCAGTCATCGATATGAAACCCTTCTTTGTCAAAATGATCCCCAATATGCTTGATTCGAGCCTCCCAAGCACGTGCAGCGTCATCGCGGACCGGAATGTCCTGGTGTTGGGAGTGTTGGGACTGGGGCTGGAGCTGGTGTAACAGTGTCTCGCAGAACCCACACCAGAAGAAGGAATTTCCGTGTCCGTTTTTGCTCATACGGGATTGTGTGCACGCTTCCCCGATATTGAGGTTGTTTGTTGCTACAGGTTCATGCTCCGGGCTTTGCAGATGCCGGGCCAGGACTGCAGAAGTTCGGAGTGGTCGACGCGTACAAGTTTTACCTTCCGTGGAGGGTGAACGAGGGAGAGTGCATTGGAAGGACTCGTGAATATCGTGCTGAGAGGTCTCATGGCGTTTCCAATCGTTGCGGCTGCCAAACTTCTTTTGACAGCGAGGAAATGTACAGCCGTATGGACGTGTGTGGCGTTTGATGTGCTTTCTGTTGGTTTCGCCAGGTTAGTACTGGTGACTCTGTTGTTGCTGATAGTATGATGGTAGTGATGACGGCGTTATGTTGTTATTGTGTTTGCAGCAGGTAGTAATGGTATGATCGTACTTGAGGTCGCACCCGCGTCTGTGGGACTTGTAGCACGATGGACACTGGTGATGATTGTCGAAGCGGAGCTGGTCTGCCGTGGTACGAGGCTGGATTGTATTCGTGCAAGAGGGCGCATCTTCGGCGTCTTGAATTTCATAAAGAGAAGTGGGAGGAGCTTCGCCTTCACTGTCGATAGAACCAAATTGATGATCGCTTGCCAGCATATAGTACTGTGATGAGTTTTCTGTGTACGACGAGCCTGGTAGGCTTCCTTCAAGGACGCCATCGAGTTGCATGGACCAGGTACTGTGATCGATATAAGGCACATCGTCTTGCATAGCACCGCCCATTGCAGCCAGCGTATTATCATGCAGGTCGGAACCGGGAAAAAGTTGAGCGAAGTCATCTTCATGCGATATTTCGTTGAGCTGCTGCTGATGAGATTCGTCGGCGATCTGGATCCAATAGTATTCGAGCTCGTTATGATCGCCATGAGATATCTCGCTCTGCGGCTCCACGAAGTTCACGGCAGACCTTGTCTCCAGATCGGTGGTAATGGCATCATTAGGTCGATATGCTTGGGAGCTGTAAGTAGGTCAGTCTATATATACTTGGTGCCCATCAGGAGTACCTTACGATTCGAGAAGACGCCCTTCATCCCAATTCGTATGCTTGCGTCTGATGTGCGCCTTGAAGTTATCTCGTCTTGGCCAAAACTTGTTCTCCTTCCCCTCCGATTGCTGCAGACATGCACAGCAGATGAACCCAGTCGGATTGCCCACAGCAGGCCTGAGACAGTGGACACTCTTCTTGTGCCTTTCCAGATCGTTGACTGTCGCAAAGCCATCTTTTCTGGTGCAGCCGTGTGCCGTACAGTGATGGCGTTTGAGGTGCGTTTCTGCATGCTTTCTGTGACAAAGTCAGTCAGTACCCTCGCTATGTTCTGGTGTAGCGTTGATACTGACCGCGCGTCAGATTGATTCTTGGGCTGGCGACCACATTGTAGGCAGGGGTCCATTGCTGGTTTTCGCGGACCTGTCCCTTCCACGAGCCTACTATTACTTTCCGTAAGGACGGTCTGGAGACCCGATGGCCACAGTCTATCGTTGCCGGCATGTGGCCCGTAAGGGGATGAAGAGTATCCGAACGTATACTCGTTTCCGTTGGCACTACATTCAGTCTTTGAGGCAACTGGTTGTGATACGTAGCCCGAGTCCGCAATGGAAGGGTTATAGGACGAAGTCCGCTCCATCACGGCTCGACTGCCGATTTGCATGCACTCTGCCATGTCATCTGATCTGGTAGACGGGCCAAGCTGCCATCCAGAACCAGGCATCTGGCCATAGAGAACGCCATGCTGTCCCTGTCCATCCCATGGCTGGACTTGTTCGGATTTAGTCAGTTGCTCAAGTGGAATCTGGCCAGCCTCCTGTGCCAGATCGTCGAGACTGGAGAGGTCGAGGTTGTTGGGATCAGACATGTGTCGCTGTCGGAACGGAGATTGACTATACATCGTCTATTGCTTTCCATTCATGTCTCATACCACGAAGTCAACCACAAGCAAGACGTCGAAGGTGTGGATGACTGAACCTAGAGCGTGAGCTTCGGCAACATCACAGCTGAGGTCGTTGCTCGCTCTGAAGCACTTGGAAGCATATAGAATGACCCCTCAGCCGTGTGCAACTCGAACGAAGGCAACCAGTTCGCACGCAGTATGCATGCACGAGGGCGTCGCGGCGGAGCTTTCCTATTGGTCAGTTGGTGCATGATTGAGAGGCCGCACTGAGTGACTGAGCACTTGTCAGTGATCCTTCGCCCTGCGCATGGCGGAATTTGCAGCGTTCGAGACCCACTTTTTCGCATACTACTGCTCTCTGACTGGTATAATCTGGTGTGTGAACAAGGAGCGGCGACCAGGTCAGAGATGTATACGTATTACAGACTGCCGTGTCAGCGCTCAATCCGCGGTCGACGAACCTATCACAACGATGCGGTAGACGTGAAAAGTGTACATGTAGGTATTGTACAGTCTTACAGCTGCATGGGCTCACCGGAATGCTCCCACCGAGACTTGGAACTGTGCTAATGAGCTCAGGGCACTTCGTCAATTCCAGCTATTTTCTTGCTCTGCTCTCATGATCCGGCTACTCACGCCCTGCACTAATTCAGGCCTGTTTCTGACCTTGTGTAGAAAAGTCCCAAGAGTTCAAGTACCCGGCGCCATGGCAGAGGTAATTGGCGAAGCCGAGCCATGCAAGGTATGGAGCCAACAGCCAGCCAGACGTCTCGTCCACTTGGCCCCAGATATAAGCCAAGTAGCCCACTGTGCCTGTCAGAGCAATGATATCGGCGCTGGCAGCTACAGGCTTCTTCAAGCCAAAGAAGAGAGGTGTCCAGACCAAGTTCAACGCCAATTGAATGGTGTACAAGGTTGCGCCATGCTGTGGAATGGATTAGTATAGCACAATCTCGCGTTCAAATCATCGGGTGGAAACCTTTGCGAGCTGCACTGTGCGTGGGTTCACGCTCGTAGTCCCGATCGTCCAGGCACGATAGCTAGCATATCCCATCGCACCATACAACGCCGTCCAGACAGGACCGAAAATCCATCCAGGAGGCTTCAAGGGTGGTTGGCGCAAGGCTGCATGGAACTTCCTCGTCTCTGATGGGGATATGGCGAAGCCTGATGACAGTAATGATCAATGGTCAGGAACGGTATGGTATGCAGACGTTCAAGTTGCGGACGACTGACCAATAGCGGTGCCAGCAGCGATCGGGAGGAGCACGGCGGCGGCAGGCTGTTCGAACAGAAAGGCCGGGAGCGTGATGGAGGGGATGTGGGTGGTCATGGTGGTGGTGTGAGGATTGCGTGTTGATGGTATAGTGGTACCTTATAGTGGTATAGTGGTATAGTGGTAAGGTATAGTGTAAGGTGTACCACGGGACTGCACCCGTAGAACTAGCTAGATGTACGGGTACATGTATTTGGGTTCGGGAGCTTCCTCGCACGGCCACTCGGCTCGGCTCCGCTCCCGCTGGGCGGACCCGTACACTGACAGAGGTACCTACTCTTACAACCATCTTCCGGCCGTCTCCAGCTTCACGACCACTGCACTTCGACAAGCCACCACCAAGTCGTCCTTTCTTGACCGCACTCTTCACGTTCGTACTCTCCCCTCATCAGCACCATCTTCATCTTCATCTTCCTCTTCATCTTCATACTACCATTCCCCTTTCACCTGTTTCTTGCTGGTTGCATCCCCCCTCGTCTCTCTGTCTACTTGCACTCTCGCGGCTTACTTCTAACTCTGCGATCATGCAGTCCTATAACACCACCCCTCTGCGGCACGGAGACCGCACCCTCCTACGATTTCGACTTCGTTAACGTCCTGAACTTCCAGTCTGCCCGCCCCGTGCGTCCAGCGACTCGCAGGCGACTCCGCCGTGCACGCGCCCAACTTGATGGCGGCAGCAGAAACTGCATAGACCTTTCTCTCTCCCACAGCAAGCTCTCCGTGTGGACGTCATGGACGACTACGACTACAGCCATGGTCATGGTCGGACCCCCATGAGAGAGTCACCACCCATGTTGAGAGCTCCAGCCCGTGAACGTGACTCTGACTATCGCTCTGGTCAGGACGCGTATCGCGGCGAGAGGCGCCGCTCGCCGGGTGAGTTCCCTCCCCGGTCTCGCACTGTGTCAATGCTGTGTACTTCCTTGGATATGGACGTGATGAATGCTAACCTGTCGACCACAGACCGCCGACGCGACCGTCGACGTTCGCGCTCTCCAGCACCCATCGATCGTTACCAGCCTGATCGTGTGCGTGATGAGTATGCATACAGCGCCCGTGGCCGTGATGAGCCACATCACCAGCGACGACGCTCATCACCACAGCCAATTGACCGCTATGTGCCAGGCGAACGACCTGAGCACGTACCCATCCTCGTCAACCCAATGCCTGATCCGATGAAGTTGGACATCCAGGTGGGATTCACCTGGTTCGCAGAGTGGTGGCGCACCGAGCAGCGCATCAAGGAAGAGAAAGAGAGAGCGAAGACGGGACGCCCGCCACCGCGTCTCCGAGGGGAGCGGGAGTCCAAAGAGGATCGCGAGACTGAGCGGCCTAAGATACAGGCTGCATACGACCAGTACAAGGAGAACTTGCAGCGTCTACAGGCTCAGACATTTGTGCGTCTGCATAAGAATGAGGATTGGTTCCGAGAGCGCTATGTTCCCGAGTCGCGTGATGCGTTCAGGAAGAAGCTAATGAGCTATCGCAAAGGTCTATTCGCGCAATGGGAGCATGATCTGACCAATGGCGTCTTCGACGATTTCACGTTGGAAGGAATCTACAAGACCGAATCCAATGGGCAAGGTGGTATCGTGGAGCGCGAGGAGGGCGAAACTAATGCTGCGACAGAAGTTTTGGGTGTTGGTGACTTACTCCCCTCCAAAGGTGCCGATCTTCGCGATCCAGCGTCGCTGCAGCCCACCTTGCTCATCAAGACCATCGCTCCGACTGTCACGCGCGAGAAATTCGAGAGTTTTGCGAAAGAGCATCTAGGCGAAGGCGCTTGCGGCTTCAGCCACTTGTCTCTTTCAGACCCCAATCCGCTCAAGAAGTGCCATCGAATGGGATGGATCATCCTGAACTCAACACCCGAGCAAGGCGCTGATGCCTCCGCGGATGACAGCAAGGCTGAACAGAACAGCAATGGCTTGGGCGATGGAAAAGAAGGCACGACAGCAGACGCAGATCCCAAAGCTATCACTCAGAAGCAGAGCTCCAGCGAGAAGGCTCTCGAGAAGATCAACGGCAAAACGATAGAGGATCCAGACCGTGGAAACTTCACGGTCCACTGCGGCGTCCACCGTCCACCAGATGCTCCTCGGAAGAAAGCACTGTGGGACTTGTTTTCAGCGTCCGAACGCATTGCTCGGGATTTGGAGCTGGCCACTCGCCTTGTCCGTAAGCTCGACAATGAACTCGGCGATGAGTATTTTGGCGTGGCGAAGATTGAAGAACGCGTTCACGACCTGTCAGAGCAAGGTTTGCTGAAGCCTGAGCAGCCTGCCAAGCCTGAAAAAGACCCAGATACGATGGAAGCCGAGGTTGAAGATGGGGAAGAAGAAGACGACGAGGGCATGGTCGAGGAAGACGATGCCGACGACGAAGAGCTTCTGATCAAAAAGAAGAAGCTGGACCTCCTGGTGGAGTATCTGCGTCGTGTCTATAACTTCTGCTTCTTCTGCGTTTTTGAGTCCGACTCAGTGCATGAACTGCAGCGCAAGTGTCCTGGTGGACATTTGCGCAGGCCGCGTGCCAGTCTGACCTCAGCTGCCAAGGAGACAGGAAGAGCCAGTGCTTTGTCGGAAGCATTCCCTCTCAGAAAGAGAGCAGGTTACAAGCCGGATGGGGAAGAAGAGCCAGAGATGGACACCAAGGACGAGAGTCCTGTGGAAGAGAAGAAAACGCTTTCCATGAAGCCATCCACCAAAATGGTGCAGCAGCTGCAGCGTGCCTTCAATTGGGTGAAGACGTTCGAGGACAAGATCCTGCAAATTCTGGAGCCAGACAACGTAAACATTCGTAAGCTCGGAGGCACGCCGTTGGAAGAAGGTGTGGAGAAGGAGCTTGCAAAGGTAAGTGCTGCAACATTCATTCATTCATTGCCGCGCGTGTGCTAACATATCGTCATTAGTTCGTGCTACAGGAAGATGTCAATAAGTTCCGCTGCAAAGTCCCAGAGTGCACCAAGCTTTTCAAAGGAACCGAGTTTTGGCGCAAGCACGTTGAGAAACGTCACGCCGATTTCCACGAGCGTATACGCAATGAAGTCGAACTCGTCAACACTTACGTGCTCGATCCGGCGCACATTGCTCCAAGCAGAAGCGATGCCAACTCCAATGGACACTTTCCACCGAGCAACCATGCACCGACTGGCACGCCACGAGGCTTCCAGCTCAACCAGCAGTTCCCAATGGGCTTCCCCATGACCGCTGGGCTGACTCCCGGTGGTACACCTGGCATGCCGCCGATGTTTGCAGGTCAGCCGATGGGCATACCAGGCGTTTGGACACCTGGAATGGCTCTCGGTAGCGGTGGGCCGATGCGCACCAACAACCGCATGCAAGGTGGTGCCTATCGAATGCCTGGTCCTTATGCGCGCAACGGCAGAGGACGAGGCCCTTCGATGAGCAGCGGACGTCCTATGGGTATGATGGAAGGCGGCACCGCAACGATGGGTCCAAACGAGGCCGTGGTAGGTCGCAGCTTGAGAAGCTACGAAGACCTGGATGCGGACAAGGAGCAGAGTACGGGAGAACTAAATTACTGATCTCCTGGAGAACGGAGTGCAGGTGAACGGGGAAGGGCAAAATGAGCGCCACAACAGAAGACATTGTGTGCAGAAAACTGTGAAGCTGTGTAGTGTTTTATGGTAAAGCTCGCACTGTTCGAGAATATCGACGGGTACCTAGACACAGGATTGCTGGCCTCTACTCTCCCTACCTTACCTTCACTTCCCTTTCTCCCTGTCAGGCGCGAGACGCATCGCGACTGTTCAGGAAGATATCTCTGTACAAGCTCTAGAGAAAGTTCAGGTACCTTAGGTATCATACTTAAGTTTACACTCGTTCTTGATGTCTACCTCGTACAACAGCTTCGAATTGCCGTATGGCATCGCAATATCATCGCTCTTTATATTTGCCTCTTATCTACAGTAAATAGGTAACCTGACGGTCCCATCTTACACCAAGGTACATGTACCGTCGTCAGGCACACGTGGGAATCGCATAGGTGGACACCACTGTTCGAGAGAAGTTGAATTATTGTATAATACAATGTCTCGACCTGTTCATGCATGTCTGTTTGCAAGACACACACCACGGGGGGTAATGTATGTACCTTGTGTATCATGTTTTTTTTTTACACAACAACAGACCATGGATGATCTTCCTCGCCGTACTGAATGCCTTCGATCCAGTTCTTCATCTGCTCCACAACAGGACCGAATTCTTTGCCAGCTGGGAGACCACAGTCGACCAGTTCACCCTTGTAGGAGATTGCTCTCACGGGCGACACTGTCGCAGCCGTTCCCGAACCGAAGACTTCCAATAAGCGACCTTCTTTTGCTGCCTCGGCGAGCTCACGCATGTGGAATCTTCTTTCGGAGATTTTCCAGCCTTGCGGGACCATTCTCTCGCGCGCCAGGGCAAGAACGGAATCTCGAACGACGCCGTCGAGAATGGTGCCGTCGAGAGGTGCGGTCATGAGTTCCTTCTCGCCGTTCTTGTGTTGAATGGCGACGAAAAAGTTCATCGTGCCGACTTCCGTCACGAAATCTTCTTCGACTCCTGTTGTGGGATCGGTATCTTTGAACAGCCAGAGATTTTGATGGAAGCCTCGAGTGGCTGCTTGCATTTGAGGTACGATGCAGGGTGCATAGTTGGCGCCCAGTTTGCTGGCTCCTACGCCACCTGGCCAGGCTCGCACGGCGTAATCGGTGGCTTCCAGAGAAATGGCTTTGAAGCCCGTCGGGTAGTACGGTCCGACAGGAGAGGCGATCACGTACAGCATGGCACTACCTGGAGGACCAACGCCGAGTGTTCGCTGTGTGCCTATCATGTTGGGTCGAATGTAGAGGCTGTAACCCTTTTGTCTGCAGTACAACAAAAACATTATCAGCGACACCTCGACTTGAGCCACACATGTGTGGTGTGAGTGCGGCCATTACTCACGATGGGATAAACCTCTCCTCCAGCTTCACAAACTTCTTCAGCAGTTCAATCACCGCCTCCCCATTGAACGTCGGCAGCGCAATTCTCGCAACACTTTTGTTCAATCTTGCCATGTTCTTGTCTGGTCTGAACAACCTCACTCTCCCCTGCGTATCTTTGTAGGCTTTCATGCCCTCGAACGCTTCAAACGCATAGTGTAGGACACATGTCGCCGGGTCCAGTGACAGGTTCTGATATGGCGTGATGCGAGGTGCTAGCCAGCCATCCGAAGCCGTCCATTCGAGGGAGAGCATGTGATCGGTGAAGGCGCGGCCGAAGACGAGGTCTGCATTGGGCGTGATCTCTTTGGGTGTGGTGGTGGTGGTGACGGACAGTTGGCTGGCGTCAATGGTGCTCAAGCGAGGATCGCTGGAATCGGGAGCGCGGAGGCTGTACAGTCTTCTTGCGCTGGTACTCCATGTCGTCGTGGTCGATGTCGCGAAGAATGTCTTCTGAGACGCGCTTCGGCCAAAGAGCGTTCGGAGGGCCATGGCGGTCTGTCTGTTTGTTCGTCTTGGTGTATCTTAGCGTCCCAACCACGCTGCTCAGTCTCTCGAGGGACGTCCACTGTGCCACAGCCTCCAAGCTGCACGCAACACTGTCAATGGCTCCAATTGTTGTGGTGTGACTCGACGTATCGTGCTTTAAAGTTGTGAGCCATATGCCAGAATACCTTACCCAGGGTCTCAACTTCTCAAGTCAAAGCGCCGCCGATGTCGGCTCAAGCGAGATGGTTTTGTGTACGTCTATACGATGACAATGTTCGTGCATTACTATTCACAACTACCTGTATATACGAAAACTTCTGATGAGAGGATCTGGTGCTGATTGACTGCTCTTCTGTGTGCGAGCCGTTTGGGCGTATGGCAGATATTTTCCACACTTGCAGCCTGAGCGCACGGTTGTCCATATACCTGTAGCTAGCTGGCGGCATCTTGCCCGTCGTTGATATCCTTTTTGGTAGAACGTGGTCTGCCCGCTGCTGAGTGCTGCGAAGTGGCATCGTAATGGCAGAACGTCCTCTCAGGTGCCTGATATCCTCCCTCTTGAGAGAGTCCCGTTGAAATTTACCGGATATTAGTTCTTTTCCATTGCTCATGAGTAGAACCCAGTCCATGGCACCGAGCCGCTTGTCCCATACATTGCCGCTTCTGTGGGCATATGTGTGCCACTCACCGACATCTCACTCGGAATCGTGGGTCGTCTTTGCTGGTGAATGACCTGATGTTGTGCATAGCGCAAGTGCTGCGGGTGCGACTGTTGCTGGCGTTGTTGATGTTGCTGCAGGAGATTTCGCTCCACCAGTCCAAAACGAGGTGTAAGCTGCATCAAAGGCATGTAGTTCACAGGGGGCACATCATTCGCCAACCCAGGAAATTCATAAAAGAAGTTAATGTCCATTCGCCAGTTCGCCATATCCATCAGGCCATATTCGAATCTATCCGTGAGTTGGTACATTGAGGATTTTGGAGAGTACGCCACGACTTCGAATGGTTCAAAGTCGCCGACGACGCGCATGTTTCGTGCGAAAAATGCCCAAAACTTGTTAGTTAGCATGTCAGTCTGTGAGGACATTAGACGTTCGCGAAGTTTTGGCCACGTCAAATGATCAATCACAGGCTCGTGGGCTATAAGGCTTTCCGCCATACTGGATGATATTAGTCTCGGAGCGCACGTCCCAACCGCCTGTACTCGATTGCTTACTGGGGCTGAAACCAAGCGGGCAGCGGTCCTTCAACTTGAGTAGCAACAGTCTTGGTTTCGAACATATATCTGAAGCGGTGATATCAGCTGAGAGTGTATGGTATAAAGCATGCATGCTCTTGCAGTTCCTACCTTTTATGGAGCATGCGAAGGCAGCTTATCCGCTCGACCATGTTGCAATCCTTGAACAAACACATGTCGACCATGCGAAGCACCTCCCAGAGTGGACAGACTTGCTCATAGCGCGACAATGCAAACTTCCAGCCTTTCAATACAGCGTTGATGATGACATCTTGATTGTGTTCGTCGTCGTAGCAGATTTGCTCGGGAGGGATATTCCGGATGCGGTCTACCAAATGATTCAGGAACATGGTGAGATCTCGACCGCCTGGGTCACTTCTGCTGCCTGTGACGAGCATAGCAGTGTGTGGCTCAAGGCCAAGCCCATGATCCGAACTGCTTATGCCAACAATGTTTGCCGTGTCGAGGCCGTGACCATCTGTAGCCCCTGCCCGTAGGGTTGAATCCCTCGCCGGATGCTGGTCATAGTCTGGCCGAGATACTTAGCAATTCGCATTTCGCTATGACTGCCCGACCGATGACATACCTACTGCACCGGGCCAGAATTGCGAATCGGGCAAATTACTCAGAGACGAATCGATAGTGCTGTCGATGTCTGTTGATGCCGGACTGGTGCTATTCGCCACGTCGACTCTGTGCGCAATGTCGGGAGCCGATTCTTTCCCATTCCTAGGCTGAGTGTGGGAAGCTTCGAGTTGAAGCACGCGTGCCTCAAGCAGAGCAAGGCGGTCTTGGACTTCCTTCTTCAAGAATCTGTTGGCTTTGCGATCGACCTCTTGTTTTCGTTGTCGTTGCTCTGCCGTGAGCACTCGGCCACTTGCCCAAGGCTTTTTCTCGATTGCTCCTGCATCTGTACGCTTGCCAGGTCCTGTGCGAGCGCTCATATCTGCAATTGGGCACGAGTATGCTGCCGCAGGCTGGAGCTCAGCTGCCTCGTAGCAACCGCATTCCCTTCCCAGAGCATGTGCGCTATATGAGCGGCATGGTTTGCCACTGTGAAAATACTAGTCCGCAGATTGAATTCTGGTCAGAAGCAGCTCAATAGTGAATGATGTTGGTAGGGATTCGTGCGCTCTACTATGACCCCGCAGGAGTGGGAGAGATCGACAGACCAGACCAGACCAGACCTTTTAACCTGCACAGCCTGAATCGGTCTTCAGAGTTGCGTGGTGCGAACCCTATGTCAAGCCAAAAGGTCATGCTTAACAACCCAACTCGAGTGCTTTCTCCTGTGAATCGGCTTCTTAATTATCTTGCGAGACGTGAGCAGGCTTGACGAGCAGCAAGGCTGGTAAGGCTGGACACCCAGAACTCCGTTATGATGGACATTACTCAATGCCTTGTGGTGACTGCTAGTCTCGTGAAGTTAAGGTACCTGATTATACAGGCTTGGGTCTCCAATTGCAGCCAGCCCTCGAGGACCCAAAGTCTGACCCGCCAAGCGGTTTAATCTCTTCGTTCAAAAAGCCAACAAGGAAATGTATGGTATGCTGCCTGTGGCAGTCGTTGGCAGAACACATCTTCGTTTCCATGATTTTGAAAAATTTGGAGAGGACCGCGACAACATTGTCTGTGCAACAATGCGCCTAGATTCGTCGTTCTAGCAGTGTGAATGCACCTGCAAACACATCTTAGGTACAACAGCATCTCCACACCTAGGCGGCCACTGATGGCTGGCTGAGGATACAGCCTCAACTGCCAGTTGTGTAGCTATAGATGATGGAGGATATCGTAAGGAGAAGCCTTAAGAGGTACCGTAAGGTGTAGGTACCCGTAGCCGTAGGTATGTAAGTCTAGCCGGAGTTGCGCCGCGTATACCAGCGCCTCGTCACAGGCCTAAAATGTCTTGGCAATATATCGGGCCTTCGGACCTGGTAAAGAACAACATCATTTTGGGTCTCCTTTTTCACGCCACGACACGGTCATGATGCTCGCACGATGAGAACGATCAGCGTTCCGCAAAGTTCGCCAGTCAATATCTGATATGGGAGTACCGCCTCAGCTGGATCAATCCCAAGAGAGACCACGTCACCATGTTCGCCAATGCGCTCAAGTCGTTCTCGAGTAACATCACCAGCAATTACACCCTTGGCCCTCAGCCTATCTCAATAGCTGGAGCTTGGAAGATCTATGACGCCAAAAGTAAGCGCACAGGCAAGGCAGCTTCGGTCTTTGTGTTCGACAGAAAGAGCTTGGACGGGTCCACTGGCGGTGGTGGCAGCGGCGGTGGGCTCGCTGGACGGGGCGGCGGCGTATCGCTGAAGCGCTCCCAAGATGAGGTCGTGGAGCGATTGAAGAAGGAGGCGAGCAGTTTGGCGCGTCTGCGGCATCCATGCATTCTCGAGCTTGCTGAGCCTGTCGAGGAGACGAGCCGGGGCGGTCTGATGTTCGTATCAGAACCCGTTGTCAGCAGTCTAGCTGGCCTGCTGCAGGATCAGGACGAGCAGGCGCGCTCTGGAGGACGCACTAGCCGCTATGTCGTTGAAGAGTCGGACGGCACGCCAAGACGAAGAGAGCTGGAACTCGACGAGCTGGAAATACAAAAGGGACTTCTGCAGCTTGCTAAAGGCCTCGAGTTTCTCCATGAGAGTGCTGGATTAGTCCATGCAAATCTCACTCCTGCCGCTATACTGATCAATGCCAAAGGCGATTGGAAGATCTCAGGTCTAGCATTTTGTGGTCCTCACGAGAGCAGCACTTCCGCCACGTCCATAACGCCCATAAGCTTGCATGAAGTGCTGAATCACGACCCTCGTCTGCCGAGAAGTGTTCAGCTAAATATCGATTATACATCTCCAGACTTTGTTCTTGATAACACTCTTACTTGCTCTGCAGATATGTTCAGCCTTGGTCTTCTGATCATCGCGCTGTATAACAGTCCGCACACTTCACCACTCAGCACAGGCGGATCCTTATCATCCTTCAAGCGCGTCTTCTCGAGCTCATCGACAATACCGTCGCAGAACAATAATTTCCTCATTCCCGCATCTCATCCCATCCCGCAAACTCTGGCCTCCGAGGTCCTCCCCCGACTGATCACTCGACGACCCGCACAGAGGCTCACCGCCAAAGCCTTCCAGGAAGCTAGGTATTTCGACAATATATTGGTTTCTACTATGCGTTTCCTGGATGCTCTGCCCGCCAAAACGCAAAATGAAAAACAGGCGTTCATGCGCGGTCTCCCAAACATCATGCCGCAATTTCCGAAGAGTGTGCTCCAGAGAAAGGTGCTGCCTGCATTGTTGGAAGAGATGAAGGATAAGGATTTACTTGCCCTGATCCTCTCGAACGTGTTAGCCATCATTCAAGCGATGCCCGCAGGGAAACAGGTATTCACAGAAAGGGTCGTGCCAAAGCTACGAGAAGTGTTCTTGGCGAACAAGACTGCGGAGAAGGACACTTCGAGGGAAGGTGCCTTGATCGTACTGCTCGAGGGAATGAATATAATAGCCGAGAATTGCACAGGGAAAGAATTTCGAGACGACGTGCTACCCATCGTTCTTGTTGCAATGGACTCAACAACGCACGCACTCGTCGATGCCGCGCTTAGCACGCTGCCTTCATTACTCCCAAATCTGGATTTCAGTACCATTAAAAACGAGTTGTTTCCGATGATTGCGCAAGTATTCGCGAAAACCAGCAGTTTGCAGATCAAGATCCGAGGGCTTGAGGCATTCTCTACCTTGTGCGGAGGCGGTCACGACGATGGTGCAAACGATGACCTCAATGGCATCGGCATCACGGGAAAGAAGGCATCAACCAGTAGCATCATACTCGATAAATACACAATTCAAGAAAAGGTGGTCCCTCTTCTCCGCGGCATCAAGACTAAGGAACCCGGGGTCATGATGGCAGCTCTCAATGTCATTCGACAGGTCGGAGAGGTGGCAGACATTGATTTTCTAGCCAAGGCTGTGCTTCCACTACTATGGGAGTGGTCACTTGGCCCGTTGCTGAATCTTGCGCAATTCGAGGCGTTTATGAAACTGATTAAGAGCATGAGCGGCAGAATAGAGGCAGAGCAAACCAAGAAACTCCGAGAGTTGTCGAGCAGTGACAATCGTGGCAGGCGCTCTGCAGCAGCGCACAAAGTCGCCGCTGGCGGCATTGGATCCTCTGGTGAGTTGGGTGACGACGCGCAGGCGAGCTTCGAGCAGGTTGTATCTGGGCGCAAGCAGGAGGAAGCAAATGCAAACCGGGATTTAATGAACGATTGGAACTCATCAGCGCCGCAAGCGCAGACATCCTCTTCCAGTGGAGCACCTGCCTTTTCGTGGCAGGCAACATCTGCTATGCCAAACAGATCGACCACGGCGCTGCGCCAATCCCACGTGCCCACACGTACAGTGACACCGGATCTTGCGACCTTCAGCACACTTGTTCCTTCCAGTCAATATTCTAATCCTCTTCAACTCCAAGCACATGGAGGACTCTCCAATAACGTCGCAACACACTCGACGGGTTCACAGGCTCCAAGAGCGAATGGCACCAACGTCGGCCTCGACTGGTCTGCTGCGGCTACTCGTTCGACAGCAGCAGGGTGGTCTGCACAGACGACGTCGAGCTCTGCTGCTGCTGCTGCTACGGTGTCGCGACCATTTGTCGCAAGCCAAAGCTCGTTTTCTATACCGCCTCCGCCTATCAGCCCACAAGCACTGCACAACGGATACAGTGCACCTCCGGGCAACTCGATGCCGCGACAGGCGCAGCAGCAGGTATCAGCACAACCGCAGCCGTGGCAACAGGCTCAGACTGGCGGAGGTCTGGAAAAGTACGAGAGTTTATTGTGATTAGCGACATGGGGGACTACGAAAGACTAAATCACAACAAATACCAAGTGTGACGTCTGTTGGCGAAGAAAGCTTGGTGCATGACAAGTCGCATGTTTCACGAAATGACAAGTGACAAGTGACAAGGCTGCCCCCGTCGGGCCGCCCATGCACTTGCAGCGATATGTTGCAGATTGTGTGGCTCGTGGTGATACAGAGTTACAGACAGTGCAGTGCTCCACATTTTCAACAGCAAGGACCAGTAATGCAAGCAAGGCCAGGCTCAAGCATTGTTGCATTCCACTGCAGCCCACACGTATGCAACTGACAATGGAGAAGGGGGAAGGGCATGTGGGCACGACGGGCCATAGAATGGATTGAGTCAGGACTGCGGCAGGGCATGCGACGTCTCAGCACCACATTTGACCATTTGATGCGCCACCCCAGAGTCGTGGACGGTGGTGGTCGCGCGCGAGCGAACGAACGTCGAGTCGTTCTCAACGTAGGATGATGATGTGGGTCCCGCGGCGTACATTACCTTTCGTTTAGTTTGCCTGACGAGGGAAGGGGGGATGGGGCCCTCCGTCGCTGCCGCGGGAAGGATGTTTGATTGAGCTCAGAACCGCTTTGTCAGCTCACGTGAGGCGTCGCATCGCGCTCTCAGACTCTCCGCGCACGGGTTCGCGGGTCCCAAAATAGTAACGGCGCGAACTCTCTTCCTCCCCACGACCTCTCTCCCGGAACGGCCAGGAGTTGGGAGGTACTGTACCTCCTAGGACCTCAGGTTCAAGCTCATAATTTAAATGTCAGTTTCATTAGAGCTATGCGCACGGCAACGCTCGGATGGTGATACTGCTGGGGCGCACAGACAGGCGGTACGGCTGCTGCTTCCGGCCTGGACAGGTTTGGTGATGAGAGTGTGAGAGAGCTGTGACTGTGAGAGGGACGGGAGTCCGCTCGCACTCGCACTCGCGCTCCCACATCGCAGCGCTGAGCTTGCTTGCTTGCTTCGAGCTTGATACACGCTCTGACCGTTGACGTGCGGGTGCGCCTGCCTGTCTGCCCACAGTGCCTGCCTGCCTGCCTGCCTGCCTGGCACCTGGCACCTGGCTCCTGCCTACTAGCACCTGCCTGCTTTCCCATCCTGCCTGCTTGCTTTCCCCAACAGCGCCACGTGCCTGCCCTTCTTGTTTGCGCGCTGTTTCAGCCGGCACCGGGTCCTGGCCGTCGCTCAAATGCAGTAGTGGTGATGACTGTATCACAGTCGTACTCGCTGCCAAACTTTCCCTCTCACTTTTTGTGTTCATTCCTCCTCTCTGGACACTCGACCTTCCACCGCCTCAGACACGTCTCTGCGCCATTGTACGACTGCGCGTCGTCTGCAGCCTCGAACAACAACAACAACAACAACAATAATAATAACAACAGGAAGAGGACGAAGCAAGCAAGCATCTGTATCCACCACCTGCGCTTCTCTCACTGCCATCCATCATCGACATGGCCGAGTCCGCCGCCGTCGCGCCCGCGCCCGCGCAACATGAGACGCGTCCTTCCAACGTCAAGAAACCCCGGGCACCCCGCAAGTCGGAACGTATACAAACCGCCCTGCGATCCTATAAGGTCTTGAAGGACTTGACTCCCGAGCAAATGCAAAACTTCATGGATTCCTATCAGATCTATTCGCTGGATTGGGCGGATGAAAAAACAATGATTGCAACGCTGGGGTTCGACTACAAGCAGAAGGTCGGACAGAAGCTGGCAGACTACTACTGCGTTCTCAACCACCTCTGCGCGTTGGGAGAACTGTGGGTATACAAGCTCGCGATCATGGTGGCGGTGCTGACGATTGCATAGCGAGAAGATGTACATCCCGCCATACCTGTGCGACAAGAACATCATCACAAACCAATGGATGTATGAGGAATCCGTTTGCAAGGAACTGACACTACCACCCAAAGCACGTGTCCTCGAGCTAGGCTGTGGCCGAGGACGAGTCGCCGCGCACGTCTCCCAGACGACTTCTGCTCAAATCACAGGCTTGAACATTGATCAAGATCAGCTCGCTAGCGCTCGTGAATGGAACAAGCGCCAAGGCCTCAACAACGAGTTCATTCACGCCGATTTCAACGAACTGCCGCTGCCTCTGGAGTCGGAATCCTATGATGCCTTTTATCAAATACAAGCCTTTAGTCTCGCCAAGGACCACGAGGCACTCTGCAAGGAGTTATACCGACTGTTGAAACCTGGCGCCCGGCTGTCTCTTCTCGACTGGGTGAGTCTCGAGGCCTATGATCCTAAGAACGAGCACCACCAAGAGCTATTCCGCAAGATCAAACCTCTGATCGGCGCCGTGGGTACACCCACTCCTGCAAGTCTTGAGAGTGCACTATCCAAAGCCGGCTTCCGAGTTTTGCAATCCAACAATGCCAATGTCGGGGGGATTCAGGCGCCGCTGATTGAGCAAGCTGACGGCTACTTCCGTATGGCCCGCAAGGCTATCCTGGGTGGTGTTCGAGTGGGGGTATTTCCCCCTCATTTCAAGACGCTGTTCAACCGCCTCACACAAGATTGCGATGCCTTTATCGAGGCGGATCGCGCAGGACTCTGCACCACGACGTGGCACTGGTTGGCTGAGAAGCCTCTGACCACGTCTTCGCCACCTAACGATGACTCGGCATATGGATCTTTGTCTGGGTCGCAAGAGGCTGTCAACTCGTCCACGCCGGCCGCGCCCGCCACGACCGCCACGCCTGCCACAGATGCAGCTCCGCAGAAGGAGGTGCAAAAGGAGGTGCAAAAGGAGGCTGTCGGCAGCTCTCCGTTGGCTCAGTCCGCGTAACCCAAACCACATTGCGATGTGCAGATGTCTCTTTTGGTCGTTTCATGCGGTATGAGATGTGTGTGTGTCTCTCTCTCTCTCTATCTGCGTGTGTCTGTGTGTGAGAGTGAGTGTGTCTGTTATCACGGCGTGGGAGGTCCCGGCTACGTCGTATACTCGTCATCACAGCCGCGCTTGGAGGGAGGTGGGCATATTGGACTCTCGAGACTTGTATTGACATGGCGGGTACCCTTCTCTCTCTCTCTCTCTCTCAATCCTAGCAATACATCTGTACGATAACCTACCTGGTGATTCCAGCTCACTCCAGCTCTACCTGCCAATTACATCGTACAAACTCACCTATCGAACCTCGCTACTCTCAGGTCAGCAACAGTGGATCGCACGCTTTTCGGACCTGGATCGTTGCCACTCAAGCATTTCCTACTTTCGATATCTACTTGGTGTATATGGACACGCCCAATTTCTTCCATCGTGTTCACACCTCTCGGCTTAACCGTTCGCGTTGAACTTGCCATTGCCTCTCCGGTTTGCGAGTGTGTATCGCAGCAGTGCCAAAGGGTGTGTGCATGCCCTTGTGGCGATGCTGAAAGTTGCCTTTCAGTCTACTAGGCCTCCTCATTGTCCTTCTTGCCTTTCTTTCCCTTCTTTCCGCTGCCAGAAGGTGCCACTTCAGCATTCCTCTTCTGGTGTACGATGAACTTGGTATAGCATTCTTCTCTGTCCCACTCGAAGCCTGCGAGGTAGGGTGCTTCCAGCTCATCGTCGGCCTGTACAGTACCGCAATCCGTCAGCGAGGAATATCAAAAGGAGTACAAGTCTGTGTATTCTGAGGTTCCGACGTTACCTTCTTCTTGAACTGCTTGTGAATTGCATCTAGTGCATCTTTGATTGTGACGCCTTTGGAGTTACGGGCTGTGACTTCGAGACCCAGCGGGAAATGGAGATCGATCTTCTTGATGGGTGGGTTGCAGAGCAGCTTTTTGAGGACTTCTTGGTCCTCGACTTTGGATGGAGATGTGTTTAACTTCCTGTGGAGGAGGAGGAGGAGGAGGAAGGTTAGCTTGGCTGGTGGGTCGAGGATTGATGTTTGGACCTCCGGTATGTCCACTACAACGACACAACGTGGAAGAATCACGACAGGACGGACTAAGAGCTTACCATCCAAGCTTTTGGGTCTCTGGTGCAATCTTGAGCTCCACGCCTTCCTTCTCTGTTATTGGGCACAATTCAGTCAGTTAGGCGGCTCATACTTTGGTCAAGGGAGCTGTCTGTCGTTGGTGTATGGATAGAGAGAGAGAGAGAGAGGAAGGAAGAGCCATCCATACCAAGATCATTGATGTTGAACACGCCGCTCACAGTGCTACTTGTCCTGCGGTGCCGGATCTTGGACTCGGTAGGCGAGGCAGGTGCATCATCAATGGCAGAGTCAACCTTGGACAAGGTGGACAAAGGTTCTTGCACTTCAGCGGACATGATGGATGATGATGATGGTGGTGATGGTGAGGGTATCGTTTGAAAGAGTGATTGTGTGTGTAGGTGATGGAATGATTCAGTAGTCGGTGATTTCAGCAATGGTGGTGATGATGATCATACAGCAGAGGAAGGGAGAGAGAGGGAGAGGGAGGGAGAGAGGAGAGAGAGAGAGCTCTTCAGTCACAAGGTAAATAACGAGCTGTCGAGCGGGGTCTTGCAAAGAACATGTGACATTGGAGGAAGTTCCCAGGAATTGGGGGAAGGTGATGCCATACCAGGAGGCTCAGGATCGGAAGTCTCAGTCTCTCCATCATCAGCAGCAGCAGCATCATCAGCAGGAGCAGCAGGAGCAATCAGCCCATCGCTCTTGCCTTGCCTACCTAAGCTCTCGTCAGCTACTAGCTACCTATTCGGTCTCGTGACCACCTTCTGCACCCCGCAAACTTATCAGTGACCCTGCTTTGACGGCTTCCTTCCCGCGCTGCTTGCCTTCAAGGTTGCCTCTCTCAGGCCCTCTCTGAACTTGGTTCTGTGACATTATCCCATGTCCGTTCCATGCTGGTCACTGGTCGGATCATTGCTCCGATCGGCGGACTTACCCCTCAGTACACAAGTCTCCAAGATGCAGAGTGAGAGTGTTGTTTGATATTACCGTTAGGTCTCTTTTGATGATACATTGTACGAGTAGTCTGTAACACCCTCCCTCCTCCTCCTCCTCTTCTGTGACGACCAATGCCTGGCCAGCGATGATCACAGTCACATGCCGTTGGGGGTGATGTCTGGGGAGCGGACGCATGGGGGCCTTACCCGCCTGTAGCCGAGACTAGCGCGGCGATCTACCGGTGGTATACAGGTACCTGTAGTCGTGGGTGAAGTTGTGCAGGAGAGAGAGAGAGAGAGAGAGAGAGAGAGAGAGAGAGAGATCAGGTGATTTGTGGTTATGCAGGTGTACCTGTGTATGTATACGCTAGGAGCCACGCTTGCATAGATAGTAGCATTATTATAGATTAATCCGCGCCCTTTTGTGCACCAGATTCATCATCGAGCAGCCGATATAAATGGCTTTATTACTCATCTCGCAATTGATTGAATACCCTCTCGGACGGTGGACCGATCGAATACGACTTCATCACCAGACTTCTATTGCCACTCACTACCTTGTTCACTTGATGAATTCCCCACGTCGACGCTCCCTCTCTCGTTCTTGAAGTACCCCTTGAGCTTATTCTCTACTCGGCCGTCTATTTATTGACCCTGCTTTTCAGCCTATACACTGTCACACCAAGGTTGCTCTTTGGGTATTCCTCGGCCGAGACAGTTGCATGTGGTAATCCATGTAGATTCCAACAGAGTCACCACTCCAGTTGAAGTCTGCCCTGTGGAGGTCGGCACAGATATGGCATGATGGTGCTGGTGGTGCTCCGCTGCGTTGGCATATGTATCTACGCCAATGAGTTCATACCTCTGAATAGCCATCTGCCGGCTTCCAGCAGGTACAGGTACGCTTGAAGTCTCAAGCAAAAAGTAAAACTCCTGCTGCACCTCAATTCCACCATGCGTGAGCAGTGTCAAAATAGTTACTCCATCCACTGCACACAAATCGCGTCGTTTCTCAAAAACTCGACGGGCCAGGTAATTTCGCTTTCGGTGGTTCTGCAAGCGTAGCATTGACGGTAGCTTCAACGTGCGAAGAAATCTCTTTCCCCTTCTGCTGCTCCTCTTGAGACCTCCTCAACGCACGCTCCTCATCCTCTGTCACTCCAAATGTCATATTCCCGGCTCCGCCCCGCCCGACTTTCCGCGTGACACTACTACTGTTGTTGGTGGTGGTGGTGATGTTGGTGATGTTATTGTCTTTGGGCGCTGGACTGCCTCCCAGTACCAAGTCTTTAAAAGTACCGTTTTGATGAAGCTCCTTGGGACTGTACCAGTTGCCACTGCCTCCACGTCCACTGTACGCGTGCTCCCGCTGTTCTCGGGGGACTGTTGAGCCGGCTGCGGAAGAGGACAAGGACCGGTCGGCCTCGACATCTGCCTGGATTTTCTCGCTTTCCTGCTGCGCCGCTTGCCAGTTACCTGCGCCTCCGCGTCCGGGCATGTTGAAGGCAGTGTGGTCAATGTAGAAAGCTTCTTGCTACTACGATGGAAAGAAGAGATGGAAGAAAAGGAAGAAAAAGTAAAGCGAGCGCGTGGAACAAGAGGCGCCAATCCTTCACTTGGCAAAAAAGTGGAGCCATGTCACGTAACCGCGGAGATACCATATCATTGCCTACACATAGAAGTTCTACATGATTGCATATCGTGCTGCAAATGGGAATTCTCTTCATGTTCGTGCTAACAGTGCCTCGTGAAATAGGCTAGATTGATCATGATTCATCTTCATCAGAACGATATTGCAACCTACCTTACATTCCATTACTGTGGATGACATGACAAATCAGCTTGGAATGTTGAGATCATAAATGCTACATGTACAGACTCTAGCGGTCACACACAACAGCGACATTGAAGTGAATTTGACTACATTCTAAGTCCCTAGGGCTCGAGGCACCCTACGTTCATTCAAGAATATGCAGCAAATCCAGTAAGAGACTGACGTAGCAGGAAATGTCGGTCACGCTGTCTGTGTTGAGAGCTACTCGTGGGAAACAACTGAAAAGGGTTGCTCAACAGGGACACTGGGTTCTGTGCAGCCTATGCAATGAGCCGGTATCATTGAGACGCGAAAAAAGATATTCTTCATGTGGTGCGACACGATCGCTCTTACTCTGCGTTATCATCGTTGTTCTCGGGCATAAATCATGTCAACACAAAAGCTCCCCGCTCACTGAACCTTCTCGCTCCCATGTGGCTCTTCAGCCTCTTCGGTGGTCTCCATCATACCCTTCCTCTCATCTTCGACAGTACTCATTGTCATGCTACGAGAAAGGCTACCAGTGCTTCGCTCTAGCCCGCCATCGCCCGAATCATCCACGACACCCGCTGGGGGGACAGAACTCTTCCTATGTCTGCTCATGACTCCCGGGAACATTTTGGGTTCATGGCCAGCCAGAGTACCACTCCCAAGCAGAGTCGAAGCGGAAGCTGAGGACACTTCTGTCTGCAGTTGAGGCGGGCCCTGGTGTGGGGACTCGGACATGTGATTCATCGAACGTCGAGCGCGCGGTCCAGACGTGCCATCGACCAGCTGTGCTTGACCGAGGTCAATTTGCGAAAGGCGGGCTGCCTGAGCATTGGGCTGGTATGAGCGTGGAGCACCGATTGCATTGGAAGTAGCATAGGCTCCGCTTCTATAGGTCGAAGCATCATTACTGTGGATTGGGTTCGTCGCCGAGGGGTGGGTCATCATGCTGGGAGTGGGACTAGGCGGAATGGTTTGCTGCCCTGGAGCTAGTGCTTTGGCGCTCAGACTGTCACCCGCAAGAGCATTGGTATAGCGATCGATCATGGCCAGCTCTTGGAGCCAGGTTTCGTGACGAAACGCTTCTCGAATGTTTGGCACGTTGACCTTGGCCATGTCGTTGCCAGCTACGCCCGGCAAATGATAGTTATTGCCGAGCCACCTCTGTTTCATCACATGCTCAAAGCCAGACTGGATTACGGAGTGCTTCGCTAGCTCAGACATGTCGACAGCAGATAGCTTGTAGATCTGTGCTGCAACAGCGTACTCCTCGATCAGTGGCTCCTTGGTGAAGGCGAACTGGAGTGGATCGTCTGTCGATAAGCTGACGTTGAGACCTCGGCGGAAGTATTGGAGAAATGGATTTCGTTCATAAGCCAGGAACAGGGCGTTGTTGCTCAGCGGACTCATCGCAACACCAATTTGTTCGAGGTAGAAGATGTATTGCAGCAGTGGCACTTTGCGGAGCAGCAAGCCGTGGCTGATGCTGTGGCAGCATAAGACAGCGGCTGCCAAATGGTCGGTGTCTCCCGCCTCGCCACAGTGCGGCCGTAGTACAAACGTGTTAAAACCGCGCTGTTTTCGCCAGACATTGAGTGAAGCAATGTTCGCAAACAGATAGTAAATCCAATACGTGTACGGGGGGTTCTGCTTGGTGTTCCAGTCCTTTGGCAATGGGAACTTGCGGTAGATACGGCGCTCTGTTTTGCTCTCATCATCGACAGAGTCAAAGCCAATCACTCGTTGCAGGAAAACATGAAGCTTGGGATGCTTGCTCGGATCTTGCGTGACTTCGAAGAGTGGCTCAAACACATTCTTGAGGACCTGCTCAAAACTCTCCATCGTCTTAGCCGCCTTGTACACGTCGTACAGACGAGGCACCTGGATCAACCACCTGACGTTCGGAGAATACAGCTTGTTGTCGACGACCCACGCTGCAAGCTTCTCCCACTCATCGGGGCTGCGACCGTAGATGCTGATTCGCCATTCGACCATTTGATATTTGCTGCTTTCGAGGTCTGCGATGACCTCCTTGGTAAGCTCAGCGAGGTACCTGCCTTGTATATGGTTATCTGTTTTCAAGAAAATGGTGCGCAGTCTGCTCTCTCCCACAGGATTGTACTTGAGATTGAACTTGTCAAAGCGATGGAATGAATCTGTGTGGGCGTGCATATCCAGGGTATCAATACTTAGGTCGTAAGCGGTCAAGTTGATACTTTCAAACACTTGCTTGAGTGTCAAGTACTCGCCGTCTCGAAAGAGCACTACCTCATCAGGCGACTTCTTCATCTTGCTTTTGATGAAGCGGAGCAGGTGCTTCTGATTCATGCATGCAGAGTGGTGTACGTGAGTGTCCACCTTTCGTACGTTGTAAAAGTCACGATGCGGCACAGCTTTGGTGTCTGCCACTTCCTGGTACTCATTCAGAAGTACGTACAGGTTGAACTTGCCTTCCAAGTACTGCAAGCGACGATATGCAAAGGACTTGCTAGGTCCATCGGAGCTGATGGCAAGAATGCTGTCAAGGTCCATGTAGTACTCCCTAATGTCGGGAATATGCAAAATAGGCTCACCAAGCTCAGCAGACGTGCGTGTTTCGTACACCTGGTAGACACCGTTCTGGTCAAGTTTGTATGTCATCTCCGAGGCCTCAGGCACAGGCAGGCAATCCTCGAGATCAAAGTCCTCGCCAATATCCTGACCCATCTTGCGCTGTGGCTTTTTAGGCTTACTGCTCGAGGTAGCGGGACTTTTTCCATCTTTCTCACTGCTAGCATTCCTCTCTTTGTTCTCGTACCATACAGGTTCCGGTGGCGGTGGGTAGAGCTCCCAGCCGGGCTCATCGCGCGGATTATCCGTCGGACCTTGCAAAGATAGTCTAATGTACTTGTGCCTCAGATCAAGGATCTTCTGTAGGTTTGAATAGATGGCACTAAGCTCGGATGTCACGTTTGCATCGTTCACAGCGTCCTGGCCAATGCCGGCTCCAGCACCATGGATACCCACCTGCTCTAACAATGGTTTCGTTTCGTGAGGCAAGCCAGGGTGGAGCGAGTGCGCTTGTGCGGCACGATCTGCCTCCAACAGACTCTCATCTTCGGCAGCGTGCGTAGAGCGGATGCCATTGAGGCCCTCGAATCTGCCAATGCTGGGAGACTGTATTGTGGAGCTATCGGGATGCTTACGCGGATCGCTGAGGCCGACGGGGAGTGCGGATCTGTAAGCTGATTGAGCTGGTTCTCTCAAGGTGGAAGTGCTTTGCTTGCTCTTCACACTGCCTGATCTCCTCAAAGAGCTAGCGTCTCCACCAAAGTGTCCAGAGTATGTCCTTGCGCGAAGGATGGGGCTACTGCCCATTACCGGACTGGCAGACAGAGCGTGCTCATCCAGTGTGTTCTGACGCTGTTGCTGGTAAAACTGTTTCGCCTCGACATGAGACATTTGCTTTTCGAGCTGGTAGTTGTAGTGGGCGGTTCGGCGCTGTTTGTCTCGCAACAGCGTTCCCTCGGGCTCGGAAGCCTCCTCGTCTGCGGCAGCGGCGGCGGCGGTCGTAGGCTCAGCAGAGGCATGCGAGTCTCTGTCGGCTGAGGTGTTCGATGGCAGTCCTTTGGAAGAGTTCTCCGGATGCTGAGAGGGTTCAGAGGGCTCGCCAGCTTCACTGTTGACGCCTTCGGAAGAAGCAACTTCGTCGTCGTCGAGATCGCTATCGTCCGAGTGCTGGCCGTGGAAGGACATTGTGTTTCGCTGCATTTTATGGGCCTACCGATGGTGGTACAGCAACAGTGACAGCAGGCTTGTCAGGTAGGTGTATAGTGCCGCTGCGCTGGCGGGATGGAAGTGGATGATGGGTGGAGCGTGAAGCGGTGTGTCCCGATGAACAGCGCGTCCGTTTCACAATGTTTATATTAACAAGGCAGTACATGCACACAGGCACACATCGCACCGCAGTTGGACAAAGTTGCTGTGCGTGGGATCTCCGAAGCTTTTATTAAGGTGTGACGATGGTCGGTCCCTGCAGCTGTCTGGTGTCATTCAGTACCTCTTTACATAAGGTACTGTCGGAGTTCGCCGATGGTCTACCTAGGTAGTCTACTAGGAGGTAGTTGTATCACCTGATCTCAGGTATTTAACTGCCTCTCCTCTCTAGGAGGTACCATCTACACACACTTGCCAATACCTTCATCATACAGCACCGCAGTCGTCCCGCCACAGTGAAGTCGTAGGAGGTATCCTTAATTGCGAGAAGGAGTAGTTCAATGCTTCGGGAGATGATCGCTACAAGTATGGCGTCTTGGACACTTCCATGCCAGAATGGGCGTGATATGCTTCTCCAGCACGAGTGGTATAGTACCAGGTAAGGTAGTAGGGCCAGGGAATCCAATGGTTGTGTGTAGTAGCAGAAAATTGCAGCACAACAGTGGATGGGAACAGCTCCTTCTGAACGTTTCTTGCATTTCCATCTCGTAGCTGCTTGTTGCGCAGCAACATTGAACATGACGACTGACAAACATCTCTGGCACAACAACAAACAACAGCAACAACAACAACGAGACATGAAATTGAGCTCAAATACAGACTCCCTGCGTACAAGACACCACGTCAGGACACCAGCCGAAGATGCCTACCTTGAAGCAGATCAGCTGCTCACTGGAGCTCGGCAGCAACACACGACTGAAAGAGTACGGCCACCGCTACACTGACGGCGGCGTCGAAGCCTTCGTGGCCGTCCCGGATACGCAAATCCCCTTCCATATCCGAGTCACCTCGAGCGGATACATCGCGCCGGGTCTGGCGGCATTCGTGTTCATGGACGGCGCGTATCAGTGCAATCGTAATCGGCAGCGGTTGGCAATACCTGCTCCCGGCTTGGATCCTAGCAAGTACGAGGTCGACTTCCAGCTGCGTCAGAAGGAGGAGAAGACTTCAGAAGGCCTCTTTGTGGCTCGAGAGTGGTCATTTGCCCAGTTGAAGACCGGTATGTGTCCTGATTGTGCCTGACCGCGTTCTGACTGACATGGACAAGGAAATGCCGACCGAGCGCCCGACGTCAACCCCAGCTTTGCATCCAATGTAGGTACCATTGAGGTTGTCATTCTGAGGTGCAAAGAAGGTGGTTTCAGAGAAGATGCAGTGGATCCAGCACACGCAGTAGTCAACGGCGGCCCTGCTACGACAACGCCGTCTCGGGCCGCATCTGTTGTCAGTAATGTCGTCTCTGTCACGAAACCAGCTTCCGTTGCGAAAACAGCATCAGCTAAAGCTTCGAGCAAGGCTCCGTCGAAGGCGGTCTCTGAATTGGGCGGCCTAATGGGGCTCTTTGACGGAGCCGCTGATGATGACTTCGGCGCAAGCTATGACGGCCCGGATGATTACGACCCACACGGCTTCCCTCGCCGCTCTCCCAGTTATGTCGAGAGACGGCCGCCGCCACCAGATTATCGCTGGGACACCTTTCGTGGCGGATATCGACACTTGCCTCCACTCCACCGATCCCCAGACCAATTCAGAAGAGTCTACGAGGATGAATTCCACAGTCTCGATGTGCATCCGCCAGAGGACAGTCCTCCCGGCAACAACAACGAGAGAGGCGACATGGTCTTTATCGAAGAATCAGCTGGTCAGATTGGGCAACTCGTCATGCAAGGAACCGAATGTGCCAAGCGGTACACAATTATGGAACGAGAAGCCAATATGCATCGCTATGAGCCTGACGTCTTTTCCACCATGGCTAGAGCTCTTCAGCGCAAAGCACAAGATATTACATCCATAAACCAGGAGATTAACAGTTTGTACAGATCCATTGATGCCTGCATGCGCCGAATGGACAAGAACGATTTCCAGCAAATGAGAAGCTTCCTACATCAGCAACACGTCTATCCAGAGATACAGATCGAGCTGGCCACACCGCTGCCGACGCCGACGCCCCGTCGGGTCAGTCCACAATCTCCTCAAACACCTGCTATATCCAGACTTCGAGGTTCGGTTGCCAAAGCTGGTTGGCAGGATGGAGGAAGTGGCAAAACGAGGAAGAGTTTGGCGGAAAGAAAACAGCAGGGGCTGAACCATCGCGACGAGAGCGATGCGGGACGCCGGTCCCCCCCTCGAAGCCAAAAGAGTAACGAGGATATGGACGGCGTTGCTAAGTGGACTGGTAATGTGCAAGAAGATGATATCTGGGAGACGGCCTCGGCGAAGAAAATCTCGCGCAATGGGCGGTGGCATAGCTCGCCCGCACAGGACAGCTCGCGCAGAAACATAGGCTGGAATGATACACCAGCCAACTGGAACGATACACCAGGAAAGAGCAGCTCGCGCCACGACAAGAACGCTTGGGGCAACTCGTCAGGCTCGGTACATTCCGCCAAAAAGTCGCAGAAACCGCAAAAGGGTGGCGGTTGGTCTCCCGACAGATCGTCTGTAAGTAAGCCACCAGGTGCATGGCCCGCGACTCCCAACAAGAGTGGCAAGAGCTGGTCACAACAAGGCGAAGGTCAGGACACCGGCAGCTGGGGCGGCGGTGGCGCCTGTGACAATATTGAATCTAAGTCAAACAATAATGGCGCGGGTTGGAGTGGTGATGGCAACGATGATGGCGGAAGCACCGCTTGGGTAGATCAGGCTGACGCACACTCTGAAAAGCAGGATGATTCCAACCATGGCTGGGGAGCGACGGGTGATGATAATGCGAAGGCCAATTCCTGGGGCGGTGGCAATGATCCATCCCAGAACAACCAATCCCAGGCTTCTCAGAAGTCCACAAGCCAATGGGGCCATGGAAATCAATCAAAGAACAACGATGAAACCGGAGCGGGTGACAAGCCAGCAAATGACGACCATGGAGGAGGAGATTGGGGCAATGTTCAGAAAACCAGGAGTCGGACCAAGTCAACGCAGCAGAAAGTCAAGTCAAAAGCAGCCGACAATAGCTGGGGCAGCGATGGCGCACTGTCAAAATTGAGAGACGATGCTGTGGCAACCACGGTTTCAGCGATTCGTCCAGTCATCAAGCCCTATTGGCAAGTCTGGGACAAGCCAGCAGAAGAGGAGAAGAAACCTCGAACGCAACCTCGCGATGCATATGTTTACCCAGCACCGCCATCGATTGCAGCACCTCCAGGCAAACCTCCCAGCGTAAGCCACGGCGTCCAAGCAGGTCGAGGAGCGAATTACACGCACAAACTCCATCAACCCGAATATCTCGACACCATGCAACAACCCTACGCCATTTTCACATTCAAGTATCGGAGCAAAGCCGCAGTAGAGAAGATTCTAAAGAAGAAAATCGATACGAGTAATGTGCAACAAGCAGTCAAAGAAGTTGAAGCAGAGAGATTGAGGAGACTACCCAAGGACGAACTAGTCGCAGAACTGATGCGAAGACAAACGATGATGAGCAGCAGCCGCAATAGCAGCAACAACAGCAGCAACGGCAACAGCAGCGCTTCATCATCTCACCTGCCTTCCCACACAAGTAAGCTCCGTGAAGACAATAATGATGGAGAGAAGGAGAAGAAAGCCAGTAGCAGAACAAAGTCACCCTCGAACAAAAGCGGCTGGGGTGTCGAAGTCAAACCCTCTGACTCTGTGAGTAATGTTGCCGCATCGCGAGCATCGCGAGCATCGAAGAAGGTGGAGAAGGAGAAGGTGGATGATTGGCAGCAAGTGGGACAGGGTGAAGTCGCCACTAGTTGGCATCAGAAAGGAGGAAGCAGAGCAAGCAAGGCGAAGACGGAAGAGCATTGGAATTCCGGGGATGCGGATATGAAGCAGGCTGGTGGTGGCATTTGGTGAAGAGAGAGAGAGAGAGAGAGAGAGAGAGAGAGAAGATCACTCCGGCTACTACCCAGTAACCATCGAATACGGAGAGATTGTTACATGTTGTACCTTACATGTACCTTACTCGATACAGTGAGGTAGTTATGCGCTCGCACCTTGAGGAGTCTCATAGATGTCTTTGTCAGGCAAAGATGTTCCTCAAAGTTCAGATGTAAGACATAAAAAAAACAACCCCGGTATAATAATGTCTACACGTTCCAAGCTCCAGCCGAGATTCCTACACGCTGACGTCTTTTTTTTTTCTTTCTCTTTCTTCTCTTTGGTGCTTGTGATGAGACCAATCTACTACGTGTTCAAACCCGCAGGCCCAGGCAAGGTGGGTTGAGCGTATTGCCATACGAAGGAATCAAGGCTGTGCCAATGATCGGAGTTCGCAAAGCTGCAAGAAAGAGAAGCGTCGTCAGTGGAAGAAGACCTAATAATGTAAATGAAGCTTCGCAACGTGTACGGAGTGATGAGAGGATATTCAGGCTGCGAGAAAAAGCAACAATATGTATGGATGGTAACCATGCAGGCTCGTGCTGGGAACCGCTGCATCTGTACAACAAGAAGGGGCTGCCGATTATCATCATCATCATCTTCGTCGTGGTCATCATCATCATCCTTTGCAAAAGAGAATCATTTGTTGTGCCATGCAAAGTTCCGTAATGAGTCCCATTTTTCTGCGTTGCCGTATCTACAGTGGGGAAAAAGAGTGAGTCAGCCCTGTGTCAGTAGTTCCAGAAGTGTAAGGTAGAGCTGTAAACGCAGCAGTAGCAGCAAAGAAGAAAGGCATGATCAAACGTAAAAAGAAAAGTCGTCCAACGTACATATAGGTCATGCTGCTCCTCAGACTGGGTTGCAAAGTTTCCGGGTATCCCTCAAACAGCCACATCACACTCGCCCAACTCATACTTGCGAATACAGGCCAGCTGTATCGCCTGATGAAAGCTCTCTGTTCCTCGCTCAGCGTTAGTAGTCCCTTCCCTCCATGTCCTCCGTACGAACTGCCCACTAGAGCATTATCTCCAGGAGGCTGCACAGCCAATTTTGCCAGAGCCAGAACCACGCGGGCAAAGACATATATCACGATTTGCTGGTTCACCGAGCTCTTTGCTCCCTTCCCATGTCCGAACACCCAGTAGCCTCCGTGAAGACCTGACAAGAAACTGTGGAACGGCGCTTCTTTCCCCGAGTTAGCCTTTCGGAGCAGGAGCATGCCGGATTTGTAGAGGAGAGCGAATCGTGCGAGATTGCTGGCGTGTTGGCGTGTGGCTTTGTAGACGAGGTAGATCTTTTCGCGCAGGGTGCCGGAGCGGAAGAGGAAGATCATGACCAAGGCGTGGGGAAAGCGCACTTTGGTGCCGTAGACTGCGCCATTACGGATGGCTTTGACGAGGGTGAGAGGTGCTTTGTATTGGGGGTCGAGGATGATGGATTCAAGGGAGGACTGGGTGAGGTTAGTCTAGTATAGTAATTGCAGTAGAGGTTATGTGTGTAAGTGAGTGACTGCATACCTGTAGAGCCTGGAGAGACGACATAATGGCGGCTGAACAAAGTGTTGTAGTGAGGTGTAGGTTGGAAACAGCAAGCGAAGCTCTTCAACCTGTAGAGCCCGGCTGTGGAAGATGATTTACCGAGGTCGGCATGTGAATGTGAGCATGCGAATGCCAAGTGGGTCTTCCGCGGTCTCGTCCCGTAACGTCCCGGTCCGCTCTCCACCAACCATGCCTCAGGTTGTGTCAACTGGTCTTACGGCAACCGCTCTGAAAATACCTAGCTCAAGAATCCTCGCTGAACTCCCCCTTCTCTCTGTAGGACCTCGATGTCAGAGAACGCTCACCAGTGACGAACTTGTCTTTTGGAGCCGCGGACTGCAGCGACATGCTCTCCCGGCACACGACGACTCTGTATCAATTCCTTGGCATACTGGTTCAACAGCACTGCGAGTGTATTATATTTTTCATGGTCTTTTGAACACCATTTTTTAGTCTGCTCGCATGGCAGCGTGCCCGGAACGGGGCTTACAGTGGGCTCTACCTCATATTAAGGACGGGATCAACGGCGAGAGCGGAGTAGTAGAGAGGCTTGAAGCGGCTTTACCAAGTTGAGCAGTGCCATCCATATTTCTGTCATAACCAGACATATGCTTATGATGTCTCGTATACTTCATACATCGTGTTCCATGCTGCTGCCAAAACTCGTCCATGTCTGCAGCGCTTTGCACTTCCAAGGCCTGTCCTGTTGTTTCCGGAGCCCAATCATGCATTCGGTCACTGTCTTTTCCACTCGCTCAAAGGTGTCTCACACTCGTCTTTACAACTTGGCTCCATCAGAACCCTTTTCCCCAATAACATTGAGGAAAGCTTGATGAACATGCTCAGTCAAATCGGCAGCTTGCAGGCTTCTTCCCTTTTCCTTGAAAGCCAATCTCGAACATTCTCTCGTAATGGCACTTCCTCCGTACGCCGCATACGCCAATAGTTCATCGGCCTTCATGTCCCCTTCATGATCCCAGATCTTATCCAGGTATGCTTTCCTGTACGCGAGCAGTGTTGCCAATGAACCTGTCAATGTGTCGCCTTGTCCGCCACTGCGTTTCAATCCACCTTCGCCGTCGGATACGAGGGTTTGTGTCCCATTGGAAATGTAATCGACGGGTCCCTTTTGGATAATGGTGACACCTCCAAACGCAGTGGCGAGTTTCGAACATAATGTCTTGGGATCCTCTTTGGTTGTATCGATTTTCTTCGCTTTGGCCAGTCTTCCAAACTCGACTACATTGGGTGTCAGGATACATTCTTTGTAACCTTCAACCAATTCTGGACGAGTCTGGGCGAGATACAATCCGTCTGCGTCTAGTACGAAGGATACATTTCGTTTCTTGGCTTCGGTGATGACCCGCGCGCAGGTTTCTTGCATGGCTTCGTCACGGCCGAGACCAGGGCCGATGACAATGACATGAAGGCGGTCAAGCATAGCTATCACCGAGTCGGAAATGTTATCTATGGTCTCGTTGTGTGCGAGGTTCTTTTTCTGTCGCATGTAGGGGTGCACCATGAGATTGGGAGAGTAGGTCTTGATGACGGCACCAGCGCCGGGTTCGCAGATTACGTGGGACTAGATTGTTGTTATGAAGTTGTTCGAGTGCTGTGTGACGCATTTGGATATGTGTATATTTGATCTGTCGCTCACCATATCTGCTCCAAGCTTGGCGGATGCCATGGCTGAAAAGTAGGGAGCTCCTGTGTAGTCTTCACTGCCCCCAATGACTGCGACTCGACCGAGTTGGCCTGGGAGGACAGCGTAGTTAGCATGTTGACTGTTGGTATCATACCAGTAATGTTGATATGCTTGCCCTTGTGAAACTTCTCCAGCATTGGAGGCACCATTTTAAAGACATTTCCCAATACTTCTTTTCGAGACATGTCGGAGGTCATGCTTCCGTGGTGGCCTGTATCTTCAATATCCTGAATGGCGGGGAGCTGGAGGATTGGGTGTTATATGTAGTTTGCGGTGTTGTTCGGAACTTCTTCAAGCAATGGAATTCCATCAGTTCTTGGTACTTCTTCACATGATGTTTCTATGACGAGGCGTATGCAACGTGGGGTGGATCCAAACTCCGATACATATATCTCCTACCACCTAGTAGGCTACATGTACACGTACAATTCGACCCATAGGAATCTACAATCGCAACAAATTTCCAGCAACATATCGCAATGAGCGACGGACTCAACCCAACTGGTCCAAGCCATCCTGGTCCTAACCAAGTCTACGAAGTCTCTGGTAACCCCGCCTCGAAATCCCCAGCCGAAGAAGCCAAAGCCCAAATAAATTCTCAAACCGATGATAGCAATGCAGTGTAAGTACTCTCTTTGGCCCTGTCCTCCGCAGATCCTACTAAGACCACTTTTTCTCTACAGAGCACATCGCGGCCCCGAACGATCCTCGTCGAGTGAAGCAATACCCACATCCCGAGCCCGCGGCGTGCACGGTGCTCCCCCAGGTGAAGAAAGCCTTCCTGGCGGAGCTCAGACGCAAAAAGAGCAGGATGAGAAGGAGTTGGACGCAGCTCAGATGGCTGCTCCTGGTGAAGGGAAAATCAGCAGTGCTGTTCACGCCAAAGCTGGAGCTTCGGGGAGCCAGCCTGGACTCGAATCAGACTTGGACAAGAAGAAGAAGGAGCAGGCGCCTGCAAGAGAAGCTATGAAGCAGGAGAAGCAGAATAAAGTCGACGTGGGAGGAGTGTTGGGTCAGAGAGGTGGCCCGGCTGAAACGGTGGGAAACAGGAATTGACGCATAGTCGAGTAAGGAAGCCCACGATGTGAGCCAAGGGCACTTTGGTAAAGATTCGGCGCTGTCGCAGATTCGAACGAAACATATATGTCTGCGAGTGGTGCACTGAGCGATATGGTAGACAGGACGTGCCGTTGTGTATGAGTGCACTCGCAGGCCGGGAACAGTCCGCACACAGTGCAGAGCAATTGGATAAGTGCTGTACAGATTCAAGTGGCTGGATTTCACATAAAATCCAGACAGGATATCCTCCTTCTCAGTCCTGCTGCTGCTGCTTCTTCTCCCAGCTGGAGTAGCTCGAAGTTGTAAAGCTAATGTGAGGATCGGAAGGCTGTCCAGCAGAGCAGTACTTGAGGAATTCGCTTCAGAGCACTTGTTCATTCCAACCTTCATATCGACCTAAGCAGTCACGATGAGGGCGACTTTTCTCTCATGACAGTCCATTCCTCGCTTTGCACAATCTCAAGTAAGATGTGCGTGTTCATATGCTCCTCCCTTCAATCTCATCCACTCCTTTGATCCTCACTTCTTTGATCCTGATAATAGTAAAGCGATGTTTACTCTTGACTGTCCGCGTATGCCTCTGTCTTCTCTTCGTCTTCTCTTTGATCCTGAGCGGTTCGCTTTCCACGCCCATGACCACAGCCCTACACTCGTATAATCTATCGTCGATGTACGAGAATTTCCCCTTTGCGATATGAGGGATGAAATGCGGTACATCCTCAGGAGACGTCTCCAGCCCCTCAGAAGGCATTACCCTCGAGGTGCTCGCCAGGCTCCCGGTCGTAGGATCTAGTGTGGGTACAGTACGCTTCGTCGGACTTTTGAGTTGAGGCTCAGCAGCTGGTGCTTTCAGAGTGTAATCTCTGCTGCCCAAGTTGACAGCGCGATTTAAGCGAATGACATCTCCGGGTTCGACACCATGCATGTAGAAGGGTAGACGGACCGTATCACCTTGTGTGAGGAGGTATGGGTTGCCGTGGATATGGGCAGTGATGTAGTGCGGTCCCTGTGATTGCATGATGGGCAGTAGTTCGCGCATGGAGCGGCTGAGTTTGAGAGGGTCTGAAGCCGAGCTTGGTCTGGGGGCCTTGGTGGTTTTGCGAGCTGGAGAGGCTGTAGCAGACAGAGCGGTCCGCTCCAATTGTTCCTGGAGTCGTAGAAGAGATGATGAAGACGCTTCAGTCGATTTCGCAGTCCCGCTCGGTGGAGGAGGCAGTCCTTCGTTGGCTGTATGCGTCGACGCAGAGGGCGAGACGGTGCTCAGGCTGGCGGTCCATGGCAGCAGGAAGGTCGGAGGCAGCGGAGAGCCCGTCTCACACAGCACGCGCCGGAGAGTACGAGACAGCATGGTTGTCGCGTTGATGATGGTGATGATGATTACCTGATCCTTTCAGCACCTCCGTCTACATCGCTATACTGCACAGAGTCGCGAAGACACTAGCGCCAGCGGAACTCTAAAGTTTCTCAGAGCGCCAAGATCTAGGTAAAGAAGTCTACGAAACTTCATTCTTCGCTTTGCCACGACCACCACCCATCCAACACTTGCTCTCTGCACAATGCCTCAGAACGAGTACATTGAGCGCTTCACCAAGCAACATGGTCGTCGTCTCGACCATGAAGAGCGCACCCGCAAACGAGCTGCTCGTGAGGGCCACAAGGCCTCCGAAAATGCGCAAAACCTGCGTGGTCTGCGCGCAAAGCTGTACCAGCAGAAGCGTCACAAAGAGAAGATCCAGATGAAGAAGGCTATCAAGCAGCAAGAGGAGAAGAACGTCAAGTCCGCCGAACCCGCCGAACCGTCCTCCAAACCTCTGCCCGGCTACTTGCTCGACCGCAGCAACACCACCAATGCCAAAGCACTCAGTTCTGCTATTAAGAACAAGCGAGCCGAAAAAGCCGCCAAGTTCAGCGTGCCTCTACCAAAAGTGCGAGGTATTTCGGAGCAAGAAATGTTCAAAGTGGTCAAAACGGGAAAGAAGACTGCAAAGAAGAGCTGGAAGAGAATGATCACAAAGCCCACTTTTGTGGGACCAGATTTCACGAGACGTCCGGTGAAATATGAACGCTTCATTCGCCCCATGGGTCTGCGATACAAGAAGGCGAACGTGACACATCCGGAGCTCGGCGTGACTGTGCAGTTGCCGATTATTTCCGTGAAGAAGAATCCGCAAAATCCAATGTACACGCAACTGGGAGTGCTCACCAAAGGAACCATCATCGAGGTGAACGTGAGCGAACTTGGTCTGGTCACTGCAGGGGGCAAAGTGGTATGGGGTCGATGGGCTCAGATCACGAACAACTGCGAAAACGACGGTTGCGTGAACGCGTAAGCTAGCCCGTCTTCATATACGATACTGGTACGCTTTTGCTAACTTGTTCGCGTTGTAGTGTTCTACTAGTATGAGAGTGCTTCCGCATGACTCAACTTTACTACAATCGGCTATTTTGATAACAGGCCTCTACAGCCTCTTCAACTGACAGCCACCACTTCTCTACCGCATCTTAGCTCGAATTGAAGACAGTACTCAAGGAGCCATACGATGGAAGGCACTCCGAATGGTCGGAAGAAGGAAAAGCAAGGGCAGGCAACTTTCGTTGATAGTTGGAAATTGCACATGAAAGGTAGATCGGGGTGGCCGCGCAGCATCAGAGCGTTCCCGGGGGCCACATGATGAAGGCACACGGCTCGGCGTGTCTGTACTGCAGTGTTTGAGAAGACGAAACCTGTTCATTGTTCAGACAGTCCACGAAGGACATCAAATAACAGGGCGGGTATCATGAAAAGTCTAGCCACGAGAATCGTATCGCTGTGTTCGAGAGATCGGGAGATATCGTCAGGACCAGAGATGAATGTCATCAGGTCGCACCGAGAGAGACAGACAGACAGAGAGGGAAGCAGAGAAGGCGTAACCACTTTTGTGTGCATTCCGTTCGCTTTCTATATACAACGTGGTATAGTATGCTGCGTCTGCACTCCTTGTAGCCTGTGCTTGCTGGTCTCAGCTCACTGGTCCAGTTGCACATAATTCGAGGGGAACAAGCCAGCTTGACCATTGTATTCACCAGACCACCAGTTCTCATCCGGGAATTCCTGCAGCCATAGGTTAGTAGTCTTCTTGAATGGAAATCTGCAATTGACAAGTGGACACTCACCACATTGGTGATTTTGGCACCTTCTGGAAAGCTCAGCTCGTTCTCTTCTGCAGCCTCATAGTCGTACTCGGCAGTGGCTGTTTGTCCTCCACCGGATGTTTGCGCTGGAGGTGCAGGTGGTGGTGGTGGCTCGTCCGCAACGGCTTGCGAAGTATGATGAGTTTCTTGTAGCGCACCACCTTCCACAAGTTCCACATAATTCGACGGGAATAGTCCTCTCTCGCCCTTACTGTTCTCGCCCATCCACCAATCGTCATCGACCATTTCAATACCCGTGATACGCTCACCCTCTTTCAATGCAATCTCGTTTTCTTCATCTTTCTCATAGTCGTATTGCGCGATGGCCTCTTGGCCACCTGCTGAACCTGCTCCCCGCGGATCTTCAGCTTCTCCGAACGTCGTGGCAGCGGCTGCTTCTCCTGACCCTCGAGCTTGATCGTGAGCTTCGACTTGTGGTGGCTCTGTATCCTGGTGCTGGGACACGACTTTTGACAGTGAGGCCTCTGGCAAGCCACGAGAAGGCAACTGCTCAACAGGCTCAATGGGTTCCGCTCCGCGACCCACAGGCATGGCAATTCGTACTGGAGATCCCTGATCAACAGCGGCGGCGGCGTTGTCATCTTCGTCTTCCTCGTCCTCGTCTTGTGGCACGCCTCGAGGAGGTGGCGGAGGGAGGTCCTGATGTTGCACTGGTGGTACTCCGGCAACACCGCGCACTCCCGCATTCGGCTTGCTGGAGTTGTCGAGCGGAGGCGGCTCTGGAGCTCCGCCGGTATGTTGTTGTACTGCGCCCATTGGCGCAGCGCCCGCAAATCGATCTCTGATAGAACCCACGCCTCCTGTAGGTGGTGCTTGCTCCTCTTCCTGGACGTCCTCGGGTTGTCCTGTACGTTGCTCACTGATGCCACTCCCACCAGTGCGCGTGGGAATCTGGACACCCCATTTCTTTCCACCGTATGAGCTCTGCCAGCCACCGCTTGGCTGACTCTGTATTGGTGCCTCTCCTGTTCGCTGCGTATCAGACACACCGCTGGTACCACGCTCACGTGCTTTTCGCTCTGCCCAGATCTGAGCTGGGGTCTTCCCTCCTTCATCGGCAAAACTCTTGCTTGCTGCGCCGATTGGCGCGGCAGCTTGAATTGGTTTCGATTGAAAGCCTATGGGAGTAGGTGCTTTTGTTCCTGCAAAATTGCTCGCTTGGGGACCGAAGTTGTTGGCAACTTTAGGCTTGGGGAGCTCAGTGAGTGGTCTGTTTTGCTGGAAGGCGGCGGAACGGTCGGCGAGCGATTTTGGCGTATCTTCATCACCTTCGTTCGATTGAGTGGGTCTCGTTGGTGGAGGCGCTGCCTGTGCTTTTCTTCGGATCTCATTCAAGTCCACCTTGCCTACTGGCTCATATGCGCCCTTTACGACGGTGGGTCTCTCGTCTTGCGTATTGCCCGAAGCTTGCGCTTGTCTCCTAATGGCAGCGATATCGACCTTTCCAATAGGCTGATACCCCCCACTGACAACGTCTGCCTTGTTTCCGTTGCTAGGCGCTGGTGCTTGGAATTGTGAAGGCTCACGCTTCGACTGCAACTCAGCCATGTTGACTTTCGTAGGCTGGTAGGAAGAAGCGACCTTCTCGAGCTGCGATCGCGTTACCGGTGGTGCGTCCTCGCCCCAGCCGTCAGCATCTGTGGAGGAAGGGGGCGGTGCGGCGCGTGTCCTGCCTAGAGGGGAGAAGCCGCCAGTGGGTCCGAAGCTCTTGGTAGGCAGCACAGGCTTGGAAGGCTTAGGGGGAGGTGGTCCGGCAGCTGCAGAAGGGATGGATCCGCCTCCGCTATACTTGGAGCCTGACGAGTCGGCCACTTTCTGCACGATCAACTCGGGCGTCAGGTCTCGCTCGGAGCGCGCAGTGACCTGCACATGGTAGCCATGTAGCACCTTGGAGACCGCGTTGAGATGGCTGGTAAAGTAGCCCTTGGTCCGCTCGGGCACGCCTTCGCCGCACCATGCAATGAGGACGTTCTTGGGCAGCGTCGTGTTGGGGTCCTTGACCTTGACGAATGCGAATTGGATGCGACCGTCGGAGAAGTCTTCGATCAAGTCTGCCAGCTCGCCCTCGCCCGTCGTCTGCACGGACAGCACGCTCTCCTTGCCCGAGTCTGCTGCAAAGGCATTGGCGAGCGGTGCCTTCACGGAGAAGATGGCCCAGATGCCATGGGTCGGCGACGACGCGGCGGGGCCAGAGGGGGCGGAGTTGACGATCTTCTGGTAGCTAGCGGTGATGGAGGGCCCGTTCTGCGACAGGTTCAGCGCCGCCATGGTGGGTGGTGTGGTGTGGCAGAGGAGGAGGGGAGGAGGGAGGAGGAGGTGGTAATGGTGGTGGTGGTGGACTGTATGGTGCGTAAGGTAAATAAAGTACCTCCGCCTCTACTGCTGGGAGCCTAAGAGCGGTAGTAGGTAGGGCTTGCGTCACTCATAGGCATAGCGTTCGAGGCCTGAGGGTCAATAGTCTGAGTAATAACTCAAAGGAGTTAGCCCCTCGAGCCTCCCTGCCTCGAACTCGGTCCTGCGTACGAGCTCCCGTCCCGTCTCCCGCCGGCCTATATTTGTCTTGGCCCTCAATACAATTCGGTCGAACTGACAACAACAAAAAACACCAGCACGGCGTCCAGCGCTCTGCGGTTCCGCAATCCTCCACCACAACATCTCCAGTCTCGCAGTCATCACTGCCATAGGTAGTTCATCTGCTCCGTGGGTGTCGTTCCAAGTGTTGCAATCGCTTCCTTCTCCTCCTCCCCTGATCTGCACCCACAGCCAGTCGCGAGGAATGAATGCGGCATACAGCACTGCGCTTTCCTACTAATTCTTAGGCATCGTCATCGCCATCGCCGTGGACCCGGTGGGCATCATGGACGACGACGGTTCCGAGTACTTCTTTTGGGATCCTCCGCGCTCAGGCCCCGTCGCACAGCACGATGCCGAGACGATGACCGACGGAGATGCCGTGGACGACGCCGCGCACGACGAGCACGACGGACACGACGAGCACGACGCACCGATGATCGACGAAGATGCCGTGGACGACGAGCACGACGATGAGGCCTCGTCTGGCATGGACCTGTCCGAGCCCAGCCGTTCCGTGACACCTACATCCCCCAATGCGACTGCTGCGCAAGCCACAGTCGCTCCGAACCACGCCGGAAGCAAGAAGCGCAAGCTCAGTGATGCTGATGGTATTGCCGATGGCGTTGCTAAAGATCTAGCTGATGAGCAGACTAAGAAGTGCAAGCTATCAGCCGACAAATTCTCGCGTTCCCCAGTCGTCCCATCCAACAAGAACATGTCCGTCTCCGAAGCACTGTGTCAGTCTCCCGCTGTTTTGCAGCTGATATTCACTCATTTGCCGCCCGCAATGCTCTGTCGTTGTTTGCGCGTCTGCAAACAATTCAACCACCTGTTGACAGGAGCCAGAGCGCCCCAGGGAAAACAGAAAGCTAAGTCCGCAGCTCGGATTGTGGATAGCGAGGCAATCTGGGTACGTTCTAGGAAAACGTACTTTCCACAATTGCCACGCCCACTCAGGAACCGGACGGAGCTGCAAATGCTGCAATTGGTAGGTGGCCGGGCCTGCCAGTTTTGTCGAAGACCTCCAGTCCCTCTGTCTGCCCCGTCCATCTTCAACGGTGGCCCGGGAACAAAGGGCGTGCGCGTGCTTTTCCCATTTGGCGTCAGGACATGTGGCTCATGTATCGAACCACTGGTGCGAAAGGTAGGTATCCTATGGAGATCCAGGCCTACCCTCCCCCTTACTGATCGTCCAACAGGATGTTCACGCTCTTGCTGAGCCAGTCGCCGCGCGTCTGCGAATGGGGATAACGTATGCCTTTCGTAACGACGAGCTTCATTATATGACAGAGACTGTGCGCCAGGCATTTTCCAGCTTTCCAGAGACCACGAGATTCTCCAAGGTGTACTACCACCCCGATCTGGTGGCTATCGAGCACGAAGAGAAAGATGCTCAACAGTTGGGAGAGGGTGCCTACGACGAGTGGCGCAAAGGTCTCTACAACAGAGGCCGGAGTGCCATGGCGGACTGTGCGCGCTGGGAAAACTGGGAAACTGGCGTGCGTCTCGGCGCGAACCTCGCGCAGGTGCTCAGGGAGTATGACTTGTCCTCTTTTCCGCTCCATGTGAAGGCGACCCAGAGTAGTTCTGCCCACGCAAAAGCAGCCCACGGTAAGCAAATCTCCAGTCCTCGAGCGGCTCTGGTGAGGGCCGCTGCTCAACGGTGGCTTCGCCTTTCCTTTCTATCATTCGCATCTCGTTGCTGTTCGTTTGGGGAATTCTGAGCAGCATGGCAACGGACAAACTTTAAGCGGGCCTAATTTTGCCAATCACAGGACCGCATCCTCTTCCTGAGCCCGTGCACGTTTTTAACAACGGAAACCAGCCCTCGTTTCCAATGCATCAGCAGCTTGGTAGACCTGCACCTCAGCAACACCCATTGCCATTTCCGCCTGCGCTCCCACTCCGCCCGCTGGTATACCCCGTTGTCAATCAGCCTCAGCAGAGAATGGCGCGCAGTCTACAGGAGGTGGAGAGCGCTCGCCAGGCGCGCAAGGCCGACATCGAGCGACGGTGCAGTGCGCTCGAGCCGCCACTGGAGCCTGCTGTCCTACAACACATGGAGTCGTTCCAAGCCGCGATGCAGATCACCACTCCCCTGACTGACGCCGCATGGGACATGCTCAAGCCGAGAATTCTTGCCCAGAGAGAGGCTGCCGAGCTCGCGGAGCACGCCAGAGCATCACAGCTGGCCGCATTGCAGGCTGCCGTACCATTGCACTGGCCCGACGACATCATATCTCGACCAGCAAAGGAGATGTATGACCGTGGTTACGAAGACGCTCAGATGCCGCTCCGCAAGCGACTTGGTGAGTATGCCGACGACATCACCAATGGCCAATGGGGCGGCGGTAAGATGCTCGATCGCGACAACGTTCCCATTTTCGCCATTCACGTTCTATCCCATGTGCACCAGCGATACGAGGAGGACAAGCAGCTTGGTCTGCTGTCCGATCTCGAGCCTGTCGCAAACAAGCCAGGTACCACCCAGGGATCTCCTTCTCCCACGCCATTCCTCTCTTTGGATAACATGAAATGGGTCTACGACCACAAGGTAAGACTGTTCACGGACACGCACCGGAAAGAGCTCTTCATCTGTGCTGGATGCGACGACAAGCGGCCCAAGTGGTTCGCTTTTGAAGGTTTAGTACAGCATTATGGTGCAAAACATACCTCGGAATTCAGCAGGGGAAACATCATCGTGCACTGGCAGACTGCCAAGTGGCCCGACAAACCTCCCTTTCACACGAACCCAGCACAATGGTTCAAGCATCGCCCGAGGCACGCGCCTGTCCCCGGAGGGGACACTCGTGACCAGTATTCTCCGGCCTCCTTTCCTGGTCAGAATGGCTACGACGCGGGGTTCCTGTCGCAGTACGCTTCGATGGGAGTTGGCAACACAGTGCGACAAGTGAACGGTACCGCCAGCGAGGATGATTGGCAGCACATTAAGCTGGCAACCGATGCGCGCGAGATCTGGGATGCTCTAGATGGCATCAAGGACTTACTCGAATGCGTGAAAGTGCAGACTGTCCTTCACCATGCTGTGGCCAAATTCAGTGATCACTATCATTACAAGCCAACGCTGGATCTGTTGACAGTTGCTCTCGCGAGTCATAATGTGACGCGTCCACTGAGGAATGTCACGGGTCTTGCCTGCAAGTCCTGCGTTGCAGTTGGACAACACTCCCACAGCAACTCCTACTGGACCCGAATCAGGGGCATCAAGCTTCTCAGTACTTCTCATTTGATCACACACTTCGAGCTCATGCACCAGGCTCACGAGAATGCGGGGCCTCTCGACTGGGTCAAAGAAATGATCGAATTGCCCGAGAAGCAGAGTCTCAAGGAGCTGTTGCACACTCCAGGAATGGACGATAACAAGCTAGCCCTGATCGCCGCTGCTCTGCCAGCAGGGACGTTCCCAATGCCATTGCCAGTGATTGGTCATGTCACTGAGAAGAGGAAGAAGTCGAGTGTGAGCGACGAGGCATCATTCGAGAACCTGATCGTGCGCAAAAAGCCCAAGAAACACAGCAAGAAACTTCAGAAGGCTAGTAATAGCTTGCTAGGCCGGGATGGGTCACAAGAGACTCTGCCGGAGGTGAAAGAAGAGGAGTACGATCCGTTGCGACCTGCTCTGATACCAGCGCGAAAATGGGATCCCGCGCTATTTGACACAGATGCACGCAAGCCACCGGAACCAGTGGCGCCTGTCACGCAAGCTCCCCCACAGGAGTTCACGTTCAATCGCGAGACGATCGCCATGCCGGAAAAAAACAACCCGACTCCCGCTCTGGACCGAGCAACACGCTGCCCATCAGTTGGACGGGCCCACGCTGCATCGACCACCCAGACACCTTTGGCTGCGCCGAATATAACGCCAGATGGCCAACCAGACATTGCCGCTATCATTGCTGCCCTCACTGCTGGAAGACACTCGGTTCTTGCTGCCCCCACTGCTCCGGGACAAGCAGCTGCTTCTCCTGCTCCCCCAGGCGAGAGCTCTGGCATTGCGCACGACCAGTCATTTGCGGAGGCGCACGGCAGAGATCCGCGCGAGCTACAATCCGGCGGACAGACTGATGCTTACGCGCCAGCACCACGGTACTTTCCAACTCAGCAGGCCCATCCGCAACCGGCAGCTGTTCCCAGTGTGCATGAGCTGCAAGCAGCACTTTCTCACAATCATTGGCAATACGAGCAGAACCATCACCATTCCGGTACGGCGCGTGCGTACTCCACTGGCCCTCAGCCTCAGCAACACCGACCTCCACCTCAGCCTGTCCCGCAGTATCAATTTGTGTATGAAGAAGATCGCCCGTACAGCCAGGCAGTCCCATACGCGGCGAATTACAGAGAAGCTCCGTCGCCGCAGTATGTACAGGTTCCGAGACATCAGTACGCGCCACATGGCTACCATTATGAAGTGCCCGTACCACAAACTATCTACGTGGACCAGGATGGCCGACGATTGATTCCTATCGATGCGGCTCCCGCCCCAGTACAGTACTTCTCCAACCGTTACGAACAGCAGCATTACGTCAGACCGGTTTACACGAGTGCGGTGCCGCAGCCAGCTGTACAGGCTGTGTACGACGACCGGCGTCCCGTGTACTACGAACGAACAGCCAGCGTCATACCACCACGGTACGCATATGACGATCGCGCGTCTGTGGGACGCTCTGAAAATTGAGAGATCCGAGAGCGATGTAGGATTGGGAGTAGAAGGAAGTGTCGAGGGATGTGCAAGTGTGTTGGGGATTGACGGAACTTAATAATGATGTATACTGTGTTCCAAATCCCTGCACCGCATTACCCTGGCAAGGCGCTTCGACTGAGACTCTGCCCACGCACTCATGAACAATGAGAGGTTGTTTGGGCACAACACACGCAGATGAAGGGTCTCAGTCCCTGCTACTATGTAGCCAGCGTTGATAGAAAAATCTGTATCAGAGGCCACCCTCGTATAGCTTATAGGCTCAATAAGTCTCCAACTGTGAACAATTGTAGACGTTGCAACTAACCACAATGCTTTCGACAGTGAGAGCGTGTGAGGCAAGATGTCTCGACACCGCTGATAGTGTTCGTCCGGCTCAGCTCGACAAATTAACCACGATTGAGCTTTTCCAACACTGAGAGACCAATTATACACGACATGGTGGTCAGAGGCTCACGTGCAGTGGGCATATAAAGTAAGGTACATGCTACCTCGCAGTAGTAAAGCATGGGCTGGGTGACTGACGGTGTTTGACATCACGACTTTTTTGGGGGGGATGCGACAATGACCAGCCTATGATGGCTTGATGTGCGAAGTACAGGTAGTACAAAGACGCATTCCCGCGTGAAATATCCCCTTCATCATCATCACCATCATCATTCATCATTCATCATGCGTGCTGCATCTTATACATGTAGTCTTCTTCGTCCGTTATTGCAACAGTCTTGTCCCAAAGCATCCCTTCACTCTTCCTATCCTCTCACCATCACCACCAAAGTCCCAGCAGGAAGAAGAAACATGGCATCCCTCATCGACGCAGCACGAAGTACAATCTCACAGAATTTAGGCGGTGTCATAGCCCAGAAGCTCGCACCCGCACACACGCAATTCACCTTGGAAGATGTCCCTGATCAGACCGGCCGAGTGGCATTGATCACGGGCGGAGATCAGGGCATCGGATACGGCGTGACGCATACTTTGCTGTCGAAAAATATCGCCAAAGTGATTGTGTTGTCGTTTGCGGCTGAGGCGGATCATGCACGAGCTGCGATCAAGGAAGAATTGGGCGAGGATAAGGCTTCGAGGATGATTTTCTTGAAGGGGGATTTGGGAGAGTGGAAGCAGTTGGCGGGGTTGGCGGAGCAGATTCAAAAGGAAACGGATCGGTTGGATGTGTTGGTGGGAAATGCCGGTCGGGGGATTATGACTGCTCAGTTGACGGATTTGGGGGTGGATAGACATATGGCAGTCAATCATTTTGTAAGATTCATGGAGAAGAAACAAGAAAAAATTAAGAGTGAATTGAATTGCTAACACGTACCTTTTTTCTCTCTCCTTCTCATCACAGGGACATGTCATCTTGACATCGCATCTACGTGAGTATCAATCAATCAACCAATAATAAAAAAAACATGCAGCCTTTCCAACTGACCACAACAAAACCCCCCCAAAAAACAAACAGTCCCCCTCCTCAAATCCACCGCCACAGCAGGCCACCAAGTCCACATTTCCTTCCAAGCCTCCAACGCACACGAACTCACCCCCAAAGACACGTCTTCCTTTTCCAGCCTCGCAGAAATCAACACCGACGCCGGCCCCAATGGCCAATATGGACGATCCAAACTCGCCACGATCCTCTACGCCCGCTATCTCGCGAGACATGTCACTCCTCAAGTCCCCCAGATTCTGATTAATGCCACGCATCCGGGAGTGGTGAATACGGATATGTCACAGAATGATATTCATGGTATGTTTTTACTTTGTTCTTCTTCTCCTTTCTTCTTCTTCCCTCTCCATCCTTCTCCCCTCCCAACCAATTAAATATTAAAACAAAAAAAACCCCCAAAAATAGAACCCTACCCCCTCCTCGGCTACGGCATGTCCGTCCTCGCCGCCCCATTCAAAAAGACACAATTCGAAGGCGCCTTGTCGACTCTCTACGCCGTGACAAAAACTTCCGAATCCGGAGAATATATTTGTCCACCGGCGGCCGTGGAGCCCGGTTCGGAATTGTCGAGAAATGAAGCCTTAGGAGAGCAGTTGATGAAATTGACGCATGACGTGATTCGGGAGAAGATGGGAGAGGATATGAAATTTTATTGATTTGATGATTCCGGTGGGTTCAGGGTTGAAGGAGTAGAATGGGGAATGATATATCAGAGTTTAAGGTTTGAGGCAAAAGTAGTAGCTTACTGAAGACTTCGGAGTACTCACCGAAACCTTCTTCTCCACATGCACGTTACCGCGAACGAAAGTTCACGAGGGAAACTCTTCTACTGCAACATGTAACCTCTTACCTCCTAGTAGGAGGTACTGAGACGACGGCAAGCACACAGTCAAAAACAATTTCGCTTCATTGGATATCTTCGCGATAATTATACATGTACACCCAGTGAGACGCCTCGCTCGTGTCCTGTTCGTGACCACATGATGCTGCAGTCATAATACAATGGGTGTGATTTTGTGCACATGTCGTCTCGAATCATACACCGAAGCCCAGGCCGCTATCCTGTGCTAAGAAACTTCGCCGTACATCGGTACAGGAGATATCGACATTGATGTGTTTCTCACAGAGCAGCAGCTCCGCTTTTTGCCGTCGTTCTTGTGGACTGGAACTCTTGCATGTTCCCAGCTGCCACTGATCGTGGCAGCAGGCGGTACTTCTTTGCATGACACCAGCACAGGACCACGGCTGAGCATACTGGAAGCGTACTCTGCTGCTGCTGGCGGAGAAACGCGGTCGTCGAGATCCATGGAATCGTCCTCGAGGGACTCTTCCAATAAGTAACGGACTTCTTCTTGAAGTTGAGAGCGACGATGGCCTTGTGTACGGCCTCGCTTCTTGCTCTTCTCTGTAGCAGAAGCTGGTACAGCATGTGGCGAGTGTGGCTTGGAGCCACGGCTGTGTCGATGTGGTGCATGCAAGGCCTTCTCGCCAAGGGAGAAGTCTGCCTGCATCGGGCTGCTCACCATTTCCACGTCGTCGTCAATCACAATCGGCTTCACCGCAGTGCCGACATGCTCCTCCTCGATCGGTCGATGCAACAACCCAGCATTCCGGCACGTCGCCTGTCGAGCCAAGCAGGCTCGAGGCGCCATGGCCGAAGATGTTGTCGATACTGAGGACATGGAGGAATAGCGTGATGGTCGGGAGTCATCGGAAAGCGTGGAGTCTGGGCTGGAGTAGTAAGAGCCGCCGCTCATGAGTGATGGACGTCTCTGGGAGACAGGGTTGTGAGCTGCAAAATCTCCATCCATGATACATCTGTTGTGGCTCGTTTTCTGCACAACCTCCATAGCAGAGCACATGGATGATGGACGGGAGCCATAAGCACTCACTGCAGGAGTGCTGGAGGCCATCGGTTGAGGAGTCATGACCGGCGTCGGTAGAGGACCAAGCCGTGCCAAGGCAGGCATGGGGGGCACAAAGTTCGGAATTGGCTCCAGACAGGGTAACGCCCTAGCAGGAGTGGGCGTAGTCTCGTGGGAAGTCGACTCGATCATGCGTGGGAGCTTGAGCGTATCCCTGGTAGGAGTGGGTGTGGTCGAGGAAGCAGCGTCAAAGTACGGCGACACTGCTCCACCGTCCAGGAGGAGCTTCTCCTCCATCATGGGCAGGCTGTCAAGTTCTGCAGTAAGCAATGGAATGACCCGCTTCCACCGAGAGCTATCGCACAGAACACCATAGCCTGGCGAAGGTGGTGTGTTTGGCGAATATTTCAACACAATTGCCTGCCATTTCTCGAAAGCAGGTTTGGGGATGTGGAGCTTCCAATTGATCTTGCTGAGAAAGTTTCGTTCGTTGGCGTTGATTTCGCAGACTTTGAGGCCAGACATCTTACTCCATGCCTTGGCCGAGTAGTTGCGATCCTGCAAATACTTCGATGCCAAGATCAGCGCAGCGAGGAACATGCGCCTGCCGCACATCAATGAGCGCTCCGCTGGACAGTCCACGGGCTGCTCCATGGTAAAGTCGTTCTTGGGCACGTGCGGACGAATCAGCACGAGATAGTAGAGTGCGACTTGAAGGGTCGAGTAGCTCGTCTTCGATCTCTTCAGAGTTTCCTCAATGTACGTTCGCAGTGGTAGGACACCACGGCCGACCACCTCAGAACGACATGGGACCACAGACAGGGGCCATATGACCTCCACCATTTGGGTGGCAGAGTCTTTTACAAAGAACTTAGCGAATGGACTAGAATGACCAGAATCAGGATACACGTTGCTTACCGACGAGGTTGTCCACGAAGTTCACTTTTCGATCGCGCTGCCGGACAAGTGGGGGTGGCTTTTGAGCCCTGCACAGCGAAGACCGCCGTGGATTGTGCAGCTGTGGTGCTGGTACTGACGTGACGTTGGCATATGACAGGCGCTGCTTCGTCAGGCCTGCAACCTCCTCCACCGACGTGGAGTCTTCATGCCGATCGCGTTGAGTGCACCTCTCAGGGTAGTCGTCTTGGGAAGTTCGAAAGTCGTCAGAAATCGATGTGGCGATGGAGCTTGAAGCTGATGAAGCATCCGAGAAGACCGAAACCTGCGACGAGGGAATCGAGGAAACTATCGACGGCTCGTATGGGCCATATTGGTTGGTATGTGGTCCTGGACCATCAGAGCTCGGAGCCTCTGCCTCCGTGTTCATTCTGTGTTGTGAAGAGCAACAATCGCGTCAGATTGTGCGATATTGCCCGAAAGTGTTCAAACCCTTTGCGCCTTCCAATGCTAACATTCAACAAGCATAAGCATGTGTTTGTGATCCTTGTGGGGGTCGGCTGAAGCCCTCGATTCGCGAGAAACGTCTCGAATAGGGTAGAATCGCGAGGAAGATGCAGCCGAGTCAACCAGCTCAGTCTGTTCAAGTGATACGAGTCGTCTCTCCAGCTATACAGAGATGCGATTCAAGGTAGAGCGATTCACCACTGTGGTCCTTGAACGGCGACAGATTTAATGGTGGACTTCTCGAATGTGACTGAGCTGGTGATGGCGCGCTGCTGAGTGATTACGGACGGATTCATTTCGATACTGCCGGAATAGGTAGGGTATAGCTATCGTTGCCGTCGAGGCTGAGTGGAGAGTCGCGCCCGAGTCGGCCGAAGAGAGTATGAGTCGAATTCGAGTATAGGAAAAGGTGACTAGAGCGTCGTTGTTGTGGCAGGCTCAGGATAGCGTGAGAAGGTGCAGTCCGTCCTCGCAGCCCAGGGGAGGAAGCGGAGTACTAGAGGCAGGTCGTCGGTGGTCGGTGGTAGGAGGAGGAGGAGTGGGTAGTCGGGGACGCGTGAGGTGAGGGTGGACGTCGGGTTGAGGTGAGTGGGATGGGCGCAGCAGGTGGCTGACTATTAGGAGTAGAAGGAGGAGGAGGAGGAATGGTAGGAGGTAGGTAGTAGGAAGAAGTAGAGGAAGTAGTAGGTTAGGTAGTGGTAGTAAAGAAGAGTGAGTAGGTAGGTAGGTATGACTCTAGCGGCGAGCGAGGTGGCCAAAGAGCGATGACTCGATAGTACACAAAGGGCAGGCAGTAGGCGGCAACCCGCAAGAAGGTGCGATGGACAGCGCAAACATTGACAGTGCAGGTAGCAGTGAAGACCTACAACGACAACGACCACAACAACCACGAGTTCGAGGGGGGAGGGGGAGGGGGTCGGGGTCGGGGTGGTGGTGGTGATGAGGGAGAGGAGGAGGGGGGATTATTATTATTATTCTGGCGGTTGGCGGCTGCTGCTGCGGCTGCTGGGGAGACAGAGAGGCAGAGCGCAGAGAGGCTAGAGGTGCTGGTCACTGCTGGAGGGTCGGCCAGTAAAAGTCCGTTGCCGTCAGCCTCCCCAACTTTCCCTCTCCTCTCTCGCCTCTCGCCTCGCCTCGCCTCGCTTTGCCTGCCGCCCACGTCCAGTCATAACTGTGTGCTAGTTCCAGCTCGGCTCCTGCCGCTGCCTGGAACTCGCCACTGTTTCCGCCACCGCCTTGACGCTTGCAGTTCTACAGCCTATGCTTGCCTCTATTCACGCACGCACGCACGCGCTCTGTCTGCTGATGAGAGCTGTTTCCGGTTGCATCTCCAAAAGCTGCCAACATGGACGCGCCTAGGGGGTCCAACTGCTGTATGTGAAATTGAATTATGCAACTACAAGGCACAAGGCACAAAGTTTGACATTGCTTGCAGGAGCTCATACCTCCCCTGCTCAGCAACAACGCATCCTGGACTCTCGCATTAGAAGGCTTCACGTGATTATGACTAGGACACATGGAATCATGGAAAATGCTGTTATGTAAAAGTCAGGTAGAATCATACTTTGATACCTCCTAAATGTAGGCAGGAGCAGGCAGGAGCAGGCAGACAGACAGACAGGCAGGCAGCACTACAAGATGATTTGCTGCTCGTCTAGGTACACCGTACACTTGAGCAAAACATGGCGTTGTCGAGTCATAGTTGGCGGATGTGCCAAGAACTGCTGTGACGCTCGAAAGAGAAAAAAAAAGTCGTGCAGTCAGACGACTCCCGTCGCCACGCCTGCTTCAGCTCAGCTCAGCTGTTTCTCCGTTACACGGCACTCGTAAGTGTCACGGGATGTCGTAGCAGTAGCAGACATCTGTACCCGTGATCAACAGCAACAGCAACTGCAACAGCAACTGCAACTGCAACAGTGATGATACCCTAGGAGGTAATAGTAGGAGGTAATGAGGCCATCGATCAGATCATAGATGATGGATGGCGTTGCGAGGAAAAGTGGCTATGGCCTTCAAGACCAGTGGGCGAACTAGAACACTACAGTAGAACTCTCCCTAACTTTAGAACTCTAGAACACTAACAAGCTACTCCGCCCACCTTTCCCGGACGATCTTCCACGACAACGACGACAACGACGACGACGACAACAACTGAGAAATGCCCCAACGGCCAACAACACTTCTCGCCACCGAGAGACGTCCGCCCGTATCTCCTGGTTAGTGGCGAGAGACATCCGAACATTTGCGGGTCATCTGCTACCTCCTACTGCTGCGGTGTGCGCTGTACTGTGCTGTGCTGTATTGTGCTATAACTGAACTGAACTGGAATTGTGTCAGTGCTGAAGAGTGCTGCCTAGAGCTAAGGTAGCTAGCTACAGCCTACAGCTACTATAGAAAGCATACCTACCTTTAGAGCTACTACCTACTATACCTAGAGAACGAACTCCTCCGCTCCGCCAAAAAAAGCAGACCTGAGATGATGATGTGATTGGACAAAGCTAAAAGCTCGTAGCAAGGCAGCAAAGCAAATAAACAACAACAGCTCAACACCAAACAAGAAAAGAACCAAAAATCCATGATCCAAGCACTTGAGATTTTTTTCATGGTAAGAAGAAGAGGCGCCTTGTAAATCAGGAAAAAAGTTTCCCCCAAAAAGGTGGTTTGTGGTTTGTGACGCGTGGTGCTATCGTACCTAACAGGTTCTAATAGATCCCACATCACGAACGGTACAGTAATGTACCTTACCTCATACCTTGGTGCCTAGGTACATGTCCTTACAGGCGCCTAGCCTAGCCTAGCCCAGCCTAGCCTGGCTCTCCCTCCTCCTCGTGAGGTCGCAAAGGAAGAAAAAGCAAGAAAAGAAAAGACATTTGATTCATTAGGATGAGACATGGGTCTCATCAGACGAAACGTCATAAGAGAGAGAGAGAGAGAGAGAGGGAAAGACAGAGGAATAGGAATGCTAGGAGGAGGACGAGGACCAAATCGAGAAATTTGCAGAGGTGAGGAAGGTATCATTAGTACAGTTAACTAAGGTAGGTAGGTAAGGTAGATAGATAACGCGTTCGCAGCCCTTGGGATGAATTGCAGCAATGGAATAAGGTAACCACAACAACAACAACAATAACAATAACAACCTTCAAGTGTCCCTCGTCGAAGAAAAGTACAATACCTCAGTAGTAGGTAGGCACGGTAAGTAGCAAAGCAAAACAAACGAAAAAAAAAAGTTGAACAATCATCCCCCGCTCCTGCCACCTAGCCTTTTTCACTCACGATTCATCAAAAACGGACATTCCCCAGGAGCAAAAGAACTCATTTCCTCATGCGTCAATCTCGTCTCCTCCGTCTGCGCTCCCACCGCCACCGCCTCTCCCGGCCGAGGCTGCACTCGAACCTCCATGTCCTTGGGATGCGGATGGACTTGCTCTGCCGAGCCTTCCAAAAACTGCTGGTCGACTGCATCGTAGTACGTCGTCGCTGCTGCTGCCGTCGTGGTGGTGGCCTCGGGGGAGAATGTATCGTTGTCGTCGACGACGACGGCGGCACTGGTCTGGCTGGCGTGGTTGATGATGTCTTCGACGTCGCCGTTGATGGGGGAGGAGTAGATGGAGCGGTGGGTGGTGGTAGGGGGGTTAGTAGTATTTGGTGCATCTGTGGTCGCTGTGGAGGATGGAGTGGAGGAGTCGGGTGGAATCACGTCTGTTTCGACAGGGGCGTTGGAGGGAATGGATTCGACTTCGCGATCGGCTCCTTGTTCAACAGCACTCGTCACAATAGACTGTGCTTGCGAGTTGGTCTGGCCCAATGGCAATGGGTTCGTAGTGGCAACTGTTACGGGACGAGAAGGGGTCTGTTGCGTCTGTGTGGTCGACAGCCCTGTGTGGCCAATATCCCTTGTTTGCTCATCCCGTGATTCGGACACGACGTTGCTCTCCGGCCGCGAGACGTTCTCGGACTCCGGGGCATGAAGTGATTCCGTGGGGGCTTGCACACTCTCCGGGTCCACATCGAGCGCAGCTTCCTTGTCGACTTTGTGATTCATCGTGGCCTTGTTGACAATACCGTGAGGCGCAATCTGTCGAAACATCTCCAATGGATCCATCCACGTCTGTACGTCGCGCAGTCGAACCTTGTCATCCACGCCTGCGACAGTGACGCCTTCGATGTCGATGAGGCCGCCATGTGCTTTGGCCGTGACCTTTTCGCCCTTGCTATTTCATGTCAATCACTCAGGAACGAAAAAGAGTGACAATTACCATCTGAACTCACTTGTTGAAGCCTACGTAGTCTGCGCGAAAGTCAGTGTGAGCAACAAATACTTCGGCGCCGGACCTTTCTTACCGTTCTTCATCACTCCCCAGTGGCGCCATCTGAAAGACACTCGAGGCGGACCACTGTATACTTCCAAGACCTCCCAAGCGAACGTCGGCATCATGCGCTTGAACGTCTTGTGACTCGATGCAAAGTCGGAGTTCTCGGGGCTGTAATACTCATTCGGCGCAATGATGCCGTTGTACGTGCCGACCTAAAGCACAGCTTTAGTGTCGCTGCCATTATGAAAACTGCAAATGTAACTGCACAAACTCTAATCATATGTTCGGCATCCCTATGGTCAACATCGTTAGTCCCAGAGGTGTCTGAACAGCTGTTGTTCAATAACATACTGTGGTGGCCCACCCCCCATTGCGAAGGAGTATCTCTCATGATCAATTGTTCGCCAATCTGACAGGCGTGGCTTGAAGGACGCTTCGACTTCCCAGTTCTTGACGAGGTTCTCGACCATCTCCTCTAGACTCCCGGGAGCATGATTCATTGTCTTGCCTAGTTGCTCGCGGGTCAGTGCCTCGCTATACCCCCTTTGCGTGTATAGACGTTCGAGTTCGTGACATGGTCGGTGCCACCCGTAGATCACTAAAAGGCTCATGGCCTAGACTTGAATGGAAGGTATTGACAGCATCCAGTAGATCTCGTCTTGCAGTATTGAGGATGAGAGTGCTTGGTTTCCAGTGTGTGGAAAGTCGGCGCCCGTGTCACTGTCCCTCGGACTAGACGTCCTCGTGGAACAACTCGCGAGGATACGGATATGTCGTGATCCATCCCAAAGAAAGGGGACTGGTCGTTGCAAAGCAGCATCAACAGTCCAGCACTAACTCACCTTCGGCCCACACCTTTCGTGTTTTGGTGTAGTCTGGAGCTCGTCCATAACGCCACTTCACGCCTTGGTCTCCGAAGATAGCGTTCGGGCTCGAGAGGTAGTCTGGCATCTTGGTCGTATCATGGCTCTCTTGCGAGACGGTCGAGGGGTCTTCGGTGGCCATGATGAGAGCCTAGGAGCAAGAGTGCGACTGTTGCTGTGTGGCCTGTCGTTGTAAATTCAGAAAGAACAAGTTGTACACAAACGAGAAGAACTAGGGAAGTGGTTGAGGAGGGTAGCATTTATTATCTTATTCGGAAACCGCACCACGAGCCCTCGCGTAGGGCGTTGGTGGCCTACGGACAGTCACAAGCTCACGGAAAACCACCAGACCAGGGCCATGAACGGTAGGCGTGGGTCGTAGTGGACACCTAGTGTGGCTTGGAAACGCGAGTCGACCGTTCATCCTTGAGTTACCGCGTTGTGTGAGGCCGCCTGATTGTGTGCGAGTGGGTTCAGGGCGTGGTTGACCAAGCCCAGGAAGCACGCCAGACTGCATCGGGCAGAAACAATCATCTCTGCCACAAAACAACCTGGCTAGGCAAAGGTGACCTATCCAGGCATACACTGTAGAGTCCGGCGCGATGCCGGTGACAACTGTAGCGTGGATGTGCAGTCATACAAAAGCCTGTAATCGGGCCACACATCGAAGACATCTGGTATCCAAAGAGAGTTTGCCATGACTGACAAAGCAGGGTAGTAGACAAAAAAAACGTCGCATTGTATAGCTACTGTCTTCGTTGTGCGCCTGGAGCACGTGGGTGTCCGACAGTGGGGTTCTTGGGCATATTGGTGAGGTTCAAGTGAGTACTTAGTGATGTCGTACTGCATGCGCCGCGCTCGATCGAATATAATAAGGATATCATTCTCGATCTCAGCGATGCTATGTTTACCTCGCTTCCGGCCCCGATGATATGCGTGGGTGGATATCTTCGTCGAGGGTCTGCGGGTCGGTGTGACACTGAACCCTGCAGGATCGTGGCAGGCGTTCATCCGCAAGACTGCCTGTCCCACCACCAAACGCGGGTTTCGTCTTTGACGCGCTCGCTGAAAACGAAGCCGCGGAGGTAGGAGCCTTGGACCGAAAGTTCTCCAGCATTCTACTGTCATCTTGTTCTCCAGCGCTGGCTTGGAGAGGACTCACTTGTGACGAGACGAAGCTCAACCCCAATGCTGTCTCACATACCACCAAGCCGTTAGCCACTCGCCCACCCAGCCTTATCAGACTGAGTGCGGAGGGATCGTCGTAGGACTGGGTACACGTGGCAAAAGTTGCGACCCAAGGTTGAGGATGAAATTCCACGATGCTTGCTTGGCTCATGTTTCCGCAATTCAACGAGCATGATACCGGCAACATATCCGGTGCTTTCGCTAAGAACTGCATGACTAGAGGGAGTCATTATCAGCATGAACGAATCTTGCCACCGTTCCAGAACGCTATCTCGAGTTCGGAGATCCATCAATTGCTTGGTCAATCCATGATGTTGACGTAAGCATCTTGTTCTGTCATGCGGACAAGTCAGTCAAGAAGTATTATGCCAGAAAGGGAGCTGGTGCCGTCGAGGCTGTTGCACGCACACGAAGGCGCGGTTCTAGTGAGCAAGCCCACAGTGCTCTCAGCTGTATCTCCATCGCACTGAATTCTTTTTCTTTGGCTATCCGCTTATATGGTTGACATCATGTGCAGCAAGGTATGCTCCCATCAAACGAGAATCAACTCCTGAGAGCCGAGTCCGACCGGCTACTGATTGCTGCTGAATGCCGAGTCTTTTGAGTCTAGATTGTGAACAAGGAAAGCGCATGTCTCGAACATGGTCCTTGTACTCAGAGGCGTGGCGTGATCGCCAAAAAGATGACAGTGCACCTGAATTTGTCTTCCTGGCCGAGGGTACTGTGCCCTGCGGGACGTCTGCTGTGACTCTGTTTAGCTTAGCCATGGCTTGGTGGTAGTCGACACGTCCGAGCCACTAACCTTTCATCATCGGCCACATGTGATTGCACAAGGCACTCGTACAACCAGCCTTTCCTGGATGCAGGTGGTCAGCACGACAATCGCGCTAACGCGAAGTTCAGCGCCATCACGGAGTGCTCTGCCGTTGGCCCAGGATAAAGGCAGCGTGTTCCCCAAAAAAGGCATGCGCCCCAATGAGCTGAGATTCGCAGGAGCTCACTCTTCTGCACAGCTGTGACTTGACTCATTTGGCGCAGGCCACAGGCTTCCTTTCCTAAGACCCGTGCAGAAGAGAACTCAGTTCCTGAAAACGTGCCTCAGCGAGTTGGAGACAGGTATACATGGTTTGCCTGTCGATAGAAGCACCACCGCTGCTCTCTAGCCGAGAGATGAGCCGACCATGTTCGCCGCTTGGTTGTAGGACAACTGACATCACTTCGTTGCAAAGTTCTTCTTCAAACGTGTCGGGGTCAGCAAGAATCCAATTCTGGGGATTCGTGGAGAGTTTCAGTGGCGAGGCAGTGGTGAAGATTGCAAAGGTCGAGACTATGGGCAGATCTCGAATTTGTAATCGCTTTTCATCCAATGCCAATGGCGAGCACACCACGCTCTCTCTGTCGGCGTCCCAGTGGGCGCCCGGTAAGCGAGTGTCCCGCAGTGCGGCGTAGACAGCCAACCAGGCAGCATCTAAAGCATTCCCATCCAGAGCGAGGCACAAGATGTCCACATATAGCGTCCAATAGGCCTTAGTCACAACCTGTCCAGGTTCGCCCAGACCGTCGTCCTCGGCGGCCGGCTGAGTGTATGTGATGCGCAGATCGTCCAGATTCACAGAGCCCGAGTCGTTGAGTAGGGATGAGATCCGATATGAGAGTGATTGTGCCACCGAGCTTGGCGGATTGCCGGGCATGTGCGCTGGAGAACAGCCTGTACTGAGTTCTAGATTTGGCACCAAAAGGCCGAGCTGTTCGATGATGTCGATATCCTCTGCCTCATCGCTGGGGGGTTTGGCGACATCTGAAGCCAGAAGAATCTCAGCTCGCACTCCACACACTATCGCAGTGTCTCCGACGCGGACGAGGGCGCTTCCGTTGCTGTGAGACAGCGATCCTGTGTTGACTGTTGGCTTGCGGAACTCGCTTGGCGAGCGACCACTGGGACGTGTGGATTTGGGCGCCTTGAGATGCGCGAGGAGAAATGGTTTCGGCGTCAGACTCGCGAACGTGTCGCGCGGGAAAGACAGTCCCGGTTTAGCATCCGCGGCCGCCATGATGTTGATGTCGTTGTTGTTGTTGTTGTTTTTGTTGTTGTCGTCGTCGTGTTGATGTACGCGTGCCGAATCTGAACGAGACTTCTGTGGCCCACTTTTTTTTTCACACGTCAGGGCTCCGCGCGCTCATCGTTCTACCGGGCCTGTCCGGATCGCCTATGTCAGTGCAGTCGGCGGAGTATAAGTAGGTACATGTACATACTTGCAACAAACAGCTTGAACTCCAGTCGTTTATCCCAGTACATTGAACAAAGTGATCAACAGGAACACACACAGAAACTCATCCTCACAAGCAAGAGACCATTAAGCGACACTCGTCGAAAACCAGGCAGACCAAACAGCGTCAGTTCAGCCAAGACCCATCAAAAATGGAAGACAACCACATCTACCAATATTCCCTCCTCAACGCCTTAATGGACGGCGTCTGCGAGACCGGAATCCCCGTCTCCAAATTCCTGACCAAAGGAACTCAAGGTCTCGGAACCTTTGTCCGAATGCAAGGCGAGCTCTTATTCCTCGACGGCAAAGTCTACCAATTACAAGCCGGAGGCAAAACCCGCGAAGCAGACCCCTCCGATCAAATTCCCTTTGCAGTCTCCACCAACTTTGTTGCGCAAAGTACGCAGTCGGTAGATTTTGCAGACAAAAGCGGCATCGATCAGGCGTTGGATGGATTCAATGATCATGCCAAGAATCTCTTCATGACGTATCGCATCGATGGGGCATTTGACCATGTCAAGTGTCGAACTGTGGAGGGGCAGGAATACAAAGGACAGTCGCTGTCGGAACTCGGGAAAAAACAGTCGATGGAAGAGTACTCGAAAGTGGAGGGGACCATTATCGGCTTTCGTACGCCCCTGAATTGGCAGGGCTTTGGGGTCGCAGGGGAGCATCTACATTTCATCAACAAGGACCGGTCAGCGGGCGGGCATGTTTTGGATGTAAGAGGGAAAGGGTTGGAAATGAAGATGGCTGTGGCTGCCAATGTGCATGTGGAGTTACCGACGTCAGAGGACTTCAATGCGGCGGAACTGGTCACTGATGACAAGGGGGTCAAGGAGGTAGAGGGATAGATAGATAGACGAGACTCCAGTGCTCGAGCTTCATGATACTACATATCTATTGCTTTGTGATTCTATACCATCTCAACATCTCCTTCCGCCTTCCATTGGTTCCTTGTTCAGCCCACCGAATCCTGGATAAGTCCGGCAGCCAAGTCTTTGACCTTCGAATAGTCGATGCGCACATCCACAAGGCTTACTCCCTTATGCGCAAGAGCCTGTTCCATGACCGTTTCAATTTCAGAGGAGCTGTTGATCCGGAAGCCTTTTCCTCCAAACGCTTCCGCATACTTGGCGAAATCAATTCCTCCCAGTTTGATGCCTGAGCTGCGATTGTACTTCATTTCTTCTTGGAATTCCACCTGTCGATAGGTTAGCTTCGGTTTACTCCCACGAGGAACACCTGTCGGCCCCATTGAATGCATACCATATTGTAAGCCTCATCGTTCCAGATGAAGTGCGTAATGTTGCAGCCTTGTAAGACTGCGGTAGAGAGCTCTTGGGATGAGAACATGAACCCTCCGTCGCCACTGATGGAGATGACCTTTTGCGAACAAGGAGGTTCTTGGATCAGAGAAGCTGCGATGGCCCATGGAAGTCCTACTCCAAGGGTCTGCTGACCGTTACTGCAGAGCAATTTTCGAGGTTCGTAGGCGAAGAAGTAGCGCATCATGTATATGTATACCGTGCCGACATCACTAAATAGAAGAGGCCAAGTCAGTTTGGTGTCATGAGATGTATAATGATGCAGCCTTACACGCAGACTGTAGTGTCTTTCGACACACGTTTCTGCAGCGCCGCGATGAACTGCAAAGGATGGACAAATCCATTGGAGCTCTTGAAGTTTGTGATTTCCTTGCTCCAGGATCGGAGTTCTTGCGTCAATCCTTTGCAGAACTCATCTTTCGCTGGGTCTGTGACGTTCTGGACAGCGTCACCAAGCGCGAGGATGTTTTGTCTCACAGATCCAAGGAGCTCGATATCAGGGTGGTAGTATGCTCCATAGTCACACGAAGTGTAGTCCTGAATCGAAGTCAGCTCGTTTCATGTCGCAGACTTCTGGGTCGATTGACTTACCACATGAACAATATTGAGATTGGCATGAGGGTTCCAGGCGCTTGCGTCATATTCAGTCGGATCATAGCCAAGACATATGATGAGGCTGCCAACATGTCAGCATACGACCCTGATACGCATGAAGGAAGTCGTACTCTGACTTGGCAAGTAGCCTGTCTCCCGTCTGATTTCTGAAAAGTCCAACTCTGCCGAAGAAGACTGTATCTGCAAGATCTTCTGGGACTGCGCCCGCTGCTTGGAAAGTCTCTACCACGGCAATGGGATGTCTTCGCAGGAACTGACGAACAGCGCCCACAACAATGGCACTGGAAGCTCTCTGGCCCAGGAAGAAGACTGGAAGTTTCGCATTATCGATCATCTTTGCCACCGTGGCGATATCTGCTGTAGGAGATGCCCCATAAAGAGGAGGCGTGAAAGCCGAGCTTGGGAATGCCGTGATCTTGCTCTTCCCTGCTGCTACATCCTAGAAAGCAGTAGACACAAGTCAGCGAGACGATCTCAGACTCGTTCAGGCCCATGTTCGGAGAGCTCTTACCATGGGCAAAGACACCACAGCGCTTCCCCTCGGATTGCCATTGGCAGTCCTGAAGGCTGCTAGCACCACTTCTGCCGCCTGATCTTCGACGTCGATATTTGTGGCCGACTTTGCCGTCGGTCTCAGGATGTCCAGAGCTTTCATGCTCTGATGAGTGTGCTTTGTACTGAGTAGTCTCGGCACACTACCGACAATGGCCACCACGGGATCTCCCTCCGTCGTGGCTGTCACGAGGCCAGTGGTGAGATTGCCCGCTCCTGGGCCTGATGTAGCTATACAAACGCCGGGTGTGCCTGTGATGCGGCCGACTGCTGCGGCCATGAAAGCTGCATTCTGCTCATGTCTGCACACGACAAGTTTGATCTCGGGATGATCGGACAAGGTGTCGAAGACGGCATCGACCTTCGCCCCGGGGATACCGAAGACCACCTTGACGCCGGCGTTGTTCAAGCTCTCGACGATGATCTTGGAGACTTGCTGCTCGGCCATTGTGATGGCTGATCGGGGTTGCTAGAAAAGGACTGATGAGAGTGCGAAAGATGTACTTGCCTGAGTTGGTAGTGTCTACGAGATAGTTGTAGGCGTTGCCGAGAGGATCCGACCACGACGGCTCCAAGGCCCGCTCACTGCAGTGATGCAGAGCTGCTGAAGTCTCTGAAGTGCATTGGTTATGTCATCCTCAGCGGCCTTACCTCCTACCGTTAAATAAACGTGTTGAGGGAAAGAGCGATGGCGGAGGGGCAGGCAGGCATCGGCACACGCTCCGGCACTGCTTGTGGGTCCATCATGACGCGGACCGTGCCTCCGCGCTCTCCCGCCCTTGCACCCACAAGGCACTGTGACCAGTCAAGTCACTGTCTTCTCAGTGTCGACCAGGTGGGTTGCAGCACATCGCACCAATACAGCGGAGCGGTGTTGTTGTTGTGGTGGTGAGATGGGCCGACCATGTTGAAGCGCAAGCTGTCACAGCCCGACAGCGAGGACCACGACGACAACGACGGTGACGGGACGCCAACCCTCTTCCGCAGCGATGCCATCGAGGACCGCCAGAGCACCTTCATCGCCGTCTACTCGCCCTCTCTCCAGCCCAAAGAGCTGCAGGCGCTCGCTGAGTTCCAGACCGCCGACCACAAGATCTTAGGCTGGCGGCGAGAGTCCAATCAACAGAGCATCGGCAAGTCCAAGCTGTATGTGACAGGATCCGACGATGATGGAGAGAAATATGCCGGCAAGAAGGTCGAGAAGGTCCTGGAAGCCTGTCAGGCCACAGGCGCTGTAGTTGTGGCGAGATGGTGGGGCGGCGTCATGCTGGGTCCCGTCCGCTTCAGTCACATTGAGCAGGCCGCGCGCGCAAGCATACGCGCCTGGGAAACACACCAAGCGGAAGCCCGCACCAAGAGAAGAAGACTGGCAGACGAGAAAGAAGAACAGGAGAGGCTAGCCAAGTCGCTCGGCGCGAGAGATGAGAGCATTGCGGTGTTGAGAACACTGGCCACCGATAAGGAGCAGCAGCTGAAGGCCGCTCGAGATGGTGGTATATCAGTCACCAGTACCGATGAGATCCTGCAAGCGCCCGGTGTCCCTGCTCCGACCACCCAAGTCCCGATCGAGTACACGACGCTTCCAGTCGAACGCCTACGAGCACTGGACAAAGCTCGAGATGCGACGTTATCGTTTCTGCTCAAGCGTATTGACAAGGCAGAGGCTGAGTTCAAGAAGCTGAAATCCGAAGTGGCAGACAAGACACTACAGTAAGGAAGGGCTCAGTGCATTAACATATTACAATGCCAGGACCTATCTATTCTGCTTCTTCCAAACCAGTGGCGTCCAAATATGGATCTTTGGGCGGTGCTCCACGGTTTGTCCTTGGAGCCTGTTCCTCCGGATCTGTGTTTGACTGATTCTCCAAGTCTGTGTTTGACTGTTTATCCAGATCTCCTCCGCTGCCCGGATAATCTCCGGGCTTCTCCTCATCCGAGCTGCTGTGCCCGGAACGAGAGGTTGGGAGCTCTATTCTTCCTTGCTCCTGATCCATCTCTGTCGTAGGTTTCTGAGGAATCGCTGATTCTGTTGGTGCAAATTTACTTCGCGAACGAATCTTCGCGCCGTAACGATAAAATATGAAAGGAATAGGGGCCAGCAAAACTGCAACCCCTCCTATCAGACTGCCAGCGCCACCGACGCCCATAGCGTCGAACATCTGTTCTGTAAATAGTGGGGACACAGCTCCAAGCGCAGAACGGCAGACCTGGATGGGCGTGTTAATAGCTGAAACCATCAAGTCGTCGTCCTCAGATAGCGACTCACTGTGTTTGCGGCAATAGCGCTTGCAGCGTACATCATGTACGTATCGGCCAGATACGATAGGTAGGACACGAAGACGAGTACAATGGACGTTGATAGGAACGTTCCAGCCTGGAATCAAAGTACATGTCAGCACGTTGCACATTGTACAAATGTGCATAAAAAGAAAAGAAAAGTTAGCCCAACTCACCAGCGTTGGCACAATCCACGGCACAGAATTGTAATTGGCACTCCATGCGAACCAGAACATGGTGACGGGAAAAAGAATCCCCCCGATCATCGCCAATGGCATCCGGTCCTCTGGTGCACGAGGGATGCCCGCTGCCATTTTCTTGGTAGCAAATGTGGATTCGTAAAAAACGATGCCGCCTGCTACAAAGGCTCCCACGAGAAATCCGATGAGTGGGAGTTCGCCCACGCCGCTGTTCCAACCACGTTTTTGTTGGAAGACGATGGGATATCTATTGAATTATTGTCAGCTTTTTTGTCTCTTGTGCATGTATGGATTACAGCGTGAAAGGGACCCAACAACTCACATCGTAAAGGACATGTACAGTAGCGCGTACACGATACTGAGGTAAATGGCAATCAAGAAGGAAATGGGATCAAACAAGATAATCCACGGTCTCGTCAAGGTGATTCGGAAAATGGTGCCCAACTTCTGCCCATTCGCCTCTCGGGGCGCTTGCACATTCTCATAACCCTGAATCTGGGCCCTCCGAATCCTCTTCGCCTTATTCACCAAGACCTGCGCCGGCAACGTCTCCGGAATGGTCAACATGGGCACCAACGTGATCCCTCCCAACCACAACAACACATAAAACGCCCATCTCCAATCCTTGGTCAACTCCAAAAACCCACTCACGACAGGCCCCAACGCCGGCCCAGCAAACGTCATCATCGAAAACACACACAATGCATTCCCGCGTTCAATCGGCGGCCACAAATCCGCCAACACACCAGGCACATTACTCAAAGCCGCAGAAGCAAATGTGCCCGTCAAAAATCTCCCCACGAGTAACCCCCCAAACGTCGGTGTGAAGGCGCATAGAAAAGTGAAAATCACGTAGCAAATATATGTGCCGTAGAAAATCCATCTGCGACCATAATATTCCGACAGAGGTGCCCAGAGCAACGGACCGAAACAATATCCCAGCAAAAATAAGGTCGTGACGAGATTCGCGGCTAGCACGGAAATGTTGAAATGAGAAGCGATGGAATTGACGCAGCCTGAGGGCGAGGAGGAGGCGAATGTGGAGGAGATGACGAGGCAGATGGAAACGATGGTGATGTACCATCTGCGAGCCGGGGACCAGTTTTTGGGATTTTCAATGTCTCCCACTGGACTGAAATCGAGGTGGCCTGAGGAGTTGAGGTGGATTTGGGTGTTGGGGACGTTTTTGCTGCGGTAGGGTTTGGCTGTTGGGCGGGAGAGCATGCGTTCGAGGGCTTCCATTTTTTTTCTTCTTCTTTTTCTTTTTCTTCTTTTTCTCTTTGGCTTCACTTTTGGTAGAGAGAGGGTTTGTCTGTACAGTTTGGCTGACTTGCTCGGTTTGCTTTTTCTTTTTTCCTTCAATGCTGTTCTTGCTGGTGGTGCTGTCTCTGTAACCGTGGCCAGTGCCGTTGCAGCATCCTAAATAAATGAACAACAATGAACAACGGATGATGATGCGAGTGATGGAATATAATACTCTAATTACCAGAGCAGAGCTTCAGAAAGTCTGGAAGAGAAAATTGCCACCACATTGTTTGGTAAGGTTTCAATGTTTGGGTTTGTACTCCAAAACACTGCTCCTCGGGAATACGGCACATGGGCACATACATGACATACATGAAAGCAAAGCAAAGCTGCCCGCCTCCTTGCTTCTGCTTGCTGCCGAGCTGCGCTGCTGACTGCAAACTAGGCAGAAAAGATCTTCGGCGTCTTCAAATGTACTGGTACCTCCCTAATAGTTCTATCTCGTTTCTACATGTAGTCAGTCTGTTTCCCCACGGAATAGTGAGTTCTTTTGGTGTGGGGAAAGGGGGGTAAAAAAAGGCATATCTCAATCTCATGCGACCTCATCGGCATCGTCGGCAGAAGAGAAGAAACAAAAAGATACCTACCTCCGTTATTCGTTGCTCGCTTGCTTACCTGCCCGCTTCTAATAAAAGTGTTCCACGGCATACATGTACTTACCTGACTGTAGCGGAAAGAGAGCATATGCGAATTACCGGGCTGGGTGAAACTATTGCAATCAATGTAATAAAAATCTGCTGTGCAATCAATTACCAAACATTTGATAATTTTCTGTTTCTTTTTCTGTTTCTTTTTTCTTTCCTTGGACATTTGGCCCTCTTCTGGTTCTTCTTCTTCTTCTTCTCCTGTGTTTCCGGATTCCCATTTTCAACGAGAGAAATTCGAAGGCTTGAATGAATGAATGAATAAATGAATGGGGTTTGACTGGAATTGCGCTCGCGAGTTTCATGCGTATGAGGTCTTTTTCATAAAAGAAGAAAATCAGTCCCTGTATCCAAACAAACAAACAGAGAGAGATATAGATACTCGAGCAGAGAGACAGGGCAAGCATTGAGAATGATAGCTATACAGGTAGCGAGTGACGAGAAGGAGTGAAGTGAAGAGATGATGTTTTTCGGGGGCTGATAACAGATTTGATCCTTGCCTTGCGAATCCTGGACCCATGCTGAGATCCGATTCGATCAAAAGGAGTCTTTTGCCGGAAACACGAGGGACCACCACCACTCTGCGTGAATACAAGAAACAGTCAGATCTGCTTAATATGTACACAACGCCGTCGCTACCTGACCTTCTAGACTACATGCAATTCACTACTAGGTGGCCTGAAAGTCGCTCTAGCTGGAACCCGTTTCAACTGCTGGTGGTTTATATTCCCAGACCAATTCCATCTAGTCTCGCTATCTCCAATTCTCTAATACTTTCTTGCAAAAGGAGGTACAGCCTTGCACTCGGCCTCATCCAGTGTGTTTGCAACAACAGCACGATACCCAATCTCAACCTTCTCATGTGGCTTCTTTTGCCATGTGAGAGAGTGCTTCATCCAGTTCTCATCGTCTCGGTCAGGGTAGTCCTCACGAGCGTGTGCTCCTCGAGACTCTTTACGAACAGCTGCAGCTTCAGCAGTCTGGACGGCGCAAGTCAACAGGTTGCGCAGCTCCAGGGTTTCAACGAGGTCACTGTTCCAGATCATGCTGCGGTCCTTGGTGCCAACTTGGTGGAATTGCTTGTCGACTTCGTTAATCCTGTGAAATGTTAGTTAGCAATGTTCCAATATTTGCACGCATCATGACACTCACTTCTTGACACCCTCGTCAAGCGACTCCTGTGTTCGGAACACAGATACATCAGACTGCATGACCTTCTGCATGGCGCTTCGGATCTCGTTGGTGCTCTTTGGTCCGTCCGCGGTTCGGATTTGGTCGACAGTGGCAATGGCTTCGGCGCCTGCATCGCTGGATATCGTTTGGTGTGGCTTGCCAGGAGAGAAGTTGTCGCGGATGGTGTGGCTGACAGCACGTCCGAATACGACCAGATCGAGCAGAGAGTTGGCACCGAGGCGGTTTGCGCCGTGGACCGACACGCAAGCGGCCTCACCGCAAGCGAACAGACCTGGCACAACCTTGTCCTTGCCATTCTCGTCCACTGTAAGAACCTCACCAGTGTACTTGGTGGGGATACCGCCCATGTTGTAGTGCACCGTTGGCAATACAGGAATAGGCTGCTTGGTCACGTCGACACCAGCGAAGATGGAAGCAGTCTCAGAGATACCGGGGAGACGCTCGTGCAGAATCTCGGGAGGCAAGTGCGACAATTGCAGGTAAATGTGGTCCTTGTCAGGTCCTACACCACGACCTTCGCGGATCTCCATGGTCATACTTCGGCTGACAACATCACGAGAAGCAAGATCCTTCGCGGTCGGAGCATAACGTTCCATGAATCGCTCACCCTCGCTGTTGAGCAAGTAACCTCCCTCACCACGAGACCCTTCAGTGATCAAGCAACCAGCGCCATAGATACCAGTAGGGTGGAACTGCACAAACTCGAGATCCTGGTTAGGAAGTCCAGCGCGAGCGACCATGGCCATGCCATCACCAGTGCAAGTGTGTGCAGATGTGCACGAGAAGTATGCACGACCGTATCCTCCAGTAGCCAGAACAGTGTTGTGAGAGCGGAAGCGGTGCAGAGTGCCATCTTCCTGGTTGTAGGCAATGACACCCTTGCACTCGCCATCTTCCATGATCAGATCAATGGCGAAGAATTCAATAAAGTAGTTGGTGTTGTGGCGGAGTGACTGGCCATAGAGGGTATGTAGAAGGGCGTGTCCCGTTCGATCAGCAGCCGCACAGCATCGGTATGCTTGTCCGCCCTTGCCAAACTCCCGCGACTGACCACCAAAGGCTCGCTGGTAGATCTTGCCGTCGTCTGTTCGCGAAAAGGGACATCCGTAGTTCTCGAGTTCGTATACAGATGCGGGTGCCTCTCTTGTCATGTAGTGGATGGCGTCTTGGTCTCCCAGCCAGTCGGAGCCCTTGACAGTATCGTACATGTGCCATCTCCAGTCGTCCTCGTGCATGTTACCCAGGGCGGCATTGATGCCTCCTTGAGCAGCCACAGTGTGTGATCGTGTGGGAAATAGCTTCGATATGCAGGCTGTGTTGAATCCAGCCTCGGCCAGGCCGAATGCTGCTCGCAGACCAGCTCCTCCTGAGCCCACGACCAGAGCATCGTATTCGTGGTCGATGACAGGGTATTTGTGTCCAATGGCACCAGATGCCTCCTTCGCTCGTAGCGGTGCGGACGTGATGATGCGGTTTGCTCGCGGCGTGCTCGAGAAGTTGCGAGTGGCGCGGATGGCGCTGCGGCCAGAGAACTGCCTGAGACTGGCGGAGAACATGATGGCAGCGGCGATGCAGCGAATGACTCCCAGTCCGTGGCAAAGACTCTGTTGCGGCGAGTTGTTGTCGACGTGTGGTTTAAGTCGAGAGCAATGTCAAACCCGAGAGTCTAGGACGTAATCATCGATGTTCGTCCTTAGACGGAGTGTTAAGGATCGATCCCTGGGTCCACAAATTACCCACGGCGGACGTATCACGTGTGCAGGCGTCGATAACCGAGCTGGGCAGTCCCGGACTGGTCCTCCCCCTGCTTACCGATACATTATCCTCTATAGACTGGTTTCGAGCACCACTATCCTCGGCTATCATTTCAGATTTGCATGTTCCGAGTGATGGACACGGTGGACATACGTGTGTGCGGATCAGGTGGCAGACCAGCAGTGGCACATCCCTACCGTCGGCAACAAGCAGCGGCATGGAAGCCACCAAAAGATCGAATAAAGATATCGACTCCCGTCTTTTCCCATCACTATTCGACGCCCCTGGCCACGCTGCTTATTCCCGCTGCTATAGTGCTATACCCGACATGCTTATGATAATCATCATTATTATTATTATTGACCTTTCTTTCGCTATCAACTGGCGGGAGGCACATCTTGTGGCCCCTCGGGGACCCAGCCAATCACAAGCTTCTGGAATAATCACTGTCCATTATAACCTCGTATGCCTCGGCGACTATCGGCTGGCGGAAGTGGAGACCACTCACCCGACTACTACATACTCTGTGCGTGCCGACGACATCACAAGGATACATAATAAGCACGTCAGGTAGATAGCAGCATCTCAAACGAGAGACAAGGTGAGTGGCCTCTGTGCGAATGCTCGACGAATCACGAACCGCACAACAGTAACAGAAGTTGCCCAAGCACTTGTTTGTATGAATGTTACTACTAGGAGGTATTGAGGGTAAGGTAGGTAATGTATTTCCAGACTCCAGGTCGTCGTCGTCGTTGCAGATGCAGATGGGTAATGTAGGTACTCCATCTCTGGGAGGTATTCCTTGGCATATCTACCTTACAGGAGACACAGAGACAGCTCAGTCAGTCGCACCTGCACCATACTGGGTAATGATTCGGTACCTGCCCTGACGTGTAGCAGTAGGTAGGTGCAGAGATGGAAGGAGTTGTGTTGTCGAACGTCATGAATCATCATATATAATCACCGATCCTGTACACGGCAGGTACAACTCCCAAACAACCTGAACACTGCAGCTGTGCATTGAACGTTCTCCACCACAGTCTCCGCCATGCTTCGCCTTTTTGCCAGATCCATCCGCCCATTGTCCAAGACTACCACTACCACTACTACTACCACTTCCCTCCCGCAAGTGCAACGCATCACGCCTGCCAGACTCCTCTCATCAACAGGTAAGACCCGAACGACAGAAACGACTCCGACAACCAGAGACTGAGACCTCATCCAGCAATGGCCGACAACCCCGAACTCAAGGCATCCGGCCTCTTCGACGTCAGCCATGTCACCGCACTGGTGACAGGCGGTGCAACAGGCATAGGCCTGATGATCACACAAGCCCTCGTGGCCAACGGAGCCAAAGTGTACATCACATCCCGAAGAGAAGAAGTTCTCAACAAGGCAGTCGAAACATACAACACGGGGCCCGGCAGCCTACACGCCCTTGTAGGCGATGTCAGCACAAAACAAGGCATTCACCAACTCGTCCAAAAAATATCGCAAAAAGAGCCTCAAGGGATCCAACTACTCGTGAACAATGCGGGCATTGCTCGAGACGATAACACGAAATTCTCATCCAACGATGGTCCACCAGATACATCTTCTGCAGAAGCTATTTCCGAATATTTCCTCCGCTCGGAAGAAACTCAGTGGCAGGATACCTTTCAAACAAATGTCACGGCACAGTATTTTATGAGTATGGCTTTCCTGCCCGCTCTTGCGAAAGGAGGGAGAATCACTCCAGGATATTCGTCTTCGGTTGTCAATGTCAGTTCGATTTCTGGTGCAATGTAAGTTTTCAAAATCCGTTTTCTGCTTCTCCTATGAAGACGAAGAAGAAGAAGAAGAAGAAGAAGAAGAAGAATACTTTACTAACAATCAACTACAGGAAAGGATCAAGCATGGGACAATTCGCGTAAGCTCCATTCCCATCCCACACCATCTTATTTTCCCACTTTCTTCTATCTTTAACAGCACCCACATCTCCTCCTCCCTTGCTAATATGTATGTAATAGCTACGCGAGTTCCAAAGCAGCATCAACACACCTTTCCCGCATGCTCGCAACCACCTTTCAAGGCTTCAACGTGCGCGTCAACGTCATCGCGCCAGGCGTCTTTCCCTCTGAAATGACAGGCGGTGACAGCAATCATGTCAACAAGACGGAAATGGACATGAAATCGTCCAATCCCGCTGGACGCAAGGGTCACGATACGGATATGGCTGCTACCATTTTGTTCTTGGCTGGGAAGGGTGGGGTCTTTTATAATGAACAGATTTTGGTATGTTTGCTTTGCTTTGCTTCCTTGCTTCCTAATTGATTATGGCGTTCGAATTGATGTGCCTCATGTGCTGACGACATTGTTTTTAACAACAGTATCCTGATGGCGGAAATACGCTCTCGCAGCCAGCAGTCAACTGATCAAGTTATACGCGAAAACGAACGTACGCGTCGAATGTGTAGATAGTGTAAGATAATGCACCTCAGGGCAAGAACCAATCAATCACCAGCTCGACTGTATCGTGTTCTTGAAGTGGTATGTGTCGGAAGCCGAGCCGACGAAGAAATCCAACCCGATGCGGCTGTGGAATGTTTTGCATTCTGATGAGAGAGGTGGTCCCCTTTGTACTTCGCCAAAGCTTGCCCGTCGATACCTTACCGACCAGACAAAGAGCTGTTTGCACCGCGCTTACCGTTACCGTACCTTGGACAGACACGAACGTGTGTATGCGAGAGAGTATCTCGACTTTTCAATCGTTCCATCAGTCAATTCCCAATTCCGCTTGCATTGCGAAAAGGCGGTTCAGGAAGGCTCACATTACTACGCACACTGGCACTTTTCCGAGCAGCAATGCCTACCATAGCTGAGCCCGAAGCTCGATTACAAGTCCCATTGCAGCGCGTCGTACGCTCGCCTTCACGCCGCAATAGAGATCGAGCAGCAGCAGCAGCATCGACAGCCAAGCCGCTTCAGCTACGCGGTAGAGAGACTTCCGAGAAGTCCACCACGCTCGAACGAAGCATGTTGTACAATACGACTTCTGCGATGAGCAATTCACGTCGACCAGCACCTCAGTACTTTGCAGCGCCCTTGTCACCACCGCCGGTAGCGCCGCTTCCACAATTCCCAACGTCTATACCTTCGTCTGCAGCGGCGATATCTCCACCAGCAGCGGCAAAAGCGAGGCAGAATGAGGACTTCTTGTGGACCATATCACGGACGGGGGAGGCCGGTACTGTCCTCCCGCCCTTCGCAGAACAACCGAGACCCGCTCCCCAGCCTCCCAAACGACGTCCACGCACTCCTGGCGAAGAGTTTCGTGTATCGCCGGTGTCAACGCCCTTGCGCAGGGGCCTGAGTAATAGCCAGCGTTCGAAAATTTCTCGCCCAGCACTGGTGCCACTGGCCACATCGACAGTACAGCTCCCATCACAGCAGCAGCAGCAGCGACCGACCAGCGTTCTGGACCCTCATCTGATTACTGCCCAGAGATTTGTCCCTACCACAGCACCGCAGTCTCCATCTGCGTTATTCACAGGTGAATCAGTACAACAACCAGCAGTTCAAAACAGTAGTACTACGATGCCAGCAGCGGCGAGATTGCAAAAGTCGGGGCGTGGCCGCCGATCGACCTCAAAGACGCCTGCGATGCCGTATCCGATGATCCGCTCGCACACAGCACCGCCCACCTACAACAGAACCGTCAGTTCCATTTCTCGCAGCACCGCCAGCTCGTCCACTTCGTCATCGTCTCGTCGCACTGGGCGATCCAGGTTCACCAGAAGAGATGTCGCAGCGCGAAGGTCCCTCGATGCACACCCTGCAGCTGCATCTCGGCTGGCACCAACATCTTCGATCCGAAGTGCATTATCCTTGGCCGACGATTTGAGTAGACTGAAGACAAGATCTGACGCGATTGCGAAGCCTTCCTCGGCACCATCCACGCCCGGAAGCATCATCAAGAGTCCGTTCAAGAAAAGTCGAAAGGGGGAGACGATGAGCATGTTGCTCAATACGGGATTCTTTCCCGTGGAAGAGCTGATTTATGGGAAAGATGTCAGTACGGTCAGCAAGTTGCGACAAAGTCAGATGTATCGAATCAATCTTCCGCCAAGGTTGAGCTTCATGGGCGACGATGATGTATTGACTGCACTGAGGTCACCGAACAACAGTGGCGGTGGGGGCGACAGTCCGACCGACAGCCTGTCTTCGCCAAAGTCTCCCACCTTTCCTCGGAGATCATATCGTAAAGCACGAAACCGGAGATCTGGCATGGTGAGAAGTCCGCTGACCCAAATCTCTGAGAACAAGGTGGCCAGTACCGTGGATGAACAGGACGAGGACGAGGATGAGGAGGAGGAGGGACAGGACAGAACCTCGTCAAGAAACACACTGGCAGCCATTGCTGAAGATCCGGCCTGGGGTGATGAGGAGAATATCGCTCCAGAAATTGGTTCCGCAATGCCGGCGGCAAGAGCCATCCATCTGAGAGGAGGTTCAGTAGTCACGGTCACGCCACCTGAGATGACAGCGTGGAGATGTTCAATATACATTCCAGGCGCGATCAAGCTCCCGAAGCCAGCGATCATGCCACGCAAGAATTCCGTGGCGACTCTGGATCCCTTTCAGCATGCGGTGGATGATATGTATCAGCTGTCATTAGCGGTACCCCGGCGGCGGAGTGACGATGCGGTGGTGGATGACATTTGCGACTTCTTCGATGGATTTGGCTTCGACGTGAACATAGGCTTCGATGAAGACTGTTTGGGTTTCGCACATGTCATTACGGACGAAGCCTCCAATATCGGTGAAGTGATGGAGGAGGAGGGGGAAGGTTTCAGCACGCCGACCCTGGAACCAAGTCCCATCGAGATTGAAATCGCAAAGGAAGTGCTCGATAGCACGACAAAGGCGCAGCAGGCCATGATGCAGGCCTCGCGCAGGCCACCGCCAGTAGAAACGGAGGAAACGCTGAGAGCGCGCGGTATAGCCCGATTGTCGAGGGGTTCAGCAGCGTCCATATCATCATTATCATCGTCATTCGTCGGACCACCCAGTCCCAGGGAGTCGCTCCTGCTGGGGAGCAAAGCTGGTGTACGCAGTGGCTCGGTCAGCTTACTGCTTCCCGCGCCGGAAGGCAGCATGTTTGAAACAGTACGGGGAAAGTTTGGGACCTCGGCGACAGCAGGCTCAGCGGGCGATGCCAAGGATAGTCCCCGTAGTGGGGGCCGGGCTGGATTCGCTGGAATAACAACAGCAACAACAAAAACAGCAACAACAATGGCAACCGAGGGTCCATTGACGACTCCATTATTGTCATCCAGCAGCGGCTTCGACGTCCAGGAGATTAGTGTCAGTTCGGCGTGGGTAGCGCCTGAAGTAGTGTCCAAGGTGGTGAGTAGTAATAGCGCATCATCATCATCGCGAAGGACCAGAACTCCCCTCCTCAGCAGGTTCAGGAAAGCAAAGGCCTCAGCAAGCTCCGCGCTCTAGGATTTGTGTTATACTGTAGTAACTACCTCCTAGTGCTGTCGCCTCAGGCCTGTGGGCCTGTGGACAGGAGAGATGAGGTGACGTCGGCCTTCTGGTCTGGGGCCTCTGGGCAGAGGTCGATTGAGTTCTCGGAGAATCTTTGGTGAGCAGCGGGCCAATCGTAGATGTCAGATGGGCGACGGTGTCCTGGGGGGAGAAGAAGCCGCCTGGTCTCAGTGCTGCACAGGCTACACAGGCTGCACTCGCCTATCTGTATACAGGCAGGAGAGAGAGAGACTCTAGAGAGAAGCCGGGGGGAGGGGAGGGAGGGAGCGCGGAGAAATGGCGATCAAGGAGATCTCTCCATCTCGTAAATGATATGATTTGGAAGACATGCCTGAGGGTAGAACAGCGGTAATTGACCCTTTCTGTTCGTATGGCCCCTGCTTCGGTCTGGCGAAGTGACGCAGGCTCATCGGATTGAGCTTCTTGGCAGTGGTGAGAAAACGGAAGCGGATGAAGCCGCACGACTGCAACTACCATATCGGGAAGATGGGTGCTGGGCCGGCGTAAACATGCCTGGAGAAGCTCGGGGTACCTCCCTCCTAGGCTCCTAGGCTCCTACCGTGGGCGCTGTTTCGAATGTTCAAAGACGTCACGTGCTGGGGAGCAGTGGCTCCATGTTGGTCTCTTCGTACAGACTCCCTTTTGAGGAGCTCCTGATGCCTGATGGTGAGATCTGTCGCTGAGCCTGAGAGAGAGCCTGGCTGCCTGAGACAAGTCACTGAGACTACCAGGGCCAGGGATGGGAAAGCCATGGGGATGAGTACCTAGGTAAGGACCTAAGGTATGACCGATCCTGCTGGAGATTCAGATTTCCGATTCAGTACATGTACCTACCTCCTAGGCTCCTTCGTAGTGGAGAAGAGCGATCCCAGGAAGGCACAGGACGGCAGGTGTCGGGAATGGGAGGAGAGGCGGGCGCGATGTGATGATGGGCGACAAGGAGTAGGTAGTCCGGCAGACAAGTACGTACAGTAGTTGCCTATTAGTACCTACTATCGGTGGCGGTAGTGTCCACGGGCGTGTGGGTGTGTGGGTGGGTGGGTGTGCGTCGTCGCGTCGTGCCTACAGTACATACCTGACCTAAGGTACTTCCCAGTAGAAGAGGTGACGTGTAAATCATAATGTGGCCGCGGTCCAGTGGTTAGGCACTGGCGCATGATAACGGATCGGGAGGTACCGTATGTAGTGTCTACCTTAGTGAGGTGTGCCTAGTGTGGTTCACAGTATTCACTGTCCACGGAAATCATCAGCACTCAGCAGATCCCATCTAGTAAGGGTCAGGTAGATATTGGCGTATTGCTATTCTCTCATGCTGTCGACACTCAATAGGCGATAGCGTGTACCAACAGCCCTGGTCGTGCATAATGATTGCATTTCGATGATCCAGTATCTAAAATGTTTATTTCTGAGATGATTGTATCAAGTATCCAGCGATCCACGCCCAGTCACCCGGTGTATATATCCTGGCCCCTGTGGAGAAGGGGGATCCATCGACATGGTATCATCTCAGCTCAACTTGCCAGTGACAACAGACGGACAGGGATGGATTGCAAATTCAGGTGGCTTCTTCCCTGTCGTCTTGGCGCTCGTTTATGCACAACTCCCATGTGTCTCTCTGTTATTTGCCTACGAGCCCCCGTCCACACGTCCCTAGTGGCTCCCAGGGTGCTGTATACTGTATGCAGTTACATGTATCTTCCCGTAGTGGCACGTCAACGTCACTCACTAGGCTAGGTCCCTCCACGGCCAAATCGTAACCTCCGAATCGTTTAGTGAGAGAGTGGGAGTGGGCTCCTGCGCACCTGCTCCATCAGCAGCACCAGCACCAGCAGGAGAAGGAGCAGGAGCAGGAGCAGGCCAGGCAGGCAGGCAGGCAGGTGCATCCATCTCTCGCACCTGCACCTGCACCTCATATCCACTCCCACTAATGTACTGCTGCATATGCCCTTGTCCGGCATCTCTACCTACCTTACGGCCTCTCCTCTTGCTCTCGTGCACTCGCATCCAACTTCATGTATATATAAAGACTGACTCGTCACATCCTCCACCACGCCTCACTTTTGCTTGCCCACCTACCTGTACACGCTGTCTCTCACTGGCAGAACCAAACCACGATAACCTTACCCACCTCGCCGCCGTCTCCATCGCTCCCTTCTGCCCAGAGCGACGACCTAGATACAATACTACCTACCGCTGCTCTCACTGACCTGAACCATGTCATATTCGAAAGGTCTGCAGAACTTGGATCCTCCTCCCATACAAGAGCTACCAGCACAACAACTACAGCAACTACATCCACAAGAACCACATCAACAACAAGCACAACACGCACAACGGCTACATCAACATCAACAACAACAAGAGCAAGAGCAAGAACAAGAGCAACAGCAGCAGCAGCAGCAACAGCAACAGCAACAACGGCTGTGGCAACTGACAACGACAGACTGGCTCGCGACCTCGTTGGACGACTGGGATGCCGCCACGCTGCATTTCCAGTCATGCAACGACACTGTTCCTCGCATCCTCCAACAAGATCTGCTCCCTTCGACGACGAATTCCACTTACCACTACCCCGACCCTGGGCCTTTTGTAGGAGCTTTCTGTCTTGCTTGCTGGTATGCCGGCTCGAATCACTGACCATAACAGGAATTCCAATATCTGGACGGCGGCCTGCACACGGCCACGACGGCGACAATAAAGGCATCGCCACCAACATCACCTACCACTCTGCGTATGCAAGTCTCCAAATCACACCCACCCACAACTCTGATGGGCAGCGCCAATATAAACGGCAAGCGAGACTTCCGTCACCTCGACATGGCGCATTCGACAAGCTACACATACGGCACCACCATGTGCCCACCGAATCGCCCCTCATTGTCGTCAGCTACAACACCACCATCCACCACGCCTGCTCATGCGCACCACATCGACGATGTTCAGATCTATGAACCTGCCGATTATTGCTCCAAGCTGTCGAGCGTCTGCGAACAACCTGAACAGCCGCAAGTGGCCCCCACGAAGAGAGCGAGAGTTGATTGCTTTGATGAAAATCGGCGATCCTCTCACCCTGCCTTCGCTGCGTCCCACTTGTGCCCCTCTTCAGCGCATGACATCTCGCCTAGCACGAGTGTAGCGAGCCCTCATCACCTGTCCCCACCCTCATCGTACACGACAAGTGAAAACATGAGCAGACAGAGTAGTGTGACTAGTGCGTCGGTGAATGATGCTTTCGACATGATGCGCGTCGAGTCCTCCTTCTCCACCGCTGCTGCTTCTTCCCACACACCTCTGTTTCCTCTCGATGATATTGATAGTGCACCTTTCGTATCATGTTCGACACACATCAAAGAGCCCGCAGCTGTGAGTAGTCAGCATCCTACCCGCTTTTCATTTGACGGTAGTAGAGCCTCTCACTTGCTCAGCAATGTGGGCTATGGCTTAGTTAGTACGGATTTTTCTTTTCATGTGGGTCCAAGTATTTCTGATGATGCTGCTGCTGTTGGTGGCGGCGGCGAACAACAGCAGGCTCGCCATCCCTACACGACGAAGCTCGGTATTGCGGCATCACTGGCCCCAGCGCCAGGTGCGGAGCGCAGGCAGTCGGAACCTGTCAATTATTGCAGTGGTGCATCCACCGAGTGGAAGGATGTTGAGCGTCGAAGAAAACACATTGAGAATGCTCGTCAATCGATTGCTCCCAAGAACGAAGCGAAGACCAGCAAATCCCCAACGACTTCGACAACACCAGCAGGCAAGCAAGGTGGGGATGACAGCGCCAAAGGGAGCAATAAGCGCTCCAAACAAGCCATCTCCAAAGCCCCCTACATTCGGCCCCAACATCCCAAGCTCCGCTGCAACATGTGCAACGAGTTTCCCAATGGCTTTCGGGGTGAGCACGAACTTCGCCGCCACTGGGACCGCGCCCACGCCTCATCCAAGAAAGTCTGGATATGTACTGAGCCTACTACACGAACTGAGTGGTGGCCCGCTCGGCCATTGGCCATTTGCAAGCAATGCAAACAGCACAAGAACTATTCCGCGTATTACAATGCTGCAGCGCATCTGCGACGAGCGCATTTCTGTCCCAGGAAACGTGGAAGGAAGGCGCGAGGGGAGGAGAGGGAGTCGAGGGCTGGCAAAGCAGGTGGAGATTGGCCGCCTATCGAATGGCTGAAGGCGAATGGGTGGTTGAGAGAGATTGAGGTTGAGGCTGGGTCGGAAGCTGTCCCAGAGAATGCGTTTGGTATGACAGATGACGCAGGGAATGCTTTGGATGTGCCCACGAGTACCTCATATGCGACCACGGGTGTCGAGCAGGAGTATGCTGCGATGCCATCGCAACAACAACAACAGCAACAACAACAAGTCCAACATCAACCTTTGCCCACCACTACTGCCGAGCTATCGCCTTTCGGCATGGGTAGTATCCAAGCCTATCCACCTACTACGGATTTCAACAGCATGGACTATCCCACTACCACTAATCCCATGAACACGTCGAAATCCTGGTCGATGTCGACGATGCCTATAATGACTCCTGCCCTGCAACAACAACAACAGCAACAACAACAACAACAACACAACATGTCCGCTCCCGTCAACACGATGATGAACTTTGCAGCTCCTGGCATGAATCCATCTGCCGGTTTCGCACCCGACTATGTCAATTCGCAGGCGAATTGCATGTTTTGAGAGGGGGGTATGGACGGAAAAGAAAGGGGAAGTTAGAGCGGAGAAGGAAAGATGGATAGAGAGAGGGGGAGGAATAGAGAGGAGGCCTCGACATGGTCTGAAGAAGAAGAAGATACAGAAGAAGAATGAAGAATGATGTGTCAATGTAAATGTACAATCTTAATAATCAATAAATCCGTCATTCGTTCGAATTAGCTCAAGCAGAAGGAGATGAAGTTTTGCTGGCTGGTTGGTTGCTTGGGTGGTTGCTTGGCAATTCTGAGAACATGGGGATAATAATCATAATCATAATAGTAATAGTAACAGATACCGAATGAGAAGATGGATGGCGAGCGAGCGACTATTGTAGAAGTGTCACAATTCATTATGAGTTCCTTTATCAAGAGGATAGGGTGAATCGCAATAAAGCAAAGTTTTTTTGTTCAAAAATCATCTCTTGACTTTTGAAAACAACTTCCAAACGCAACAAGTTTCAGATGGGGTATCATAGGTAAGGTAGGCTCCAAAAAACAATCCTCGCTCATCGCTCTCAAAATTCAAAACTTACAATTCCATATCCGTCTCTTCACCATCATCATCATCGACTCTGCCCTTCTCCTCCTCCTTCCGCTGCTGCAGCATCGTAGACGACTCCCGTAGAGACCCACCATCACTATCACCACCACCCCTCTCCTCCTTCTCCTCCTTCCTCTCCAAAATCCTGATCCTCTCCTCCAATTCCACAATCCTCGCCTCTTTCGTCTTGATAACAGCCCTCGAAATATCTCTCCCCATTTTTACACCCTCCGTGCGTAAATCGTGTTTGGTCAAAATCGCTCGCAGTCTCCCTTTCACAGATAGCGGCAGCGGAATCGAGCGTAATACGCCAAAGACATCTTGCGTCAAGGTGTTTTCCGTGGAAGTGGCCAGAGAGTCTTTGAAGCGGGTTGGTGGGGATGGGGAGGAGGGCGGTTCGGGAATTTCTGGGAGGACTTGCTTTTGTTTGGGACGTGGAGGAGGGGTTGTTGTGGTCGTTTCTTCTGCTGCTGCTGAGGCTGCTGAGGCTGCTGCTGAGGTAGGAGCAACGTGGGTTGGTGGTGGTGGGTTTTCTTCTTCTGCTGCTGCTGCTGCTGCTGCCGGTTTATGCTTGGAAGGAGAAGTGGCAAAGTAGTCTCCAATGCTCTTCTTCAATGATACTGGTGTGGCGGGATCTTCGAGCCATGGGAGTCTCCGAGGGCTACGTGTTTGTTTTCCTGACTGATGTTCGGAACTGGGTGTGGCATAGACTCCCATAGTCGTTCGAGGCTTCTGTGGAGTTTGAAATATGGATTCATCGGCCACCCGTGCCAACTCTTCTTCCTCTTTGCTCGTCAATGTCCATGACTCGTCGTCGTAATCGTCGTCGTTGCCATCCTCCACAAAGCCAGCATCATGCGAACTGCGCTTGACACCAGCAGCATGCTGAAGCCCGACAGTCCTCGCAGCAGGCGTCGGAGACAGCGTCGGCGACGCAAAGCGCACGCTTCTCGACGGCCTCCCAGCACTCCATCCTTCTTGCGCCTCGTCGTTGCGTGGAGTTTCCTTCCCAGCGTTACTCAAGACACACGAGGCCTCGCGGACCTGAGCTTCTTCCGCCCACAAGAAAAAGCCGCATTCGTCCGTCTGCTGGCACGTGTAAAAGTATCTTCCCTTGTTCGGACTCTCCTTCTTGACGCAGAATCTTTCCGCCGGTAGTCGCGGAGTGCAGTCGCAGTACCAGATGCGGTCGAAGAGACCTTTGAGTCGGCCGGTGCGTCCGGGCCCGCCGCCTCCGCCTCCTCCTCGTCCCTTACTGTCGCCTCGACCTCTGCCTTGCCCTCTGCTTGCGCTTGCTCTTGCTCCACCACGATAATTACTGCGATACCGACTGGATGATTGTGGTTGTTGCATAGTGCATTGGCGTGTAGATGCGTGCCGCTGGAATATGCAAAGCCAGCGAGGAACGTGATACGGGCATGTTTGTTGTGGGAGATGTGGCTGGGACGGCAGCTTTATTAGAGGTGGCTGGGCTAGTTACGGGCTTTCCGCTACCAGGTGTGATCGCTTGCGCCGAGGAGAGAGAGCGATGGATGAGAGAGAACAGGAAAATCTGACTACATGCCATGACGGTATTCGCCTGATTTTGCTGATGATGAATATCGCATTACATTATCTCGATGAGCCAGCATCCTCATCACCAAGAACAGCCTCCTCCGTCGCCTTCGGGTATCGCATCTTCCTCAACTTCTTTCTCACTCTGCTTTCTCCTCCTCCTCCTCCTTCTCCTTGTCAGCTTCAGCTCTCTCCGTAGCCTTCGCTGGCTGGCTCTGCGCCTCCTCCGTCTCAGCAGAACGCGCTGGAACGTCCACAATGTCACTGCTCTTCCCCTTTGTTGTCTCATCTGCCTCGACTGTTTTTGCAACAGCCTCACTACTCCCTGTCGTATCGTCTATGGATGGCTCGCTGATCTTCAGTCCCTCGACTGCAGCACTGGCCTCTGGCACATCGTCCTCTCCTTGCTCTTCCTTATGACTCGGCTCGTTCCCCTTCTGGCTATTCACCTTGCTGGATGAAAGTTCCGGGGTAGGTGTTTTCGTCACCTTCCCATCTGCACTTTTCCCAAGAGCCATAGGTGTAGATTTGTCCCCACCACTAACTGCACTCGCCGATGCTGGTGGAGACGACTTCTTACTCCTGGCTGCAATCTCCGCAGCGCCCGGCAACGCGATTCCTTGACTTCTGCTCACCGGGGCAGGCGCAGCAGATTTTGCTGTCGTAGACGTGCCAGCAGCAGCAGGCGTGATGTTATGCGACAAGGCCGGTGCAGTCTGAACTCCCACAGGTCCTCCCTTGGGCACCGCGACATTTCCTGCAGGGACAGGTCCGATATTTTCTCTCAGTTCTCCAAATTCATTCCACTCTTCCACCTCGTTGAGATCCTAGTCTCCTCATTAGCTAAAAACATCTTTTCCCATCGCGTCTTTCCTCGTATTCTAAAAGTAGCACTGTTCTAGGCGGGTACGCACATACACCGACAACGAATCCCTCTTTTACCAAACCCGGTAATTTGCGTTTCCCAGCTCTCCTCTGCCACAGTCTTCTGGCCTGTTCATCTGTGGCAAGATCGATAGCTTGGAAAGGGATTTTATTGGCTTTGAGAATGGTTTCCATTCGTGAAGTTGCTGTTACAATGTGGGAGGAGCCTGCCGTGAGAGAAGTGTAGAGGAAGAGTCGAGGGTCTTTTTCAAGCGCAGTCAGGTCCATTGTGGAAGTCATTGTGGTTGGTGTTGTTGATGGTATAAGGAGAGGATGAATGTAGGAGAAGGTCGGTGAGAGGCGTCACTCGCATTCTTCGGGGGGAAAGAGCGGAAAAACGTTTAGACGAACTCATCAGATATCCCATCTAGGAGGTAGTAGCCTTTGGGATAATTATACATTCACACTACTACAAGATATTGCTCTTGTGAGGCATATTATAACAATACAGACACAGACCACTGTGTTCATCTCCTCGCTATAACGCTGATGTGTAACAGCCAAAGCTCAAAAGGGAAGATATTGCAGAACCTCAACGTTTGCAAATATTATCCCACACCTTCTTCAGTCCACGCTTCGAAGATCTGTCCTTGATCGCAAAGGCCCCCTGGCTTCCAGAGTGGTCGTCACAAATAACCAAGCTTGACAAGGCTAACGGATCTGGCCGTTCGAAATCGACGCCAAATACCTGCCTCCGCTGAGAAGAATCAGGTCTTGCTTCCTCGGGAGCTCGAAGATCTTCACGAGTGAGGGTCAATTTCAGAGTCATCTCACGCCCGTCAAGATCTGGCGTGATACTCCTTGCAATGTTGCCGATTTTCTTGGTGTGCAATGGCAATCCCAGCCCGGAGTCCATGGGGCCCTGAGGCATAGTCGAAGATGACTCCGTAGTGGTCTGCAGGGATCCATCGTGCTCATCGTTGTGCGACGAGTCGACAGATGGAAAGCCAAACTCAAGTGCCTCGTCAAACTTTTCAGGCGATGCAAGGAAGGCACGCAGCTTTGAACGTGCATCCGAATCGCCGTAGTATCGTGCCCTAGTGTCGTGTGAGCCATCTACAGGCGATGGAGTCGGAGTAGGTTCCTTCTCGCAAACCACATTGGGTTGTGGTAAAGGCGGTACAGCAGGCAGGAGCGTAGGTGGTGGCAGCGGCAATGGTGCCAGTGCGCGCTTGCGAGAGAAGGACTTGCGAGAGCTCGACCTTGGCAGGTCATCGATGGGTGATGATGCCATGGAACGTGACGAGGAGAAACTGCTTTGTCGCTGCTGGACATCACAGGTTCGAAGCAGGTTCGGCTCACTGCGTCTGAAGTCGACACTCATGGGTGTGTTTGCCCCATCCTCAAGCCAGTCCTTCTCCAGACCTGAAGTCTCCCTGGACCTTGATGATGCTGCGCTCATGCTACGATCACTGGATGACCAGGTGGGAGATCGACTGTGCTCTGCATGTAGCCTCCGCAGCGCTCGATTAGAACTTTGAGTCAGTAGCACTAGCTCCTCGGTGCTGAAGTGTGTTCGCTTGATCTTGTCAGGCAGCGCTAGAAATCGTAGCGCCTGCTCTTCACTGACGTCTTCGAGGAGTGGGACATCAGGATCGCTGAACAGTGGTCGAGGGCGCCATGAATGGGATGTTGATGGTCTGGTCCTCATGGTATCGACAGACTCACGTGGCGTCGACTGCCTTTGACGTCTCTGTGAAGCGGCTTGCTGGAGGAGTCTGAGGCGTTCTACAGATGAGAAGTATTTCTTTCTGTCTTGGGTATCAGTGACTGCTTGGGACTTCTGTCGAGTCTAGATGTGTGCTGAGGTGTGAGGAGATGACTTACTGAACGGAAGGTGGCAACACTTCATACTCATCCGGCGTGAGCTGAGTCGCCACAGCCATGGTAGGCAATGGATTCGCAGTGAGAGGCTCGCGAGGATCCAAGACGCCGGTGATTGGGAAGATAGAAGGTGGTTAATACAACAATGCTGCAAGGTGCCAGTGTAGTAGAGTCGGATTGAAGTGGGACCTTGCAGCAGAGGGGCACAATGCACACCGGATCCAAGGCAGTTGCGGTAGCGGCAGGAAGTCAGGTATAGGTATACGAGATGTGATGCAGTTTCTCTAGTCTCCGTCAACAACCCTCTCTCAGCCCTGCTGCTGTAGCGCCGTCAGCTGAGTGACATAGAGTTGGAGCCACGGAGCGAGAGAAGTAACGGTGGAAATACAATATTGGAGGTGAGGATGTAGGAGGTACACGATTCGCTTCATCGACTACCTACCTCCTCCCTACATACCTGAGAGGTACCTTAGCTTAGGTACAGCTCTGGTCAGCCCAGCTTCTCTCCGCCCAGCTCGCGCAGTCTCCGTTTCCTGGGCCGTACAACGTTGTAGTGCGCCACAACCAAGGCCATAGCAATAATAAGCTGGAGGAAGAATATTAATATTAATGCGGATGACAAGGAACGTCCTGAAGATCGATCCGGCAGCTACCTAGCGCACTGGGCGCGCGGCATGCGTTTCTTGATCCCGTCCGGCACCGTCAGATGTGCCCTCTCCCTCTGCACACTTGCTAGCCAAGCGACACGTTCTGTGCGTTGGCCGACAACACGGGCAATCGCTGATCGCGAACTCGAGTCTCGCTCTCTCTTTGCGTTGGGCAGATCTTCCTTGCCGACAGCTCGATGCGTCACGCCAGGAGATGGACAGTGTGTGTGGGCGAGCGGGTGCGTGGCATGTGTAGGTATCCTGTCATCCTCATCCTGACATCCAGGGACACCGGATGCGCAAGCGTAACGACGGTAACGTGTCTGCCTATCATCGTTGGTCGTAGTCACACTCGGGCTGAGGATGAGAAGTGAGGGCGATGGTCAGAACTCTAGGTACTGTCGCGACTCTGCGTCACCAGAAACGAGCAGGGGTTCAGGCTCAAACTTGGTGCCAGTTGGTGGATGTTTGGGACTCTGGATGACTAGGGCCGATCCAATATGCGGCTCGCGCTTAATTCCACTTCTGCGGAGGGGATCCAATGAATATGAGCGTGGAGCACCGCCCTTGCTTGAGATAATGGACACTGGGGCCGACTGCACTGTGAGCTCCAGCACACACACCACCTCCTACAGGACGTACCAGAGTACCTGATGTCGCTGGCAGCAGGCTCTCTCGCGTGGAACTGAGCAACAACCAATCTTACGCCCACGCCGGAACGTTTCGGATGCCGGCCGACGAGTGAACAGTCGCCGCTGCTCCGCACGATCCTGCAGATCACCAACCAAACTCAGAAACTCAGTCCAGCTTGTGAAACTATCTGGACGGCGAGAACGAGAAAGGTATGAGGTACCTGAGAAGGCTGAGATGTGGAAAGCATTGGCAGGAGAGGCGGTATCGTATATCGTTACATCGTACCTCCTAGCTCTACTCGAGTCAGCAGGCAAAAGCGAGGTATTGTTCCGATGTGTCATGAGACAACGTGCGAAGTACGAAGGATGACGAGCTACAAAGCAGGTCGCCGTCGCGGCCTATGTCGCCCGCTCTGCCTTCGGAACTTCCCTCCATACAATTTACATAGATAGAGCGCAATTGACTTGACGTTTGTTATGCTCTCTTTAGCTACATGTACTATGTCGCGCAGCATCATCGCTGATGATCGGGATCAAAACACGCAGCAACTGAACAGATTTCGCAAAGGCTCGTTCCATTGGATCCGCCTAGCTGATACCACAAGAAGATCGGCGTTATCCACATAGAGAGTCTAACCTAAGTATTCGAGGCAGAGTACAATGCTTTGACATCTAACGTCCGATCCAGGTTTCTGCAAGACTCCCGACATCCAGCTGTTGCCACGACCATAGAACTTATTCGCGTTGCTTACACATCTGATTAGTGAGCAGATGGCCATCGTTGTACAACATAAGAATGAGAATGCTCGAGCTCGAGCTCGCGATACCAAGAACTGCAATGTAGTGATTACTCAGGCTGAGAAAGTACTACCTGTGGTTATATGCTCGAGACTTTGAAACCAAGAACTAAGAACTGTGATACAGAGCTTGCTGTCCGGGAAACAAAAGTGTGATGCAAGGCCGTTATGCCAGTGATCGTGCGTCTCAAGCTTGACACAAACTCACTCAAGACATTGGGGATACTGCGGAGCATCTTGTTCAGTCCTAGACAGACTCTGAAGCCTCAACATTGCCGACCTTTTTCCCCTCGCCACGGACGTCTACAGCCTTCTGGCTCCTCGCTCGAATCTGCCCGACATTACGCCTTCGCCTTCGCCAAATGAGACTATGATGCACGGATCTCTCCCACCGCCGCAGAAATGGATACATCGCATGGCTGTAGCAGTACTCCCAGTAAAAAGTCTTCGACAGGAAATGGAGTTACTCCCGCAGGCTCTAACAGTAGCTCAAGCCCCACCGTCTCGGACTCATCCCCGCAAACAGTGCCTGCAGATTCGCTGACTCCTCATGAGACAAGATCCCGTCTGTTGCCACGTAGTAGTGACATAGATTTGATACAGAGCAACAAAAATATTGATCAGGGGCCCTGCTATCAGGATACATTTCTGAATACTACCTGTAGTAGCTGGAGTAGACGGACGTGTAGAGCATGGCATACTGACGGCACCAGTGCTTAGTAGGGGAGAGCGCTGTTTTGGTGGTCGACGCGCGACATGAAAGATTATGCAGTTCCAGACAACCAATGGCCTTCTGAGACGTGCTTTTGTTAATGGACGACGATTATGAGATATCAGACATTGTGTGCCAGTGTGGTCTAATATTGATATACGAAATGTGTTGAACACGAAAAAGACGCGTGACGCGCCAAGACTATTGCCATGACGAAGTAACCGTGCCATGCTACGTACGCAAATCCAATAAGATAGAATTACGAAAACATACCCAAATCAGTAGTAGAAAGCGATATTCTGTCTCTTAGAGTGTATCTTATAATATACCGCTATCTCTATATCGAAATTCAAAGTGTTGATGTTGCTGTCGCTATCGCGCTGTTTATTAATCGAAGCCAACTATATTACGTCAGTACGTAAGTACCTAGAGCCTTAATTGACTATCTATATCAGCGTTACCGCTACCTCCTAGCAATACCTATACGAGTATATCTCGACATAGAGACAATAGTCTATTATAATTCAATCTCCAATAGACGGAATGCCGCCTTTTACTACTGATTTGGGTGTGTTTTCGTAATTCTATCTCTCGGGGCCTAGGTTGGGGCATGGCACGGTTACTTCGTCATGACAGTAACTTAGACTTGACTTCTATATGCCAAGAACTCCAGGAGCACCTGCAGTCACTGGGCATCTCCTCCCCATTCCTATACCTCTTACCTCCAACCACGACTGAGATTCTTTCCGCGACCCTGACCAAGCGGGATGTCAATCTCTTTCAAGAAGACAATGGCGCCTTTCGTCTCGTACGCTCTTCTTCTTCTTCACTTACGTCGACACCAATGGGCGGCGGGCATAGGCAGGTGAAAGGCCCACAATATACGAAAATAACGATTTGACCGACCAAGACCTTCGAACAAAATTGCGAAAGATGATAGAAGATTTCCAAGCTTCCAATGTCGCGGAACTGGTTATGAAGCGACTACCAATATATTACTTGCTCGAGGAATTCGGCGGAAGCATCGTTCCGCAGATGTTTCTGGATGAGGTTAAGTGATGGGTTTCCTGGCTGGCCACATCAAACGAGATCGCTTCACTGGCATTGATCTCCCGCGGTATAATGTGGAGAGTCAACCTGTAAGCAGGTATCCTACATGCACTTGGTTGTTTGTAAGAACAAGCTGCATGAAATTTTCGGTACCGACCAACTGCGTTTGTTGTCTTACTATCTTACAGCAAACGTGTCGTAGTCGTGAGTGAACAGTGCCGTTAGCTAATTCCAACGAGCTTTCAAGAGGCACAACTATGGCATGTATTGGTAAGTACCACCAATTCACTTTGATTTTGATTCGACTAAGGCAATCTCAACTTAGATAGGGTCATAGGGAATGGCGCCTCCAATCACGACAGAAGACTACTACAGGGTGCTCGAAGTGAGCCAGACCGCTACAACTGAACTGATCAGGAAATCGTATTTACGACTAGCGCTCAAGCATCATCCGGACCGCAATGGTTCGAAAGAGGGCTTCCAATTGGTATGTCGTTCTCCAATTGCTACAGTAGTGGCACTGATGGCAGCGAACTGAGACCCTTATCCGTGCGCACAGCAATCTTGCTCACTTTAAGTTTATAGCTAGTCCAGGCCTATGAGACCCTGAACGATGAGAACAGGCGCCGACAATATGACCTCCTCTATCCCTCCATCAATGCAAATCGTTCGAGCGCACAGAGTGCCTCTGACGAGGCCGCTCAAATTGTCGCACTTCGAAAATTGAATGAAGAACGTATTACACGATGGAGGCTCACGCGGAGCATTTTAGACTCTGCAATCTTTGAGTTGCAGCGAAGCATTAGAAGACAACAGAATGTTGTCGACGTCCTTGCAGGTATCATTTCAAAGGCGGAAGCTGCTGAAGATGCGCAGAAGAAGAACTGGGGAATATGGTTTTTTAATCAAGTTTTCAAGACGGCTGTTGCGAGAAAGTATGAAATAGCACGCAAAGACAGGCAGAGACAAGAGCGAAGAATTGAAAAAGATTTCAAGGAGCGAAAAATAGAAACGCTAAAAGCACAATTGCAGGAAAAGGAGAAGATGTTGCAGCAAAGCGAGAAAGAAAATAGTGCCGCGGATGCGCGTCACGACCTGGCATTACGAGCTGCAGAGGCCAGAATCCGGCAGAGGAGAGCTGGGGAACAACAGCAGCAGAATAGCAAAGCAGCTGAGACGGAGAGAATGGAAAAGGCTCGAAGAGAGGAACAAGCGCGGCAGCAGGAGAAGCGAGCGCGAGAAGCAACAGAAACATGGAGACAACAGCAATCCCGCGCACCAACAGCCTCAACAGCGCCCAACGATCCCCCCAACAGACAAGCCGAGCAAACCCCTGCCTACGACTGGTTCAGAAGTACTAGGCCTACTTTTACCCACTCCCCCCATCAGACTCCCCCATCGATTTGCACCCACGGTGGCTGGTGGGACAAAGTGCAAGGCCGAACGACTTGCACCGAGTGCGACGAAGTGTGGACATATCTGCTGATGTGCCCCGGGTGTGGCAAACAAGCATGTCCGAAGTGTCAACGGGATTTCCGACCCCAGTTTCCTGATAGAGCTGCAACAACAAGAGGCGGTCGAAAAGGAAAAAAAGGTCGGAACGGATGACTGAGATTCTCGTCGGGGTCGTCGAGCTAGATATTTAGACTTGATACTAGGTAAGCAAGGTACGTGATCCATTATATGTTGTAGGTCTCCAGCTACAAAGTACTACTAAAGTCTCAGGTATCCCTACTGCCTAGGTGTATACAAGCTACTGTAAGAGGAAGGTACCTACACATAAGGTGACGAGTCTATTGTTTGAATTCCTTACACTATCTTAACTCCTCTCTTCCTATTCGTCTCTGGGTATAACAAATCATCACAATAATAATACATACATACATACTTTCGTCACATAGCGACTCTCTTCACCCGCTATGTCTACCCAACTCCTCCTCCTCCTCCTACTGTTCATCAGGCATAGCATACCAAAAATCCCCATCTTCAATGCCCTCTCGACTCGGCACGGGTCGAAAGGCGACTTGTTCACCTTTGGCACTCCTCTCTAGCGCATCCCAGTCGACATCCTCCCATCGGAGATTCAGCATGCGTAATCGCACGCCCCAGTCTTCAATCATCGCGACGAGACGAGCAGTGTCCTTTGTGATGGGGGATTGATTCAACAGCATGAGGAGCCCGTCGAGCCATTCGGAGGCCAAGTGAGAGGTTTGCGGGAACAGTTCGAGGAGGACGAGCTCATTCTCTCGATTGGGAGCAGCGAATCTTCCTTCTAATGTGGGCGTGCCGAGGACGGTGATTTTCGTGGTAGAAGTCTTTGCAGAGCCGCCGCGTGCGGACGTCGGTAGCGTTTCGGTGCCTTTGTCGTCGGCTTTGAGAGCGGTGGCAGGTCGAGGTGCCTCTGGACCTGAGACGTTGCTGTCTACGGAAGTAACGTTGTTCAGATCGATCTTTTCAGGTAAATCTGCCATGGATGGCGCCACCTCGGCCTGGGCTGGGAAATTCTGGTAGTGTAGCCATCTTCGATTATGGCTGAGTCGAACATATCGCCAGGAGGTGTCATCGGCTGCTGCGGAGGCGGGAAACCACGAGCCTTGTAGCAAGCAACGTATGCGCTGCTCTCGCATGAACTGTAAGCTTTCTTGGCGCAATTGCTCACGCACTTCGACGAGATGTGGACCCCAGGCATCCTGATATACGTCGTTGAGGTTCTCCATCTGCCATTTTCGGGCTGTGCTGAGACTAGCGAGGCGGAGGTCGTCTTCGACTCTTGCAATGTCTGTTTTGCGTCCCGCCGTGCCGATGATTCGTTCGACCACGACTCGCACAACCTCTTCGATCTTGTAAATGTCCTGGTGCTCAGCCCCAGCGTCCTTCCACAGTCGGATGAATGTATTCAAGGACGCTGTATGAAGTCGACCCCATTGCAAGAGCAGAGGCTTGTATAACCTGTCAACGCTCTGATCGCGGTGGAAACTGTTCCGATACCCGGGCAAATCGCCAGTGGTGCTGTCGTCAATCTCGAATAGCTCGTACAGCACCAATGTCACGCACAGACTCGCGCGAGCGATCGGGCAACGCTGCTCCCTCGGAATCGTAGACTGCTCCAGGAGTGTTTTCTGAAACGTCTCCTCGTTCCGCCGTGTATAGTCCACCAGATCCATCATGCCGAGATAGCCCGTCTCATCAAACTCCCAAGCTGGGGATTCGGTCTCAAACCCAAGCCGTCGCCACTTCTCGGGATGGTGCTTACGGGCCTTGACTCCGTTTGTTCCAGGAGGTGGTGAGTACGGCTCTGGATTGCTGAGCAAATGTATCGTCTTCAACGCGCGCTTGTGTTCTGCCAACTCCACATTCACCATGACATCTCTCCACTTCCGGAGCAGTAACTTGGTCAGATCCTGGAATTCCAGCACAGCAATCGCCAAAGGACTGTCGGCATAATTCGCAGCATCGCCCCTCATTAACATTCCCACCGAGCCGATCACTCCCAAATCTTGCAAACTCTTGACGAACTTGGGCCATTCGTGCTCCGCACCATTGAGTACGGCATCGCGCATCAAGGCGTTGACCAGCTGCAGCGCATTGGCGCATAATTGGTGATCCGAGGCGCTCAAACGCCGTACGAGTGACTCCAGAAATTGCGGATGTTGTTCCAACGCAGGTCGAATCGCGCGAAATCCATAGATGGCCGAACTCTCGTCGTCCTGCCCAGCAACAACGGGCCGTGAAACGACGAGTACGAGGAGGAAGAGGGCGTTTCGCACGATGTTGACGAGAGGGTGTGATATCGAGAGGGAAAGCGCCTGCAATCCGTCGTCAGATCTGTCTACCTCCTTGTTCACTGACACCTCCACCGCCACAGAGGAGAAGTCATGTCTGTATGTATGTATACCTTTTCTACAATCTCGCGATCACAGCACTCCCATCCCATATCGAGCTCTAGCAGAGCGTCCAAACTTCCCAGCGCGTATGCCTGGGTGTTACCGGTGGTATCGAGGACAGCGCGTCGGAGCGCGGGAAGGCCTTCATACTGGATAAAGGCGTCGGCGAAGGAAGGATCGCGCAGGAGTCCCTTCAGCTTGAATACAGCATATTTTCTGGCGCTTTCGCTGTCGGCGTTCAGACTCGAGACCAGCGTCGCGACATCTGTGGGCTCTTCCATTCTTTGCGTGGCACTGGGATTCCGAAGCACACGACCGAAGATGCCGAATACGGTATGGGCAGAGGCAGTGGAACGCGCGAGACCATGGCGTGAGGGAGCAGGTCGAGATGAATATGAGCGACGCGTGCCATGAGTCGGGCGTGAACTGGGGTGGGTGTAATAGGTACCTCTTGAGGTACAGTACTAGGTGGTAGGCGCTAGCCAAACTGGGTGGACATAAGAGTGCAGCGTCCACGTGACCATGCATGACAGTGCAAGGTTTGGTTCCATCGAATCCTCAAACAGCACCGGAATATCGTCGATTACGCCTTTTTGCTGGGCAGACCTCTACACATGAAGCACGCACGGGTGGCGACAAGGCGCGGAGAGATGGGCGTGCGGGCATGAAAGTGGTCATTCAGCGGGTGCGTATCATTCGATGGCTGTACACAGAGCGTTCTATCTGTACCGATCCGTGGACAGCGACACTGCGCTGATAGCTACAATAACACATCTTGGACAGCAGTGGCCATGGGTTTGCATCGTCGTGGTCTGAGTACACGCCGGGCAACCAACACCGGGACCGTGGTCACAGTGCGAGCCAGATGAGAGAGAGAGAGAGAGAGAGAGAGAGAGAGAGAGCATACGTCAGTCACTTTCTCCAGCCCACGTTCCTATAACAGTCATGTCAGCAACAATACCATCTCGGTGAGAACACAACAAACATACCAGATGACATGCGCAATGTCCCGTGCCGTGTTGATCGTCTCACTGACCCGACCAAACAAGCCTGCGGCGACGATATCGTCCTCGTCTTCATCCACTGGCATGAACATTCCGCTGGGCGTCCTTCGCATGCCCTCCACCTGGAAATCGAATTGCTCCGCCGGCGCTGCAGTATTGCGTCGTGTGCGGCGAGTGTCTGCCGCTTCTCTATGGGAGAGGGAGCCCGATGCACCCAGACTGGATTTGGGATTGGTGGCACCAAAGCTCCACGACGAGTCCGAATCGATTTCGTCTTCGGCATCATCATCTGTAGGGAGTAAGAAATTGTTGAGTGGGTTCGTGGGCCGCAATGTTTCCTGCGATGGGCTCGGTGAGAGATTTCCGGTGCTCCACGAGCGCCCGAATGTATGGTGCTGTGCTTCCTCGGTGATGTCGGGACTATCGGTGCGGTATTTCAATGTCGTGGCGGGTAACGTTTCGATGATTTTCCTTCCACTGGTGGCCGAGTTGTTTCTGCTCCCAGTAGGTCTTCGTTTCGCGGTCGCACGCCGTTTGCGCTTCATCATGACGATTCCTTCATCACTGCTCGAATCGGATACTGCATGCTCACCGTGCGCTTCTTCGTCCTCAATTTCCTCGTCATCGTCTTCATCCAGACCCGTGTATTTGCAATCAACCGCTATGCATTGCTCCACACGGTCATCGAAGCGAATGTGGCGTTTCTCGTGACTCTCGTAGGGAGTCCCCACGCCACTCGTGCTATGGCTCGTGAAATAGTCCATCTGGTCTCTGCTGGGGATTTCAGATTGCAGTTTCGAGTCAATCACGTCGGGACCAGCTCGCCGCCAGTGGCAACCTTGAGATTGCGCCGATGCCGCAGCTTGCTTGACCAGTGACGAGGTCGATAACGACTTTTGCAGCATGACCTCCGACATGCTTCGCTTCTTCAATATTGGTTTCTTGTTGACGAACGAATTGTTCGTGGACAGGCGCGAGGCAGAATTAGTGCCCGAATGATGCGTGATGGGGTACGAAGCTGCGACCTTGAGTGGGCCATACAACCAGGTCACGTCAGACTCCTTGAGCCAGTTCAGTCTTTCGGGTGAGACTGTGCGTAGATCAAACTTGGTTTTGGCCCACGTCCGCCAAGAAGCGTTCTCGAGCCTCGACCTTTCCCCATACACCGTCTTTCGTTGGGAAACAATATTCCTCCATGACGACCAGATGTCTTCTTCTCTCCATTCGTGACTGAGAAAGTCCACTTGCCGCGATGGTTCCTGCCTCACAGCGGTATCGTCCACCACTGTCGGTGTCGACAGTGGCGACTCTGATATCGTGGTGTTGGCGGGAGACTCGATCGGCTCGTCATGACATTTGCCGTTGGTCTCCGCTACTACTGATGAGTCTGTGGGGAGACCAAAGTCCCCGTCGTAACCATCATAGTTGGGGAAAGTGATGTCGGTATCCTCGCTCGTGTCACTGGTTACCGAAGAATCACTGCTGGTGGTGACAGAGTCGTCCACGGTGTGATTGGAGATGGTGGAAAACGAGTCCGTCGTGGAGTGCGTAGGCAGCGGACAAGTCCATTGTGAGGGATGATTGTGCAGGGTCTCCTGGTGCTCTGCATGAGGTGTGTATGCGGTGCGTGGGCTGGCGGTGCTCGATGAATCTTTGTCGAAGAACAGAGAGGGTGAGGATGCTGAGCTTTTCAGAGAACCCGAGCGCTGGTAATACGGAGACCTATCTGGCTGCATGGGGAGGCTCAAACATTCCGTCATGGCGTCCAATGGCTCCGTTCAAAGCATACGGCACACGGCGAGCGGACGGGTCAATCCAAGCGAGTGTGGACGCCGCAATGGCCAGTGGCGGTGTCTGCTGAGGATGCTACTCCTCTCCCTCCTTACTGATGCAGCATTGGCTTCCCGTTCTGCGCCCAGTGCCGAAGTCGAGGTGTGTGCTGGCTGCTACGATACGGCAAGAAAGGTGTTCGAGAGGGCAGGACGGTGGCAGTGGTCACGATAGGCGTGCGACGTGAGAGTACAGCTCGGGGCTCGGGCAAGGTCTGGGCTCGTCCTGGGGCCGATATGAGAGAGTGCGACGGGTGGAGGGTTTGGTTGGAGGCGGTCAAAGGCTCGGAGGGGGCCTATAGCGAACAATTTCAGCGACGAGGGTGGTGGTGTCAGTGTGGCCGTGTGGGTAGGTATGAAGCCTGGTGGTAGTAGTAGTAGTGGTCGGAAAGTCGTGGATGTGGGAGATGTTGTAGGAGGGTAAGGTAGGTAGGTAGGTAGTAGGTGAGGTGATGTGGGCCTCAGAGTTGGAAGTTTCTACAGGACCTTTCCGGTTCGTCTGGAGGAGGACCAGCATGAACGGGAGTACCGTGCCTTGATCTAGACCAGCGTCTGCGCGAGGCCGCTCCTGCAATGCACAATTAAGAAGAAGAATAATAATACTAAGGTAATAATTAGACACCCAAACTACGGGAGCACAGTGGAGACTGCCAACGACTGGAGACGACTAGGTAGTGGATAGGGTGCGTGCGTGCGTGCGTGCGTGCGTGGAGGGATGAAAATTGGGGCTGGCTCGGCGAAAATGGCGGCGGTCGTGTAGTAGGGGGAAGTCTGCGGAGGGTGAGCACAGGAGACAGGGCCCAGCCGGTACAGGCAGACTCAAGTCACTCACTTCCTCTGCGCGCGCGACGCCGTTTCAGCCAATGGCACTCCATGACATGCGCCGTATGCGGGGAAAGGCAGGGATGGCATCGTCTTGGTCCTCTTGGAGTCTCTGGATCGAGCAATCCGCGACCAGGTGTCACAACCTGCTCCTATACTACATGTATGATGTACCTACTACCTACATTACCTACCTATCTCCTGTACTCACCTACTGCTACTACCGCTGAGACCCCGACCACGATGGACGACATGAGGCCGTGTACATACATACATCCATCCATCCATACATATAGACTGATAGAGTACAGTGTTGTGCAATGCCTGCTGTAGCGCCCACTGTTCACGGGCTCCCTGTCTGTCGGAGCCTGCAGCGCCGAATGCTGTGGTATCGATCTTGACCGACCGACCTTACTCACCCTACCTACCAGCCGCAGCCGTCTACTACCGTGTGTGTACTGCTGCCGAGATGACGGTACCGAGTAATCACAATCATCATGACAGCGGCGGCTACCACACATCAAACAGCAGTGAGAGGTAGCATAGTCTCCCGTCCATGCCAGCGGTGGATCCCCCTGTGTGGTTGCGGGTGGGTGGCACTGGGTGCCCGCCTACTGACTGCCCATCCATGTTGGGAGTAGAGTCTCACAGTAGACTCCGGAGGAGGAGGACGCCACGGCCGTTTGCAGACAGCTCCACCCGGGAGAGAGGAAGTGCATCTTTGAGGCTTGACTACAGTAGTAACGGGGTACCTCCTCGATTGCAAAGGCAGAATCATGTTGGTTCCATCGACCAAACCCCATCTGCCGATCGGCGTGCCACGATCCGCCCTGTGGTCCTGTGCGCTACGTGCGGGAACAGCAATGGCAATGTCATGGCCGGTGCCACCACGACTTCACCTGGCACAAGGCTGCATAAGCATTCTCTCAATCTCTCCTCCCTCGGACCCTCCTATACTCTGTGAGTCTGTGTTGACTGGGCGGAAAACGGGGCACAGCAAATCGCTGTCTAGTGCTCATCTCGTCTTCGACCTTCCGAGGCCACACTGCCATAACCTGACAGGAGGTTCCCAAAAACGACAAAGCCTTTCCTTGTTCGTCTTCCATCCGAATCCGCGTCCACGCCACGAAGGCGCTATTGTCGCAAATGCTGACTGACCCCAGAGGGTGACTTTTGACTGTAGGTGAGCTCATACATGCATCCCCCGCCTTACACCAACCATGGCTTGACCAACTCTCTTTCTTTCTTTCTCTCAGGTAGGTATCTCTCTCTATCTCTATCTCACTGACTCTCATAGTCGATGAAACACTGCACACAGCACGATCCACGCAACTCTAAATCCTTATCATCTCATCGCAGGAAGCATTCCCAATAGACTCGAGACAAGTAACGAGCTCGCCCGGTGCACTATAGCCATGGCCATGAACATGAACGATGGATCTCACCCCCCTCAACAACAACAGGGATGATAGAAAAAAAGAGGTGCAGGCTGCAGCTGTCCCAGATGTACCTTTTCAACGTTTTTCATCCGACCACTCACAAGTCCTCTCAACCGCATTGGAAAAAACTTACTCACACACAGCTTCCAAACACGCTCCGCTCCTAGGCTTCCTAGTTCGACCAAGACACGCACACAATTGCTGATAACACGACCGCTATCATACCTACCTTAAGTATACATTATACAATGATGAGAGAGAGAGATTGTGAGTGCGCCCGTTCGTTTTACACTTTCACTTTTATGCCCCATCCCCATATCGGAGCCCCATATCGGAAGAGTCTTTCGCAATGACCCATTACCTCTTGAAAATTGAATTATGATCTATTTTATCGCGCGCGGGCGCTTGGGTTGTTCGCGATTGATCAAACTCCACACTACCTATGCCGCGCCTTGCATCGCACTAGGGCTGTGACGTGCATATAAACTGATGCCCTGCCTGCCATGCCATGGCCTATAGAGGCTTGTGAGAGAATTCGCTCGTGCTGCCGTGCATACATCTGCATAGCCGCTGTCGAGAAAAAGAAAATGAGGGTTCGTCTCCCAATAATGCTATCTTTCCAGTTATCTAGTAGTAGTAAGGTAAGGTAAGGTAGTCCTCCTATTAGCCCTGGTACAATAGCTACCGGCCGCTCTCACCGTGCCACGCCGGAATTTTTTATGAGCTGTAGGTTATGTACTTTATTCATTAGGAGGTAAGAGTCATCATCATCATCATCATGCAGGACATTTTTTTAGTACCAAACTACCTGCAACGTGCAAAAAGATAGCTAGTAGTGAATCGATAAAGCTAGTAAGAGGGTACAGTACCGCCCGCAACGACCCTTGGAACGTCGAGTCGTTGTTTATCAAAAGATAAGGAAAGAACAGACTCTTGTGTCGTCGTCGTGCAAATTTTTGTGTACAACGTACCACGCGAGTGAGTGGTTTCTCATCTACCTTACCTTACCTTAGGAGGTTCAGGTAGTACTCATCTCATCTCATCTCACCTCTCCCCTCTCAACCACATACAACCACCTACTGTATATAGGAGGTACAAACTACCTTACCGGCCGGGCCCTCATCATCTCAACCATTACCCCCCGTTTCCGTTTCCGTTTCGGGAACCTCCTCGTCCAGATTCTACCTCCTCCTATATACAAACAAAACTCCAAATCCAGCGACCTTTTTTGTATGTACATATCTAGGAGGTAGCATGTGAAAGCCGCGCCTCTCCGTTTACCTAAGGTAGGTAATGTATATATCAAAAATCTCTCGGCTTCATTTCCACTTACTCCCGCTTTTTTTCCCTTTGTTCCCGCCCGCCAGCCCATTTTTATCGCTTTCGATTGCCTGTTTAGGGTATTTTGGATCTGAACCCCATTTTTGGGGTTGTTGTTGTTGGAAAGATATGTATAGATAGATAGATGGATGGAGGTAGGTATCCGAGAGAGAAAAGAATTTCCCAACGAGCGCGTATTGCGGTCGTACTACGGAGGGATTATTATTGTTATTGTTATCGTTTTATCATCGTTGAGCATTGAGACTCCGAGCATTGAGAGCATTGATTGTATGTAGCATTCATACCTTAGGTACACACAGTTCCTGTTATTGTCGCACTGTGCTGTAGGTATGTGCGCGTGTACACTACCTTTAGGTACATGTATGTAATAATGTTGTGCCCTTTTTTGTTGTCATTATGCATAAGCCATTGTACAACTTCTCTTTCCCTCTCACACTTCTGTTCCCTTCCGCTCCACGTTCAATCGCATGCATGCATAAGGTACCTATGTACAACTCGGCGCCGAACTTTTCTTCTGGTTCGGTGTTCCCTCCTACTACATCTGCATGCATATTCACGGCTCCAGTTTTAAAGAAAATGTCGTGTCACCTCTTGTGTGTTGTAACTTTTTTCTTTTCTTTCTTTATATACATACATCAGGTACATACATACAGTATATATTAATTGCACTGCAGGCTGCAGCCGCCACAGTCTTTCGGCTTTGTCCAGTTTAGTCCAGTGACTCCAGTCTAGTATCGGTACCCACTTGAACAAAAAAGATGGAGCCGAGGTACTTACTTGCCTACTGTTTTTTTGTGGGTAAAGAAGAAAAAAAGGATTGTTGTGGAGGAGGAAGAGGCGAGGCGAGGAGAGGAGAGGGGCGAGGAGGATGGAGGATTTGGGGGAGGCAATTTTTTCGAAGCGATGGTAGGAGGTAGGTAGGTAGGTAGATTTGAAGTTGCACGAGCACGACTATACCGAGTTGATTCAAATGGCAAAAGGTAAACAAGAGCAAAGACAGAGATGTAGTCTTGTCGCAGCCGTTTTCATGGCGCGAAAAAAAGAGGGCATCCTGATGGTAAGGCAAGGTAGGTAGGTAGTCAAAATTCTCCTTTTGCCGAACCAGAAGACAAGTCCATGAAACCTCTCTCGCTCGCTAGGAGGTATTCTCGCTAGGAGGTATAGAGAGAGAGATGTACCTAGTACATGTACTTCACTCACTGTGAGCCGATATCCTTCGCGGGCCCGAAATGGGGGAACGCACATACGTAGATACTGATATATCAGCTGATCAATCATTCCATGTCGGCATACCCACCTGCCTAGAAGGTACCTACAGCGCTTCATTTCGATGAATTGTCCACCATTAGAAAGGTAAGGTAAGGTAGGTACTATTTTTGTACTTCCAATATCGACGACTACTTACTCCTGATGACCACTCGTCATATATTCAATCCCCGCCTGGTAGATTTGTGCATACACTTCGACCTCTGCCACATTTCGGGGCACATATAGCATCGTATAGCCCAGATGCAGCGTCTCTGTCCCGCTCAATCGATGTCTCTCTCCCCAGCCTTTGCCAATGACTTCTCTTGCATCGGCAAAACTCAACGTCACATGGCCCGACAAATCCGAGCGGTGCACATGGCAGATTTCGCCTTTCGAAGAGGATATCAGCGGCGTGACGGGATCTTGTAAAAACAGCGCGCGACCATGTTTCTCCAAGACAGAAGTTTTCCATTCTACTCTCGAATTGACCTCGCCCAGCTGCTCAAAGGCAGTCTGATAGGCTGCTTGGACCTGTGCATCTTGTGGCTCCCCGTCGTTTCGTTCGCGTTGCGGAAACACGAAATGTTTGGCTCGTGATCGAGGGCCTGGTCGCTCTGGCAGTGGCTGTTTTAAAAAGCATGTCTGCGCTGCTCGGCGCTGTGCTTCTGTGGCCTCCTTCCAGCCTTTTGCATACTGCTCGGGAGAGTCGTAGAGCGCGAGATTGGTCGTGTCGTCTCGTGCTTGAGTGATTTCGGCTTTCTTGCACAACATGAAACCATTCCAGTCGAATGGAGCTCCTCCTGGTCCCACAGCGCGCCATTGTTGGTATTCTTCCACCAAAGCTGGGCTGGCTTCTGCCTCGGAGCTGGTCAGGGAGTCCATGTCGAGCCTCGAGGGCAGGTGAATCAGCTAGGAGGGTGTAGGATGATGACAGGGCGTGGAGAGCGAGCGGATGTGATATCGTCGCGTCTGTAGTCAGCAGCAGTCTGGCACAACGTCGTCGTGCAGGCCTACCTGGAGCGGTTGTGCGTGCTATAGTAAGGTAAACTTGTAAGTAGGTACCTTAGTCCTATCCTGTGAAGTCTATCCTGCATCTGGCTGACGAATATCGGATGTGCTCCCGCATGCAACGACACGCCTGTTTGCTTCGTCAGCTGCGAGTCGACGAATGACCAGTATAGCAATGCCAGAGGTTCTCAGTCTTTATGCGGTGTCTGTGTTGAAACTTGGAAATGATTCAAATGAATGCTCATCTGCCTCACCCGGCAGCGCAGGGATAAAGGCCGCGTTTTTGGCTCATTTGCTTGGCCATCCCGTCTCTTCTCCTCTCTCATCTTCTTCCTCCGACTCTCCATGTAAATAATCAATTTAATCAATTAATTCTACTTGTCCACCAGACCATCCTGATTCCTATATGTTTCCTGATCGGAACCTTGCCGAGGACTGAAGATTGCCGCAACAACCGTACCGCACTCCAGACGCCACACACCATTGAGCCGCTTGAGGCTGCGTCATGCTTGAACTCATCACAAATTGCAAGCATCCTTAATATTATGTACTTTCAACTAGAAAGAAGAAAAAAAAAGGGCAATGAGCTGCCGTTCGAGGCAGATATGACCACTCTCAGTATGCATCGCCAGAGATGCTGCTGCGTGGCGACCAGAATTGTCGTTTTTGATATAAGCATAAAGTAGGTATACCGACTCACTCATTTCCCCCCAAGGCATCATTTCGTCAAGGCTCATGGACAAGCCCTCGTGCAGCGCGCCGAGCAGCAAGGGTGGGCTATTTGGTGAGGGGAATGGCCATATTCTCTACATTGACAACGCTGAATGTTGCTGTATGCGTCTGATCATTCTGGTGGCGTTGTCAAATTGCAAAAGGCCAAGGGAGGAGAGAGGAGAGCGAGACTCGTCCTAAACCGTAATTGTCAGTGATGTGTATTGCTATTAACCCGAAGCGCAAAGCAGCAGAGCAAAACACACGGAGGACTAAGGCCCCGTCTACTCTGTCGATATGTAAATAGTTAAATTGTCGATAGTTGTCGGAAATTATAGTTAGCGTCCAACTGTCGATAGTAACGATAGCTAAGTAGATATATATTAATAGTTCTATAGGGATACCCTTGTCTCCGCGCCGTCGTCGCTATAGAACCGACGGTATTACCGCCTTAGCTAATAACACACTATTATCCGAGACGTATCGTACCTCCTACGTATTATTCTATTATCTATCTCTATTAATAGACGCGTTATATCGGCCGAGTTCTACTATTTTATCTACCTCTTTCTAGCCGTTACTATTATTATTATACCGCCTATACCGCTAAGCGCTACTAAGAAGCCCCGAGGCGTTAAAAAACCGAGAACCGCGACTTAAACAAAGGCCGCTACTAGGCGTAAAGCGGTATACGACGCGAAGAAGGCAAAGGACGTACTAAAATACCCTAAATTATCGTAGTATAACGATACTTATATCGACTTCTTTTTAAGGCGTTTAATCGATTCTAAGGCTAAACAGATATATAGAAAGAACTTCTATAGTAGTAATCTACTAGCGATCGCGTTAGTAATATACGAAGAGTTCAAAATTCACTTTACTAGCGAATCTTTAAAGGCTAAATAGCAGAACGATATTAAGCCGACTTAGGGTATTTAGCTACGATACCTATTATATGCTTCTAGTTATAATAGCCCTCTAGATAGAGTACTAACCGCTGTCGCTACCGCTAGGGAAGCGTACGAGGTAGCGTACCCCGAGTGCTATTAGTTTATAGACAGTACTAAGCCGTAATAGAAGCACTATATAGAAGAGCTCGTCGGTAATAAGATAGTAACTAGTAACGAAGCTACTACTACTATAGATCTCGTCGCTACGATAGAGGACGTAGATACTATAGTTATCGACGATTCGAGTTCGGAATCGGACGACGACGACGTCGACCTAAACGAGCTGTTAGATATTAAGTATAGACTATAGTACGGTTATCGTATAGCGAGCTAAGAAGGTATATATACAGACTAAGAAGAAAGTAGAAGCGGACGCTACGAAGAAACGAGTATACTACGTTGCTGCTGCCGAGAAAATATAGTCTATAGTAGCCTAAAGAGCACTTAAGCTATTTAATAGGATACTTGCCGAGTATCTGAAAACCTAGGAGATTCGTACTACGCTACTACCGCCGCGGTAGAAGAGCAATATAGAGCTCCTATCGGATAGAGTATTAGATACGACCTTCTTACCTATACTTACGTTCGACCGGAAGATAGAGGTATTGGATTAGGTTAGGCCCGAAGTATATTGTATTAGTATTAGTATATCGCTACTAGCCGTAGGAAGAGAGAAGGAACTAGAAAACTTCGTTTATAGTACGCTCTCGAGACTCGACCGGCCGGCGTAGATACTAGAGCGTTTTGTCTACGACTCTAGGACGTAGCCGTCGTCGTATAGGTATCCGTATATACTATATAGTTAAGATATACTTCTAGAGGGGCGTCGGTAGTAATATAGAAGTAGAAGAAGATTAGAAGAGATAATAATTCGAAGCGGAAGAAGAGATAATAATATATAATATAGCTCGATCGATATTCCTATACTACTATCGCCGCTACTATCGCCGCTACTCCTACTTATATCTCTCTATAGAGATATAGCTACTACTATCCTTCCTTGCCCTATATATTCAACGATCTTATTACCTATAAGTCTATTAACTACCGTAGCCTCGAAAATCTTAAGCATTGCCTCTAGCGACTCGACGACGCACCGTCCAACCGGCCTATCCCTTATATATACTGTTGCCCTCTGCCTTAAAGTATAGCTCCTAAGAAGAAATTAAACTACCGCTATACCCTAGAGTACGATAATCCTTGTCGTTCCTCTCGTTATATCTTCTTTAGCTATTCTACCTATAGAATAGATATACTAGTGTCCTTAGAGTTTTATTACTAGTATATAATACTATTAGTCGGAGGCATTAGTTATACTATATAATTGGTATTAGCTAGCGTAAAGAAATAACCGTAGGATAGGCCTCGTTATAGGTTGGGTTAGGTATAGGTTAGGTACAACCTAACTTAAATACCCAACCCTACAAATAAGCTAGGTACCTAGCTTATAAGCGGGGTATAACCTAACGGTAAAAACCCAGTAGGTATACCTAATAGGTATTGCAATAGGTATTACATAATACGAGTTGAATACCTACGAAATAGTAGAAAATAATATAAATAAGGCATATATACCTACTACCTGATTCCTAGAGCGCAGATTTTAATAGGAAAATATTTTATGCTTACTACAGCTGCCGACTATATATACCGACTATATATATAGACTAAAAAGAGATTACTAGAAAGGAAAGCTCTAACTAATTGATTATAGTTATAAGCTACTATATACTAAGGACAGAAACTACCTTACTTCTTAGTAAGTAGCTAAGTATCTAGAGCAGATTGCTCCTTTGCTTAAGCGTCTTAAATCTTTTAATAGGCGTAAAGCTAATCTTCGAAGTTTAGCCGCTACTAACTATAATACTAATACGCAATTTTCTTCGTATCTCCCTCGAGAGTTTGCTAAGTAAGGCGTACGCTATCTTCTAAACGCTCTTTCGCAATAGTAAGCGCGTAAGCTGCCGCTACTAACTTATTAGCGTAGGCTTCTAACCTCTGCTTAAGAGTTTGCTTATTATCGCTAGTATTATTATCTAGCTCTTCTTAATTATAACTAGCTTGAAAGTCTCGACCTTAGACATCTTAATCTTGCTTATCTTACTCCTACTTATCTTCGTCCTACTTATCTTCGTCCTAATCATCTGCGTCCTACTTATCTTCCTCTTGCTTATTATCTAGGAGTAGCGGAGTATTATCCTAAGCTATTAAATTAGTATATTATAATTAATAATAAAAGAGGAGTAACTTACTAAGAGTTGCCTACTAAGTAGTAGTATCCTCGCTATTATTGTTGTCTATAGTCGGATTCTGAGTAGCGTCTAGTATATCCTCGTCGGAATCGTAATCAACAATTCGTCGAGGCTTCTTAGTTAGGAGAGGCTTATATTTTAGCGTAGCCTTCGGTTTTAGTACCTTAGAAGCTTTATTCTTCTTTAGCTCTATATAGATAAAATTAGGATTAATAGGACTAGAATTGTAAGGGCAGACTACGAAATCGTTAGGCTAAACACCCTACTCCTTAAGGAGCGAGCGAAGACACTCTATATCTTTGCCTTAGAGTATAACGCGCTTAGCGTAAATAGCTAAAAGGTTGGCCGCTAGAGGAGGTAAGTAAGTAAGTAAGTAATTAATCAGAAAGAATAAGAAATAGGAAGACTTATAGGTAAAGATTCTTACTAAGAGAGACTTAGTATATTCTTAAAGAACGCTAAGAGCGCTTGCTTAAATGCGAAGAGGTATATAAGCCTAATCTATAACGAGCTCCTTAATAAGTCTAGCAAATAGGGTTTTCTTAATATAGAGTAGGCTCTCCTTCTAGCACTTCCTAATCTCTTTAAGAGCTAATACTTTAAGGAAGTTAGTACCGACTACAAATGCTAACTACAAATACCGACTATAAATACCGACTATAGATCTAGATTCTAGAATTACTTACTACCTAGGGTATATCTATGTCCCTTCTTAATACGAGCGCCTAGAAGCTTTTTACTACCTATACGCGAAGGAAGTCCCTTTCTACTAGTACGAGGAGTCTTGCGAGTAATCGATTGTTTACGCTTCTACGTAATCGATATAGCCGAGGCTATTGTAGTAGATTAGTACGCTAGTATAGTATAGTAGCGGTAGTATAGTATAGTATAGTAGCGGTAGTATAGTATAGTATAGTAGTGTAGTATAGTGTAGTAGTATAGTATAGTATAGTAGAGGTAGTAAGGAAAGAGAGAAAAGAAGGGGGCAATATTGATATAGTAAGTTAGGTTTTTTCTAAAGTAGAGAGTAACTTTGTATTATTAGGAGACAACCGCTCGGCTAATTAGAGGCTACGGATTGTTTACTACCTAAGTAATAACATATACGTACTTTATACGAGATCCAAATAAGGTTTGCGTATATAATCTTTAATTACCGGAAGTGACCGGTAGGTACGGTTAGTAGGTACGGTCGGCA